TTAGATGTAAGATCAGCGATAGACAACAACGCATTTAGAAAAAAAAAGAAGGTTGCCTATAAAAAAGAAGAGACTTTAGAGCGGGACAGGCGAAGGCGGCACACACCTGTCTCAGGCACCAAAAACAACAACATTTGCAGGGAAAACAACCAAAACAACAACTACTACTCTAGTAACAACAACAAGGAGAACAAGAACGGCGCCGATAAATGTATGCAAAAAAGCAAAACGATGTACAGAGCAGAGAATACACCTTCCCCACTAACGAATAACCAGAGCCCCCCCTCCTCTTATTCCTCTTCCACCACTTACTGCTCTGAGCATCCTTCACTTCCCAAATCGCAACTAGAAGGCCGCACCTTCTGCAATATGGTAAAACTTGTACAGTAGTCATTGCCTAACTAGGAAAGTTAAAATATTAAAAAAAAAACAAAAAATTTAAAAATGTTAAAATTTTTAAAATATGAAATAGAAATGCATTAGAAATGCTTGACAAAAATATTGTAATTTCTTAACCCTGTTAAGTAAGAAGTTCGTGGTCGTTATTAGAACTTTTACTGTATGCCTTACAGCTATTATATAAGTTAATTAATTTTATTAAATTTAAATAAATTTCTGAATATTAACAATACTTCTTATCCAGCACTCACTGTCTCACTGTTTTTTCTTCTCTTGCCTTGTCGTGTGTCTTAAGTTTTTGCTAATAATAATAAAGCAAAAAAAAAAAAAAAAGACACACACAGAATGAAAAACAGCAAGGAGAGCAGAAGAGATCAGCAGAGCGAAAGAACAAGCGAACATCACATGACAAGTTGGGTGGGTTGGGAAAAGTTCGGTCTGGAGACCTGCCCACAGTCCAATCTATTGCTAACAGAGAGGGGCAGCAGCAGGGAAGTGGAGCGGATAGGGCTGTCCGGCTGGGGGGGACACTGAAAGAGATCGCTCTTTGCTTATCGCGCTTATCAAATCGCCAACTGACAGCTGGCAGTAGGGAAAGGTATGGTAAAAGGGGTAAGAAGGGGAGGGAAAACTGAGACTGGAAATGACCGAAAGCCCTGCGGGGTAATATATTGTACATGGAGTGAGATAAGGCAGATCCATCAGGCTAAGTCGCTGCACTTTTTGTCCGTCTTATTTAAGATGCAATTAGTTGAGATCATCTGATGAGCAGGGATTTGCATGTTAGGGAAATGACTAACATTAGGCAGGATATGTTAGTCCTGATAAGGACTATAAGAAATGAGACTTGTTAAGTAATAAATTTAATAAAAAATATATATAATATTCCTAAGCAAAGGTCAACCTTAAGTTGTAGAAAAATATCAAAATTTTATAGTCTCAATTTTAAAAGAAACCTTTTCAGGGCTTAATTTTAATCAGATTAAACTATTTGTTATGCAAAATTGATAACTATTAATGAACATGCTTTAAAGTAAAGACTTTTATTCCCAAAGTTCTCATGATTAATTATATAAACAACCCACATAATCTTGTGTAATCTGCTTCTGCCAACAGCACCTCATCAAATGCTATTCATTCCAGATTTTTCCATTTCTCTCGGCACATTCTCTCTCCATGATTTATCAATTAGCAGATGACATAAAAGACACAGATCTGTTTGGAATTCCAATTTCAAATGGCCAGCAAATTAATTTAAGTTTTATTCGCATTTCATGGCAGCCCCACATGGCGTATACGCATCCATAAAAAATATTAATACGCCTCGTAAAACAAAGGCGGCGACATGAACGCATAAACCATAAGCCATTTCTTATCACTAGGGTAACTCAACTTAATCTTAGCAGCTAGATGGGGGAAAATAAAAGAAAACCCTGACTCGATTTTGGATTTTGCAAAAACGTGGCCAACAGAGCAGCAAGCTTATCAGTGGGCCCAAAAAAATATTGATAAGCAGAAAAAAAATAACTAGGAGCTTTTTCTCAAAAATTGTTTGTTGATTTTGCTCTTGCCGTTCAGAAACGTGCTGTGTTTCGTTTTTGAACAACCAGAAAAACACGATGAATGACAACGGCCAACCCAAAATGTTTAATAAAAGAGATTAGCATAAATTTGAAAATTTTATGAGCGATAAGCGAGCAACGCAAAACCCAAAAAAAACAAAAACAGTTATGAACTGAAAAAAAAACAAAAACAAAAACATAAACCTGTTGGCGCCGCCATAATAAACAGCTTGATTTCAAAACATGAAATCCCAAAAATTTGCGACTCAAAATTTAAATTCTTGGACTCAATAACAAAGTCCAAAATGGAACTTTGATTATATAAGGTAAAGATGAGGGGAGGGAGGGGTAAGAGTGAAAGTTGAGAGATTCAAGTTGGATTAGTCATGGCTAAAAAAGGTGAGAAAATGTTAAAAATCGGATTTGAAAATTAATTTGTAAGGTTTTATTCTGGCGCCAGCTTGATAGAGTTTTCGTTTTTTTTTGTTTTTTGAGTTTTCTTTTTAAATTTATGTTTTTGTTTTGGAATTAAAATCATGCTTAAGTTTACTTTGGGAAATAGTTTAAGTTTATAAAAAAAAAGATTTTTATTTTCTTTTTTCTCTTAATATTGCTAAGCTTTTTGGACGAGGTCAAGTATCGGCTTAGATTTTGTATATAAAAAAGTAAATAACATTCTTTCTCACCCACCTAAATCCCTTGTTAATTTATTGTTATTTTTCTTCACCAAAAAAAAGTTGTTCTGTTCTCTTTTTAATCTCCCTTTTCAATTCCTCTTATTTTTTATATTTTCTTTTCTTTTTTTTTGTCTTTTTGCGCAACAAATGTGCCGCAAGTCGTTTGTTTTGTTATTTCTGCGACTTTGACTTCAGTTTCCCGCTTCCAAGCCCGCTCCAGGGATTCCATGGGCCCTGCTCAGATGCGATCCGATTGGATCCCCCACTCCGTCAGACGGAAAACACACATCCACATCCCCATAACGAGACGAGGGCCCAGACCAGAGCCAAAGTACAGAGACTTCGGAGCAGACAATGTTGGCAACCGGTTTGCGATTTATTTTTGTTGCTACCCCCCAGTCGCAACAGCCCCTCCGATCTCCCTTCTACCGCCACCCTATCAGCCCATCCCGCTCGCACTGGCTCATTATTATTATTTGCTGAATATTTAACATTGAAGCTGGTCGAAGCGGATTTTCATGGCACAAACACACACACACACACACACAGCAGTTTGAGCGCAGAATGAAAATAAATAAAAGGAAATAATGCAGGGGTTCCGAAGCCCAACATACCCTGGAATGGGGAAAGGACTTAGCCTTTGAAGGAGATTTTTGAATGAGTTATGTCGGAAAGTGTATCTTTCAAATAAAAAATGAAAAGAAAATAAGAAAAATGGTTAACATGTTAGGTAGCAACTTAGAAGAAATGATTAAAAATATTTTTGTTTCAGCTTAATGGAAAACTATATAATATATTTAATACTATACTTAACTGGTCATTAACTCATGACAGTCAGCTTTTTACTTTTGCGTTTTAAGTTATGGAATAATAAATAGTATTAGCCCTAGTTCAAAAATTAATCTTTTATAATCATTTTTTATAGATTCAAAACTCAATTAGTTGTACTTTTTAATACTTGGCATCGCTACTGGTTTTGTTTTCAAACCAAACTAAACTAGCTATTACTAAGATCATTTTAGTTTGAGTGCATCTAAAGCCATGAAGCGTGATAAATTAAAAGGCAAATGTAGCCATTAAATATTAAGTATAAGAATATTAATACAAGAAGAAATCTAGCTGAAATCTAAATGTATTAGAAAGAGAGAGTAAGAAGTTTATTCCACAAATTGCAAGGAAATTTAAACAGTTTTCTTAAGATTTTTTTCATGGAATTCAAACATACAATCAGTATTTCAGCTAGTTAATCTTCCTCTAACTTTTCCCTCATCCCAGTACACCCCGTACAGGGTATCCCCCGCATAGCGACAGCTAAATCGAAAGCCTTTTGTCTGCAGGCTTCAAACAAAACCAGGCGCAGACGGGACAGCAAATAAATTGAGCGAAAAGCTAAAAATAAGCTCCAACATTCGCTGCCACGGCTGATGCGCTGCCTCGGCGGCAAACATGCCGAAATGCGGCAGACGCTTTGGCAACCGCAAAATGCAGCGGCAGCTACAACAAACTCCAAAAAACAACAACCTTTTCCAAAAAAGAACAAAAAAAAGAGACAAAAATTCTGCAGCGGAAAAATGTATTATTTATTGTGTTTTTTTTGGTTTGTCGTTCTTGCGGGGAAATATTTAGCGAGCGCTGTTTAAGCATAAAATTAAGTAGTTTAAATAAATAATCAGATGGAAAAAAAGATGGCCTAGCCGAAAAAAAATGTTTAACACCCCAACGATGGCCAACAAAAACAGCGCCATAAATTGCAGCTGCATTGGAATTATAATTATTATGAATTCATTATAAATGGCTAGCGGTGAAATTTGTTTTCATATATATATATATATATATATATATATATATATATATATAAAAATATATATATTTAGTGTATATTATTCTTTGCGTTTGCGTTTTTGTACTTTTTATGTCTTTTTCAACGGCAAACACAAAGTAGTGTCGTTAAAGAAGATCGAATTGAATGTGAATGGAAGTCCAAATATGGAGCCGCAGTAGCCGCTTGCTCGCGTGGGGCGTTCGTTTTTTATGCATAATTAAAATTAAGTTCAGGGAGGGGAGGGGGAAAACACTTGTGTGCTCAAAAAAAATTAGGGGAGAGAAATAATTGAGCGAACGAAAGCCGGGAAGATTATCAACTTAATAATAATCCCCCAGCGGTCTGGGAAATTGTTGACCTGCTCAACAAGGTGAAAATTATATTCCCAATAATAATAGTTAATTTAGTTAATTTTTAATAAGCGCTTAAGAAGGGGAAACAAAGAACTCTTAACTATAAATTATTTTTATATTTTTTTTATATTTTTACCCATTTTCAGTGTCATTTTGAAAGCTTAAAAAACTTAAACACCAAACTCACCTTTCGTTTTTTGTGATCCAATTCCCGTTGGGCCTTTTGCATCTCCTTCAGCTCCACCTCCTTCAGCTCATCCAGGACGATCTGGTACTTCTCGCGATTCTCCACATCCAACGCCACATGAAGATAGTCATGCCAGTTGCGCGAATCGAAGCCCCAGTGGCAGGTCTGGTTCTCGAACTTCCGATGGACATGACCCACGAACTTCTGGGGCGAGAACCAGCCGTCGCACTCGAGGCACTTGATGCAAGTCGGTTTCTGATACGAGTACATGTCCGGAGTGCAGATGCCCTCGCACTTGCCAAAGCACTTGTGATACACATGGAAGCTCAGGGCTCCCTTGGCCAAACTCTCGATCGGCACATAGCTATTCCGATCCGAACGATGGAGCAGCGCTGCACAGAGGCGCTCGGCATCGGTTCTGGTGATCAGGCCACTGGCTTTCACATCCGAAGGCAGGATCTTGGCGGCCTTGAACTCTACCAGCTGATCGGGCGTGCACTGCGAGCAGTATATGCCCAGTTCATCGAAGATCCTGTTGATCTGCTCGAGGGAGAAGTCATTGAGGACATTGTTGAGAAATTGGGGCAGACAAAGTCTCATTTCCCCGCCCACGGAAAAGCATCCAATGGTCTTTCCCTCCAATTTTGTCTCATAAAGTTCTCCACATCCCGAATCCGCTACCGATAGGATGGGTTGTGAGAGTTCCCGAGGCGGTGTGGCAGGTGGATATATCTGTGGTGGCGTGCCCCGCGATGAGCACTCATGGTGATGGAGTTCCTGGGGTTCCGGTGAACTGAGTATTTCCTTTTTTATAAGAGCAACACCTGGCGGAGATGCCTGACACTTTCCATTGGACAGGCCCAGGCCAGGACTCTCACTTCGTCCATTGGTGGCAATGTCCAGGACACCGGCGGTTGTTAGTGCGTGTCCTGGTCCCTGCAGCGATTTCGTGGCACTCGTCTGGTATTTCTTCAAGACGGTGCTGATCATGGACGTTACGTATTCGGTCATTTTGTCGGCGATACTTTAGACTAACCAAATTCCGATTGGCTGTACTAGAAATCCATTTTGATAATGTCGAGGCCTTCTTGACTTTTAAACGATATATTCGGATATAGTTTCGTGATCTGCGTGATTAACTATCCTTTAGGGATGCAACATTTTCACGAAGATGCTTTGCTTAACCCTCTAAAGGTGACCTTTATTTCCACTTTTCTGTCTAAACTTCTCACTTAACAATTTGGCACATTTGTTGTCAGCAAGTTTAACTAATTTATTTTGCATTTAGCATTTAGCATTTTGCCGACGGCATTTTGGCTTGCGCACAAACACATGCACAGGATTTATCTTGGCTTACTTGCCTTACTTTTTTGTCGCGTGTTTAGAATATTTCGATATTATTTCAGTTGTATTTATAGAAAATACATATAAAGATATATATATACATATATATATCGGCCGGCTTTTGTCGGCTGTAATATATATAAGACTTGTGCGCACTTTTCCTGTGCCCTGCACTTATTATTAAATTTTCGCCATAAATTAATTTCTCTTCGGCGCAATTTCTTAAGCTGAATTTTTGTATTTCATTTCGTATATCTCAATTTCTCAACTTTTTTATCTTTGCGCTGCACAGACGACACACACAGACACACACGTGCAAAACAGGCACACGGATACGCGGAGACACACGCACACACGCGACGAAGGCCGGCAGACAGAGACGGAGAAGGAGAAGAGCAGACAGCGAGTGCGACAGAGAGCGGGCGCGCGAGAGAAAGAGAGAGGGGAGAACAAAAACAAACGCCGCCTGACAAATTCTTTTATTTGTTGCTGCCGCTGCCGTTGTTGTTGTTGTTGTTGCACTATTTATAAATCTTTTTTTGCGCTTGCAAATTATTTTTGCACTCGTTATTGAATATTTATTTGGATTCTGGCCTGCAGGGCCCCTCTCCTCGCAATATATCTATGTATTACTTATATTTCTTTTTTTTTTTTGCAAGCGTCGCACGTGCGAGCTTTTTCCTCGATATATTTATTCGCACACACACGCCCTCGCACGGAGAGCGACACGTCCGAACGGTTCGAGAGCGAGAAAACGATAGAAGCGGCGGCTCGCCAGCAAGAGCAAACAGCGGCACTTTGCCGCGACTTGCGCAAATATATGTGCTTCTTTCGAATGAGAAACAGAAGGTGTTTCTCTCGGGCGGGGATTGGCAGCTGGAGAGGAACGAATTTTAAGTTCGCGGGCTGACTCGAAAGTTTGGTATAATCAAATGACTAAGCTGCGGTCACACTGTCGCCAATTTTTGTCGATTTATGTAAAAAGCGAAGTAAAATTAAGAATTTTAAGCAAACAGTAAAGAGTAAATGAAATGTTTTTGTTAATTGTGCATTTTTGAGAACATTTAATGCTGAAATCATTGATTTTTTAATAATACTCAGAGTGAAAAGACGTACAATTTAAATTAAATTAAAGTTATGTTAACGTGAACACCTTAAATTTGTTGGAATTCTTTTTTCTCAAATTTATATAAAAATAAATCTATTTAGTTTGATTTTATAATGACTTAAAAATTATAAGATATATCGACATTAACAGCAACATTTAAAATGCGCGCCACATTTCTTTTAAATGTTAAAGCAAATTCAGTTAGCTCGAAACAAATTTAAACATTGTGAGATCATGCCGTGTAAAAGAGGCAGGGTCGTTTTGTGTGAAATTTCGAGCTCGTTAACAGTTCGAAAGCAGTTAACAGTTCAGCTTTGTAAACTTAACAGAACTAAAACTCTGTGTTATCGATGACTAAATCAGCTGTTTTATGAATAGACCATTTATCAATGCATTATTTAACGGTTTTGTGTTCGTTTTTGTACATTACTTATAACTTTAACTTCTATTGTTGTTATTATTATTATTGTTCGTATTATTATTTATTTTATTTGTAATAACGTACTATGATTAAATGTAGTAAATGTTAGATAGGTTGAACTATAAACTTTTTGTCAAATAATAACATTCTTTTTTATTATAATTTTGTAAACTTGTGTTATTTGCATAATATAAAAAAGTTTGCCACTGTTAAGCGAATACTATTTCCACTTAAGAGATTAAAGTTAACCATAATTATCAAGAAAACTTTACAATCCTAATCAAAGTCTAATCAAATCAGCAAAAGCTATCGAAAATCGTACCTAAGAACACAGCACGTTCGAGCAATTTAGTTCCTATCAAACCACGGTTCCAAGATGTTGTTCAAGTACTGCAAGTCCACTGATCCTTCCGGATATGGGGGTTCGATTAAGCCCGCTCTTCTGATGTCACTACTACTCGGTAACACATTCAGCAATTTGAATTCCTCACGTTGCGCGCCACACTTCATTACCCTCGTTTGCGTCTCGCTCTTATACCCTTTAATAGGTTTAATATATCTGATTTAAGTTATTCAATCGGAAATATTGAATAGAAAAGAAACATTTAAATTGTCTTACCAGGTAGTTACACACTATAACAATCTTGTTTTTTACCTAAACACATTATTTTTAATATAATTACATCCAAAACGTCAAAGGAGCTAAAAAAAAAATCGTATGTTATATTAAATTCAATTTTAATCGGATTATCGATTAATTCGATTTCGAATTAGAATAATAAACGATGTTTACCTCAAGAATACCTTAGTGAGCTTATTGCCCTAGTGAACTTCAAGGGTGTATAGTCTTCGGCTTTCCTAAAACAACTCCATTTCTCGTTATTCTCATTTCTGTTTGCTCTCTGCGCATGCGCTGAAGAAGCGCTGACAGATTGCGGCAAATCATTGTTGTGCAGTTGCATTACAGCATTCGGTGAAAGTGGAAGAAGAGCGCATTCCAACAGAAATAATCATAATAACAATAACAATTAATTTCCCTCCATTTATGCACACACACACACACATACGCATACCTCCAACTGAGAAGTAAACAAATTGATATTGTACGGCTTTGTCTCGGTCTGTGTGTGGAACAATAGGTAAAGTAAGGAAGCCCACGGAGCTTATCTATTGCCCATAATATGCCCTCTATGCGTCCCATCGTTCAATTATGGAATATTAATACCATATTATTCACCCACTCGCAGTGCTCGTGGCCAAAATCAATGGGGCAGCTCTGAACGCCAGCAATTATCAGTACCAAGAAGTGACTGAGGAAAGAACACCAGCAACCGATCCTGAGATCGTACATTTATTGCTGAAAGATTCCGATATGGTGAAGGTATGGGGCACAAACCTGACCGCCATCACCTGGGCCCATGCGGTCAACAGTCAGCAGTTGCTGGGCGATGTACTAACAGAAACTAGTAAGATCCCGGCCAGAAACTATTTTGATTATGAAAGGGTAACAAAAGATTCTTCTTTTCATAGGTAATATTGACTTCATCGAGGCAGACATTGTTCTGGGCAAACTGAATGGCGAGGGCGAGGATATGCCTGTAATGGCTCATCCGCCAGCTATCATCTCCGATCTCACGTTGGCGGAATTTTTAAAACAGATCATGGACTTTAATCGAGGTCACGAAGGTCAGGAAAAGGGCGTCAAGCTCGATTTTAAGTCTATCGAGGTCTTCGAAGGATCCCTGGACATCCTGGACGAGAATATTCCTAACGTGGGTTTAAAAAACAAATTTATGCTTAAATTTATTATCTAAACTTTATTTTGTTAATGCTTTAAAATCTTATCTAACAATTTCTACCGTTTTACAGATGACTTACCCGGTTTGGATAAATGCCGACATCCTGAGTGGTCCCGTGGAGCAGAATAAGACCGTGCCAGTGGATCCAGATCGCTTCTTCGCCGGCTGTATGCGTTACAAGCAGGCAGTTCTTTCGATCGGCTGGACAACCAACTGGGGCTCCGACTTCCGAGATGGCGAATACACGCAAGAACAGTGTGATGCCATGGTGGAATCGCTAGACTCCAATAATATCCTTTCTACCGGTCAGGGCATTACCTTTCCCGTGCGCGCTGGCATCGCCGCCAATAGCGCGGAGCAACTACATCGACTGGTTGCCGCGGTTAACGAGACAAACGAGAGCACCCTTACCATCTGGTCTTCTGACGGCGACTATGTGGATGTGGAAAAGCTACGCAAACTGATCTTCAGCTTTGGCTTAGAACGAATCTACTTGGACGTGCCAGAGGAACTGGCCTCGCAATTGGATTTGGGTACTCCTGGCAATGCCGGCAGCACCTTTAAGTCCCTGTTCGGCTTCAGTTTCGTCAGCCTGTGCTTTTGGGCTCTGTCCAGCTGGCTGCAGAGGATGTAATAGTGTCCACCAAGTGATTCAAATAGGTACAATTGTTAAAACGAGTTAACAACAAAAGATTTTGATACAATTTCAATAATGTAATAAAACGATTTAATTTTATATATTGATTGCTTTATTTTCTTCTGTTAAATGGAATTTTTGGATATCGCCCTGGGTTTTGCTTTTCAGCCTTAACTTTCATTAACTCAAATATTGTTCTTTCAAAATCTATCAGGAGTAACATTAAATGATGTATTAATAACAACAAATGTTTATAAACCCAACATTAAATGGGTTTTTTTTGGTAAACTCAACGTAAAATTTCATTTTGTATCTGGATATGTTTGGGAAATGTTTTTTAAGGGCATCCATTTATAAAAATTTCAACAACTATGTCTTTAAATTCATTGAAAGTCCCTTCTGGATCACTTGATTTTAAGCAGTTAATTTTATTCTCTTCTATTAATTTATCTTAAGGAATTTTTGGAAATATTTTCGGGGATTCACAGCTGTGCTCTACTATCTAGGTATTTAGATCTTACACTGATTCACATATGTACATAGGGGATATGTGTAACCTTTGCAGTGTTAGTATTATTTGTACACAGGACTTAAAACGAACGTTTGCCCAGTCTCAGGCCTATCTAAATGAGCAATGGTGATAACTCCTCGCTTCCTATGTTCTGTTCAATGTGTTCTCTTTATCACTTCATCTCGGCTTGAATTAAAACTTAAAATATCGCTTTACAAAAGATATGCATTATCGTACAAATATAAATACTTTGGGCATGAGCAGTTTTAACATTAAAGATTTAAGAAAATGAATGATTCGCTCTATTTACAGTTTAGTTTAGCCTACTAAAATAGTTAATGACTTTTGCTTGGCGCTTAACTCTGCGCTTCTCTTTTCTTTTTTGGCACTAAAATAAATAATCTTATTAATCTCTCTCGTTATCCGCATAGCGTGCAGATGTGTTGAGGAAACTCCTAATGCGGGTGGGCGTGCTTGGTAATGTGGTATGCGATGTGATCCGGAACAATGTTCTTGGTGAGCAACGTGGTCCAGCCTCTTTCGGCCCGGCTAAGGCATAATGGCTTCATCGTTTTCTTATTGTATTCTAAGCTACGGCGACGTAAATGAGTCTTAGGCAGATGATCGTTGGAGGCACCGTCAGGAAGGCATGATGCCAACGCATATATTATCTAACTATGACATCAGGCGAGTCCTCGCCGATGAGACGTTCCCTGGCCGAGCTCTCCGTAATTCCAACCTCCCTCCTTAATCCGGAGTCGCGATTGTAGTCCAAAAGGCGCACACCAACGCGCTCGTTGCCCGACGAACTAGTATTGTTGCGGAACAACGTCGGGGCCGTAGGTGCCTTGGAATTCACACCAAACGATGTGAGAGGACGCAAGACACTGGCTTTTGCCTTGGGATCGCTGTGGCAAAAGTGCGTAACCTGTCGCGTGGGGTACCAGCAGGTGCATATCAGACCGCCTGCCAGCAGAATGCCAGTTACAATCTGTCCTAGAAGGACAATCAGTGGAACCAGTGCGATATCGGAGGCAATTTCCTCTGAGACGCGAACTCGTTCTTCGCACCACATCATGGGAATCATCATCGTTGGGACCTTATCATAAAGTCTAAAATAAGAGCAATATAAGAACAAAAAACTTGCCAAAATTTTGTTTGCAAATTATAAAATACTTACGAAATACCCCGAACTGGCTCCATGTAGTAGTTAGCTTGAAAGCCACCGCCCACGTCCATCGGAACGCCCGCATTGGGCTCCAGGGTCATGAAGAACTCGTGCTTTTCACGTTCGGGTTGCAGACCTTCGATGGCCTCCAGATAGCTTGGATCCGCCATGTAGAAATGCGGGAACGACATGTAGACAGATGCGTTAAATGCACATGGTCCTATGTTGATCACTCCGATGGGCATACACTTGCCACCAACGCAATAGCATTTCGTGTCCGGGTGCAGAGTGCCATTGTCCACGGCGTGCTGAGTACCGCTGAACCTATAGGCGGTCACTCCATGAACGGTAACCGTTTCTGTGTAGTCCAGCGGTATAGCCCGACACATTTTGGGCATGTACATGTAGACGGTATCATTGGTGCTTAAATTGGGCGGAAAGAACTCGCCCATGGAGCCATGCACCTGCCCGCAGGCGCCCTCAAAAGCTCCCGTATGGTTCAGATCATTCCATGTGTGAATTTGACCCATTTTGGTAATATCGTCTGCTCCGGTATACATGTTTATGTATCCATCGAAGTCGGCGCTTCCATTCCGCGGGTACTGAAAGCCCACGCGCTTATAAGGAACATCTTGGGGTCGAATAAACTTTCCGAGGGTAATGAATGGATGATCATAGCCCTTGAAAAGCATTTCTTCAACGGTATGGGTGACAGTCAATTCCTGACTATTAGCCGTATTGGCGAAGTTAATACCAACTTTTGCGAACCAAGAGTCTGTGGCACCGGCACGTTTAGCAGCAGCCTGTGCACAAAAACGATTAATTATTAGATATTCCAATTAATTGAGATAATAATTTAATGTATATAACGTTTTTTTGAACTTACATGCGCTACAGTGTTGACTTGGGTGACCATATCCGACAAACTTCCATTGCTGCCAGCAGCATCAAAATGGAACCAGGACTTCTTGTGAAACGAGACGGAAGCATTCTGATTGTGCCAGTCGATGTCCACCTTGTCGGGTAGCTCCCGAAACCGATAAGGACCCAGTTGCTGGAAGTGTGGCTTTTTACCCGAACCCACATAGAAGTCCTGCGGATTCGTCCAGTTAAAAAGGTAGACATCAAAATTGAGAGGCAGTGGAGAGACCTTCCAACCTTCGAATGATCGTGAAGTGGGGCTCAAGGCCATTTCCTAAAAAACAAAACGAAATATAAACTTGAGAATAAGCTTGACATAACACAGTTGATATTTGCCGATCAGTATTCAATGATAAACGATTTACATAATCATTTTGTTATAATTGAGGATAACTGGTTGCTAAATTGCCAAAGCAGTTGCACATCGAAAAATGCGCATTGAGAACACTCGTATATAGACTGTGTGCATATTGGCGACTTGAACAAAGTTCACGAATGATCTGTGCAATTGGCTCCAGTTGGAGGTTTCATAATTGATATGGTTTATATCAAAGGGAGAACTTGTGCATCTTGAATTGGCTTTGAACAATTGATTTACTGTTCACTTGAGAGCTTTTCAATCACAAGTTATGTGAATACTTTGAGATACATAAATAACCTTAGATGATAGGGTAATTTCACTAAGTTATATAAACATTTTCATTCTTCTTAAAAATTCTACTATTTTTACTGTATTTTTGCGCTACTTTGTTATGGTGCGATTACATGTGTTAGGCGGATGAGTGCTATCAGCCATCAATCATTGTAAGCCAGAATGACGGACTTAACTATCACGTTGATCGTAGGCCAGTGGGCGGCCATTTTGTATTGCCCAGAACCCTTTAATCTTTATAATTGAAACTGCGACTGGGCTACAGGAAATGACTAAGCTGATAAAAAGAAATTCGAATTGGGTTATAAGCGGTTTCGTCTATGTCCACAAAAAGCCCTGTAAAATCCTAATGGATTACATATGCCTCCCTGGACTCGTGTCGTATCGTAGTGGAGCACAGGTGTTCGGTCAGGGTCATCGGACCTAGACAAGTGCGGTTACATGTCAAGTCTGGATAGTTAAGGCCATTTATGAATGCTTTCGCTATATACATATGTATTAGAGTGAAGAGCGTTGTCTAATCGAACACATGGCTATCGCCAAATGGTTTATTTTTCCAGGTTTCCTCCAAGATAAGATAGCAAAAACCCCATTGCAATTTCACGGCCCAACTCGAAAAAATTCAAATGGAATTTCCGCTTAACCGAAAAACATTTCGGGAAAACTTCGTTTTTGGATTATTGACCCCGTGATTCACATTGACAGGTGTGCCCTTTTCCGATCAACTTAATTAATCACTAAATATTATTAGTCGACTTGAGTAAGTATTAAACAACAAAAAAAGGAGTCACAATCAAAACTTTCATGAGTCAAATAACACCTGGCCACCCCAAAAATTATCAAATTGATTAATTTTGATTGATGATTATTTTGGAACTCAATCATGTTTACTTGTTTTATACAAAAAAAAAGGAAATAAGATCTTCTTAATAGATCGTTGACATGTTTAGTAGAATATATATTAAAAAAGTTATTTCGATTTAAGTGAGATCTTATATAAAGTTAAGGCTCGTTTAAACAAGGTTCCTCGTTTTTCGTTCATTGCCCCAAAGCTTAAGGGGGAATGTTTTTCAATGAGAGTTTTAACTCCCGTGACTAAGCACTCTACATATAGAGAATAAACACAATGATAGCATTAACATGCTAATTAAAGGCCCCTACGATAGTATAAAAAAGTATTTTACCAACCCATCGATACATTTCTTAATACGCTCTTTATGATGGATCATTTTTTGAATGTTGTTGGATTTAGTCCATATCTTATCTGAAGGTTTGGGCTGATTTTTATTGCTCGAACACCTGCACAAACTCAATTTTCGATGTCTTTTCGTTTCAATTGCTTTCAATCAATGGACAATATTGTCTTCTGGCCATCTCAATGGTATGTAAATGTAGCCTCTCAGTTGACCTTTGAACAATTTGCCAATTTGCAAAATTTAACCCGAAGGTCTAAGAATCGATTGCAATAAAGATCCGATAAGATAAAATCGAAACGATTGCAGATATTTATATTTGATATTGATATTGGAGCACTTACCTTGCCGCGCATGCGTGTAAACATGTCGATCCAATTGAGCAAAAGGTAAATCCCAGAGAAAATGCAGAGGATCCCAAGAACGACGATGCCCAGACGGGCACAATGACGCACCCCTGATGTCATCTTGGTGTATCTGTGCGTTGATGTTGGTACTGAGAATCAATGTTCTATATAGACGAACGTCTTCCTCATCCAATTTCTTGCTTCGCACTGAGTGTGGAACCCTCGTCTCGACTACGTTCCCGTTATTAGCGTCTATACGAAAGAGAAAGAGCGAGACCATGAATTAGAGCGTTAATAAATGTGGAAAAATGCGGGCTTATCGCTGGGCTCGGAGACCACTGTACAGTCTTATCACACTTTTGGGGCCCAGTAGGCTCGCCACCCGATTTCCTAAGGATCGGGAAATTCCGAGAGAAAAGAGAGCGGTTGATCACGCGCCGACGCATAAATAGCGATCACAAAGTCGAGCTGCGGCGTAATTATAAACATTTTCTGTCTAATTGTAATAAAGTTTTCACTTGGCGCTGCCCAAACCGCAAACTAAATATGCACATACTAAAATGAATACCTACAAGTGTCATATAGCCATAGTGAAACTTTTATAACATGAAAATTAAAAGATTTTTAGATTTAAATTTAATTTAAAATACGAGCTCACTTTGAAACATATTTTTTTTTGGGAGAAACTTGGGGAACTTATCGGAATTCAATTTATCAAAAAATTTGAGATTAGCTAAGCACATGTTTAAAAAGCTATTTTGAATCACCAGAGTTTACGATAAGTAAATAGTTTTGAATATTTTGTACATTTTTCATTTGATAAAAGCTGGCTCCATTTTTTTTCTGAAATTTAATCTACTTTTAATATCGAAATGTTCCCCAGAAACACTTTATTTCATTTTATTCACTGCCATCTGTCATATGCCAGGACTAGCTGAATTCACGTTAAAGATGTAAGACTGTACCCTTGTAAATTAACGAAATAATTGTACATGCATATGTATGCGAGCTGTTATTTTTTGGGGTTGCTTTTAAACCGGTCCGAAGGGCTGGCTTAAATAAATAAATTATTCTCTTCAATACATGAATTACGTCAGGTGTCGGCAGAGCATGAAGTTTTGAGCTATCTATTCACGGAATCTATATTCAGACTATAGTTTTTTTTTCATTTATTTATATTCTATACTATATATATAAAACACTGATTAGCCACGCTTAGTCACTAAGTTGTTCTTCACCGTTGGCATAATACCACTGAAACGTTAAGCGTAACATGACCCTGTTAGCAAATAGCAATAGCTTTACAGGTCCAATACTAGAACACCAACTTCCTGAATAATTTGAACTATAAAACTAGACAGTTTTTGATAAAGACTACCAATTTTAATTGGCAGACTTTGAATCTTATAAAGTTTTCTTTAAATAAAACTGATTACGCTTTTATAAGTAATTTAGAATGATTTGTGACACCACTGTTATGAGCCCAGAAAAGTACACACAAAACCTTACTACTACTATCGAGGTTTTTCAGTTTGCTGACTCCGAACTTTTGTACTAGTGAATCGGAGTATTTATTTCCGTTTGCTGACTCCGAAATTTAGTACAATATTATTGATGTTTTAAGGTTGGAAAGTATGTGATTCACTGCCGCGGCACATTCCTCGAGTATTGTTTGTTTTGATTCGCGACTGAGGGATTGTATCGAAAACAGGTTCACCTTTCCATTCTTCATATTCCGTCTTCCATACCCTGACACAACCATAAAATCGTAGTGCGCAAGGGCGGGATGTGGGGGCGTTATAGTGAATACTGTTTACACTTCTTGGGGCTGGTTAGCAACCGCTGGCTGAGGGGCTTTTCGGCCTTAGTTACGCCCATTATTGGTGATAATTCAGCGATTTTAATATATAATATATATTCATATATATATATATATATATATGTTGTCGTAAAAACACGTACTGCGTCCGTTGACTTATTTTTGTTACTAATGCACACGTAGCGAGGTTAAGAGAAAAAAACCCGTTTTTTTGGTGCTGGTTTTTTTTTCTTTATCTACAACAACGACACCCCACATGCCACGCCCACCCCCTGTCCTTCTTCCCGCTCTTGCGCTCTGATTATTTCGCGCTTTACTACACCAGATTATGAACTTCACATAGTGTCCAATCATTTGTACAAACATCAATCACGCGAATTTCGCACAATTGCCATTTTCTACACTTGCTAACACATTAACACTCGAAATTATTAACATTGGTTTTATCCTTGAACCTTGGGCATCACTTCCGCAACCTGTTGACAATGTTTTTTCTTCTATGTGTTCAGTCATCGTTCTGCCTTATTTGCTCTTTTTTCTAGCCTAAAAATAACCAGCAACACAGTGCAATGTGCCAACAGAAATATACACAATTCGTTGCGCGGGATGTATTTAACATTCGATTCTTCAGGAATTTTTTCAATTCATCACTGTGCGTCAGAGTTTTAGTATGCAAACTCCATTTCGACATAAAGTTAAGAACTATTATGTGGTTTTATCGTATTTGTTTAAAAAAAATTATCTAAAAGCGAAGCAGTAAAAAAAGTTGAATTTGGCACGTTTAACTCTCTCGCGTTTGCGCTCTCTCGCTCTCTCTTTTCTAGTTTTTTCATATTTTTCTTACATTTTCTTATAGTTCACGGTGTTTACTAATTTGTTTGTTTTTCGTCACGACACGTTTTTAATTTCTTTCAAATACTTTTCAATTGATATCAATTTTAATTGCAGCGACGGTGTAAATATTGTATAAATAAAAGTCTATGATCGTTTCACCGCTGCGCGTGTGTTGTTGTTTCCTTCAGCACGCGTCTATTTCTTGCCATTCGGCGTCTCACTCCCACTTGCGGGGTTTCAGGGGGCAAAGACGACGCACCGTTTATTGTTGATCTTGAACTGACGCGCGCGAATGAGAGCGAACTTGTCTGAGCGGCGCCGCGCCTGCGACTAAATAAGTATTTTCCAAAGAGCCACCACCAAGCAGCAATTATTTATTCTTCATTAAGGTCCAAATGCGGTCGGCCACGGTGAATATCAAAAACCCTTTGCGCCACTGTTAAACGTTAATGGAAATAGTGTTACCAGCTGACGAAACGAAAAAATGTCTATAGAATCCTGAAAACTATTAATACATAAGAAATATCCTTTTAAAGATATATGATACAAATATGGAATGTAAAATTTATTCAATATTCAGATTTGATTATTATTTAAACGAGTTACAAAATAATAATGTCTTATTTATTTAAATTTACATATTATGCATACCCTTAACATCTCAATCAATGGGCTTCGGCAATTGTAGGGTGCAGTCAGATAGCGGCGTAAGCCAAATGAGCAAACGTTAAATGCTCTCTCATTTTTATGCTCTTGCACTCTCTTGTTTTTTTCCAAACAGGTTTGGTCTCAGCATTTTCTTGAATCGGTTCTGAAACGGTTATGTACATACATAAGTGCATCGGTCGAGGCGATTCCAGTTCATTGCTAATAGGCGATTCGAACCTCTTATTATTTCAACACAAATAAATGGCATGCATTTATCACTAATCAGTGTCAAACCATTTTTCCTGAATGCCTGTAAATAACTGTATGATTCAGTGCGATAAGAAATACCAACAAGCAATCCCATACAACAGTAAAAGTCGAAATTAGGGCATACTTTATAAAATCGATACATTTCAGGTACCGAGTATTTGAACACCATTTACCATTTATTGGCTTAAACTGTAGACTAGGCAAGAAAAACCTTGCTAACTTAAAATTATGACATGATAAACACTTAGTTAACTTAAACACCTCAGTTTAAATTTCCCGCCCCATCTTTGGTCCCCGTGTATTGCAATCCTATTAGCAGCGGTGAATCCTCCACACCATTATTTTTCGTGGAATCTGTCGTCCTGGTCGTCTCCAGGGTATTAATCTCGATCTTCTGCATATAGCTTTTTTGCCAGATCATCTGGTGGGGATACCAGAAGACCATCACCACTCCCAAAGCCACGCCTAAGATGCCACAGATCTTGCCCACCATCTCCGTAATTGGTATTAACTTTACATAACCCAGAAGATCGTCCGTGATGCGCACATTATAGTCAGCCCAGATCAAGGGGAAGAAAGTTTTCCTCGCATTGCGATATATTCTAAAATATTTAAAATTTTACTAAGAAGTAAAAAATATCTGAATAATAATGATATTTGGAATTCTTTTCCAATTACGAATTTTAATCGTTTTTAGTCGGAAGAGATTTCCAGATTATTTTACTTTCCGTTTTAAAAGAAAGAATTTTTGGTTTCATGAATAGTAAGGCTTAAAAAATGTCATTAAAGCTGAATGGAGTATAATTTCGAATTTGTATAAGATTATGTACATTTTAAAATTATTCATTGTACGAGGTGTGTTCAAAAAGTAAGGTGACTCTTCAAATTTCGCGAATTTCAAATTTTTCGATTATCGATTTTTTTGTTTTGTTATATTGGTACACTCTTCCCTAACATCTGTACCAAGTTTCAATGGAACATCCTCTTTTGTTTGGTTGTGAGAGGCGTAAAGTTACAAGTTGTTTTGCGAGCTCGGCGATTTTTTGCTATCGAAAAATATGGATCAAAGGATTTGGATTTTTTGGCCAAAAACAACACCACAATAATGCCTCAGCCACCATATTCACCGGATTTGGCCCCATGTGACTTTTTCTTGTTCCCAAAACTGAAGATAATCGAAAAATTTGAAAAATTTGAAATTTGAAAAGACACCTTACTTTTTGAACACACCTCGTATAACTTCTAAAAGGTTTCGATAATCGAAAAATTTGAAATTCGCGAAATTTGAAGAGTCACCTTACTTTTTGAACACACCTCGTATTCTACGAAAAAACAATTTTATAAAATTTCCGTCTGATAAAATTATTTAAGAGTGAAGTATTTCCAAAAAGTATACATTTTCTTTTTCTGTATAAATTTTATGTGCATTTTCTTGGAAAAAAAAATGGTAGTAAAATCTAAGCTGTAAAAGTGTACTCACAAATGGGTTTTTGGTTCGACTAGTAAGTTAGCCATAATGCGGGCCTTGATTTCCAACACCATTCCGGTTTTAGGCTCCAACATAATGACCATCTCGTGGCGATCCTTGTCGGGTTTCATGCCCTCCACCTGCTCCGCGTAGTAGGGATCCGATTTATAAAAGTGCGGATAGGACGCAAAGACAGGTGCCCCATACCAGCAGGAGGATATGTTGAGTAGACCGGATCTCACCTCCTGGCAGTTATCTTGGCAATAGCAACTATTATCAGGGTTTTCAGTGCCTAGAATAAAAAATCAAAAATTTTATCATCACAATATTCCATCTTCTTTATTTATGTTTGACTTACCATTTGCCATGTTGCGTGCACTGCCCTTGTACACGAATGCCTCGACACCTTCGAAGATTGTGGTCCCGGAATAGTCCACTTGTAGCTCACGGCACAGGTCCGGCAGGAAGTATGATATGGGTCTTACCCATCACCAGCGGTATTGGGTGGAACTCCCCAGTACTGCCCTTTAATTTACACCTGGGACTGGCTTCTGTTACATTGTTATATCGCCATCTAGCTATTTGACCCAGTTTCTTGAATTCATCACGTCCTGTGTAGACATTGTGATGGCCGTAGATTTCCATGCTACCATTGCGCTGAATTGAATAAGTTTTAAATATTAAAAATAAATGTTTTTTTGTATAGCTTGTCAAGACTTACTGGATATGCATAGCCGATCTTCTCATAAGGGAACTTCACCTCCGGAACCAGTGTTGGTGGCACTATCTTGCTCATCTTGATCAACGGCGTGTCGAATCCGTCGAACATCCAATCCCTAGCGGGCCGGACCATTGTGTGCTCCTTTCCATAAAGATTTAATGCCATCATCATGAGGGATCTGACCATAGGACTCCAAGTCATCATCTTCTGGTATAAGCCAACGATTAGCAGGTTAGGAGCCACGATGGGATCTGAGGGATGACCAGCACTGAGGTTTGGCACAAAATCAAACCGACTGCGACGTCTATAGGACACCGTGTGGTTCTCATCGTGCCACTCCACATTGACCTTCTGCATCCGTTCCGTAAAGCGGTAAGGTCCAAGCTCCTCGAATCTCGGCTTCACTGTGGGATCGCTTACGTTCTCTGAGTTTGTCCAATTAAAAATATACAGATCCACGTTTATATCCATGGAAGGCGATTGCCAAAGATTCGTTATCAGAGTTCCTGGCCTCAGAACCATCAGCCACTCGATCATCCAACGTTCAATCTGTTCCATATAAACCACCGAGAAAAGACTGAAAGTGGCCAAAAGCAGACCTGCCGCACTTGTCCGCAAAATGCGCTGTTTTCCAATCATAGTTATGATTTCCAGTGTTAGACCTAAAAATAGAAAGAGAGTTTTATAGCTTAGTTAACATATAAATTGGCCATGCTCAACTCGTTTTTAATATTACCGGTGTCATGCTAAACTACTCGTAATTGCTGGCTAAGCTCTTTAAATACTGTGTTGCGTTAATTTACCAGTCTAACTTCTTGGACTAGGACATTAGCTAGTCAATTATTCTGTAGCTCACATGTTGACACAAAGAAAATCTTGTTTAGACCTCAGTATTTAATATTTTAATTAGTAAAAATGGAGTTAATCTGATTTCCGGAACGGATTTTACGTTGCTACTTCACTTCACTTTTTGCCAATCTTACGTATTCGCCCAAAGAAGGGCAATTAACCTATTTTTCAATACGATATTTTTATGATCCTTGTCTATAAAGGCTAGTCAGCTCATCTCAAATAGGAGTTTTTATAGAAATTTACTGCATTGCCCCAAACTTATCACTTCTCTTAACTTAAACTTAAAAATATAAACTAATAATAGTTGTTTGCTTTATTTTAATTTTTTTAGAAACTCACTCGAATGGGGTCTTTGCTCGCTGTTGCGTCTGCACAGTTGAAAAATATGAAGATTGTCTGATTTCTTCCACTTCCTTATGATGTCTGATCTGATGTGATCCGAGTCCAAGTCCACGTAGCAGGGTGGAGGTTATCTGGCACCTCTGATAATGCAACTCAAGTTGCAAACATTCCCATTGGAATCGTCTCTAAAGAAACTCTAGAACTATTTTTATTCAATTTAATTGGAGTCCTGAATAGTTCAGTGGACGTAATCCATTCGATGTTCCAGTATCTTAGTATTGGGGGTTCGACCACTTCGAATGCCGACTTGATAACGACTGAACTGGCGGTTGGAAAATATTTTCAATACGACAAGACAGCTATATAGAACGGCGGGGAAAATAAACATAATTGTCAGAATAAAATGATACAGAACTTTACTAAATGTTAATTAAGGAGCACTGAAAGAAATTTAATCACAGCTTAATGTTTATGAAACCAAACATCACATATAAAGGTTGGCATTCCAAAATCCTATTGCATTGCAGTTGGTCTCCAATCTTCACCAGCTTATACAAGTTATAAAATTATATAAGTTATAAAATACATTTAAAGTCCATTTTATCAATAAAGCTTCCAAATATTAAACACAATTTCTCCCAGTGTCTCTGAAGACTTCAGTTTATAGTTTGTAAATCGCGTAGAGATTAAATGCAACTCTTCGGTTCAATGGCTCCAAGTTTAATGATACCTTGTGAGTGTTTAAAATATTGGAGTTTCCTGAACCGAGAGCACTCGCATTATGAGCAATATAAAGGTAAACTTCAACCTGCGATTAATGTTTTTCAATTTTGGGTTTCTTACCTTATGGACTGAAGGGTCTTGGTTTTAAACTGATAAGCCAAGATAATGTCCGGGCCCCAATTCCTAATCGCTTGCTCTCAATTGCGATGGTTCAGGGCGATAAGATGAGCCCCCAGGCGACCTTAAACAGTGCACTTCGATGTTTAAAATATGAAAAGGGTGAGCTTATTTGTGATTCAACCAATCGATGCCTCTAATCAACTTGATATATGACAACACAACGGAAACCTTACTATTGGGAAAATCAAAGTGACAGCCAATCGATTATATAGTCATATATAAGTTCCCTTTAATCCCTTTAATCAAAAAGATTTTGCCAGTCTTGAATACATTGAGTATTTGATTAGACGTCATTGAACGTTGAATGAATGAATGGTTACAAAACCTATCGTTATAGTACAATCGGTCAACGGAGTTTCAATCCGTTTAAAAACGTATTCCTTCCCTGATTCTTTGCTGAAAAGTCAACAAGTGGGTTTTGTGATTTTTGAGATAAGTTTAAAATTCGTTTTGGAATTACAGCTTATTCAGCTTATGTCTGAAAATAAAAAAGTTGCCGTAACCAAGTTGTATAAAAAAAATATAACTTATTAAAATGATGCATCATAACACCAAAGCATCATCACTGGAAACCACAAGAAAAAAGTTTATTAAATAAATAAAACAAAACAATTTGAAAATAATATAATTAAAAAAAAATGTTCGAACTTCGAATGAGATAGTTTTTCTTAAATGTAATAATAAACAATATAAAAATGATTTTCTTTAGAATTTTATGTTTTTATAATATGGAGACTCCTAGCACTCAATATCTTAAGTTTTATTTACTTTCGCTTAGTTACTTTTTTAACTGTTTCAACAACCAATAACAACCAACAACAACAAACAATCAAAAATCAATCCTCAAAGTTTTAATAATATTTCACAAGCGAAACGTTCGCATTTTGAATACTAGTGTTGCCAGTTAGAAATTAGCACAGATCGTTGCCAGACTGTTAGAGGTTTCAGTCACAGCTAAATGTTCATCAAAGTATTCCTCCATGGCTTATGTCTCAGATAAGCAGTTTTCGTGCTATATCTAGTACATTTTCACGTACCATCTACCATATGGAAAAATAAATAAAGAAACCGAATGGCAGCGACGCGGGCTATAAAAGCCAATCTCAGCCTCCGATTTTAATTCAGACGCGCATAATCAAGCGAGTGACAATAACTCCCAAACGGAAGTGAACATTTCAAGTGAATAACTTCAAAAAACAAACGGAAGCCCCGAAGAATTACCGGCATCTTGCATAACTGATATAAAAAATCCTAACAAAATGCAATCTATGGCCAGACAAACTGCGCGAGCCCTTCCCCAAGTGGGCAAGCAAGGTGTGTGTGTGCTTCAGCCAGTGTCACTGTTTAGTAGTGCTGATCCTAACGATCTATTTTAAATTTAGTGAGCTATCTTTCCACGAGCGGAGCCTGGAGGGCAGCAGCCGGAGGTGGTGACATGGTTGTGGAGATCAAGGAACCCAAGACCCGTACCGAGAAACTTATGGCTTTCCAGAAGAAGCTGCGCGCCAAGACGCCGCTGGGCAAACTGGACGAGTTCTCACGCCATCCCTACCAGGAGAAGGAGCCCCTCAAGCCCTGGCCAAACCAGACCAATCCGTATACGGGCGAGATCGGTGGACCCGCTGGACCGGAACCCACGCGATATGGCGATTGGGAGCGCAAAGGACGTGTCTCCGATTTCTAGTCCCCCAAAGAGTTCCTTAGCTAGTACTTAGGCTGTTATTTAAATGCTAACAATTAAGACTTGATCAATCAAAACAAAACTAAAAAATGTATACTCGTGTTTAGTGTAAAAAGTAAAAAATACAATATATTTTTAAAGCTATTTAAATTTGTTGAGTTTTTTTGAAATTGCTGATGGTAGAAGTAGTAAAGTTCATGAAATTAAACTAATATTTGGACATAAAAAGATAAATTTTTCATAAAAACATTATATTTCTGTCAATCACATTTGAAAACATTTTCATTTAATTTAAAATCTAAACATCTTTTTATTTATCAACTAAAAATTAAAAAGCTTATAAATTTCCCAGTTACTTTCAGAGAATTGATCTCCCCGGAATATATAAATATATTGAAATCTAACCAATTGGAAAGTTAATGCTGTTCCTCTTCCAGGAGCTCAGAAATCAAGTTCTCACTGAGTTGCCAAAGTTGCTGCTGCAGTGCAGCACTCTTGGACAATTTGCTGGGCTCGCAGAAGAAGCAGTTGTTGAAGTACAGTCCAGACAAGCCCGTCAGCTCATTGGCTGTGGCGCAGTAGATACTCGTGGCAGCCGCCTGTTGCTGTAATATCGAATTACAAATAAAACGTAGTGAGAGCTTTTTCTTTATAAAAAATTCGCGTCCAACCTACCAGTGACTTCGTAAAGGGACGCACTATCGCAAAGAGCAGGCGATAGAACCAATAGTTTCGCGACAGGTCGGTGGATACCATATTGCCTGGATGCAGGCTGAACACAGAAATTCCTCGCTGCTTCCAGCGCTGGATAGAAAGGGTTGACAAATTGCATCTAATTGACCCGATTTTAACTTAATTTGGTCATGACTCACCTGGGCGAGTTCCTGGGCAAACAAGACATTGCACAGCTTGGCATTGTTGTAGGCCATCATGCTCCAGTACTTCTCCGGGGGCGGGGAAAGATGATGCACGGCCAGATTCTCTACGGGGAGATTGGCAAATCTGCAAGGAAGTATATGTTGTATATAGATTGTTAACGACGCATTTCTTTGTCAGCCAGCCAGTCCCACATACACATTCCTCGTCCAGCTGAACCCACTGGACTTTGCCCTCGCCGGCCGACAATCGCAAAACGAGTCTTGATTGGCTTTGCCAATGGCATAGCCGGCTCTAAACGCTCTTCATTAACGAGATGCAGAGGGCATAAACCGAATCAACAGAGTGCAGGGCACACAATATGTAGCTGCTGGTGACAGTGACAATGGACAATGGCGCCAACAAGTGTGTGGCTGGCGAAAACAAAGCCACACAATGAACAAGGACATTCGGAAATGAATATTGAACTTTCTAGAGTACCCCAAGTTATTCTCAAACACTTCACTGGGGGAAGCCCCAACATCTTTCAGAGTAGCGCATGAGCAAGTCGCATATATTCCGGAGAACTAAGAGCCGCAACATAGAAAACATTTCTATCCTCAAACACCGCTGCGCACATTTTGGACTTTGGATTTGTTTTCATTTTATGGAATCTTAGCGCTCGGCTTGGGGGCGATGTAAATATAACGTCGCAAAATGTATGCAAATTCTGTTTTATTTATAAGTATGGGCCGCAGTCGGCATCCATACAATAAGCTTAACCCGTTGATGGTGTTTTTTGTTTTGTTGTGGTAGGTACTGGCTAAGCAATTAAGTGTTCTTTATCTGGACTGGCTTTAATATGCATATTTACACAAATTATTTATTTCTACAGACTGACAAATGGCTGATGAAAGTAATTTAAATTGCAAATACAAGCAAGCAAGTTTTTTTTATTACTTCGATTGGCCATTATTAAATGGCAGTTATGAAGTTTGTATAGTATAAGTTAGTTTATTTTGATAGCTAGAAGATATGACTCTTTTTAATATAAATGTTTTTCTTATTAAATGATAATAATATCAAAAATAAACACTAACTTTCTTACAAAAACAAAAATATAAATCAACTAGATATTTATGTAAATATTGTTTTGAACACTTTGAGAAATATAAACGACATTTAACTTGTTGTTATTTGTTGAATCGGTTTTTAGAATAAATAATTTCTGAATACATTTAAGTAAATTAATAACTTCGGCGGGCTGGTGTGAAAATAAATGAAAATTTGCACAAACAGCATTATTTGTTTATGTGCCGTTTGAAAGTGATTATCAGTTAGCACCGACTTTTGATAGCTCGCATTGACCCCAATAGGAGCCAAGTGTAATTCATCATATCTGAACGCTTGTTTGGTGCTGGTGGTAGTGGCATACATGACTATCTGCGAGTACTCCAAATGGCGCACGAGACTTTTGTTGCACGTTCGCCCGAGTGAGAGAAAGATATGTACCCGGTTCCATGAAACAAAAAATGTTGTACGTGAGCCAAGCAACGAACGCAGCAGCAGATACAAAACCACCTCCAATAACAACCATGTATGTACCACCACTTCAGACTGAATTTGTGCTGTGCTTCTTCCGCCGCTTCACGAGATTCGTTTACCAATGATTTATTTATTTCTTTTTTTTTGACAGCTCGCACAGTGGGTCATTCGTTTCCCTAAATTAATCAATTTAATTAAGCGAGTTAGCGCAGATTAGGGGAATTGTGGGTGATTATTTCCATGTGACAGAGCTTTGAAGGGTTCTTTGTTTGTTGGAAATATGGAACAGAAGTTGATAGCTTTAGATATTTTTATATATTTTAGCAGTAATTGCAGTAAAGAAGCAAGAATAAAGAAACTTGTCCTTAAAAAACTTTCCTCTAAAGGATAACTAGTTGTAACGATAAAAAGTAATTTAAATGAATTTTTAGGAGCAGATAATGGTTTGTGGGAAGGACATTTTACTTAAGATCAGAGTTTTTAAAATGTCATTTATATATATTTTAAGATCCCTAGAGAGCTTTGCTTTCCACTGTGCTTACTTCTGCACGTGAGGCTGATCATATTGCCTTTATGTACAAATCACTAAGAGGGGAACGGGTGGGCCGGAGTAGTGGTTATGGTTTTGATAGTACAATCACAGCTGCGTCAGCGTCGTAATTATTTTTCTTCGACTCTTTGTTTGTTTAAGACTGCGCAGCACAAAATGTAAACGAAGCCTTTGGGCTGGGAAAAAAACAATATTTTCCAAGCTAAGTTCATTTACGTTTTGCCTTGAAATCGAACCAAGCCGAAAAACATCTATTGTAAATAAAACAACAACCCGAGATGTGTGGCAAACAGAAATACATTTTGGAAAAGGCTACACTAGCCGGCATGACTGAGGCGGAATACACTCGTACACTTATTTCTGGCCTGGGCTATGAATAGTTTTGGCCGCAAAGTGCGAAAAGAAACCGGTCGGTCCAAAGTCCACTGTGTGGATTCATAAAAGTGCAATCAACTTGCAAAAATAAAAGAAGACCACTTGGAATGCCAGACACACATTTAAGCCTTGGGGTGTCGACTAAAATATATCCACTATAATCTATTTTGGTTTTTTTTTTGATACCAGACACAAGATTTGGAGTGACCTCGCTGTAATACAGAGATACTTTCCATTGTAAAAGATTAAAAGATTTATTATTATTAGAGCTTGATGTATAACACATTGTTAGATTAATAACAACAATATAACAGACGCCATTCTAGTTTATAAATAAATCACTTTTTGGCTTTTGATAAGAATAAATTAGACTTCAATGACAAGTAATCTAATTGGCACAATTATTGCAAAATGTTTTCTTTATTCTGTCTCATAAATTGAATGAAATGTAAATACGATTCAGATATTTTTTAATTATGACAGGTTCCAAATTCGTTTACGTTATTAAAAATTTTCCTTTGATTTAAATTGTTTTTATATTTAAATATATTTAAGCAAAAAATGCTTGTCAGCACAAAAAATGATGAAACTTTAAAACGAGAGCTCAAAGGATTTTACTCCAAAATGCAAAATTTATAAAAAATTGCGATTTTCTTGAAGTTCCAACATTTCCAATATGTTAAAAACCTTTTAAAATCCACTAAAACCATGGCCATAGTATATTCAAACAAAGTTGACATAGGCCATGGAATCAGTGCTTGTTTAAATTCCTATATAAACAAACCGAAAAAGTGCATTAAGTTTTGATTATGTTAACAATAGTTTATACTGTACTCCAGCAAAAGGGACACAAACACAGCGCATCTACGTTCTAAGATCGTATATCATACATTCTATAACTAATCCCCTCAATCAAATTACGTGTGAAAATGATCAAATTGCAATTTACCTGTGCGACTCGGATGACAGCACAACAATCCGTGTTTTGTAATCAAACAGTGCCTCCAGTTGCAATGTCAGGTAGAAATGCGACAGGTGCGAGACCTGGAATGTGGTTTCCAGACCGTCCTCGGTCTTTGTGTGAGGCAGTGCAAATACGCCAGCGTTCAGGATTAAGAAGTCGATATGGCTGCAATATATAAGAATTGAAGTTAGTGGGTTATTTTTTAGAGGTTATATAATAACTAATAGCTAACCTAACGGTCTCCTTGATTTCCTTGACAAATCGCTGAACTGATCTCAAGGAACTGAGGTCTAGGGCGGCGAATCGACAGCGGGCACGGGCTGCTGGACGTTCCTGGGCAATCCTTTCGATAGCAGCCTCTGTGGAAGTCCTGTTTCGGCAGGCAAAGATGATCTCACAACCGTGTTGAGCCAACGATCGTGCGGTCTCAAAGCCAATCCCACAATTGGCACCCGTAATCAAGGCAGTGCGTCCATGCAAATCCTTTCCATGGAGAACCTGCAGAGCCGTCGAGCAAGAGTCAAATCGCTGGCGCACCTGGGCCACATTCTGTGTGGGCTCCTCCACGGCAAAAGCCAAACGAGGATCGACATTGGTCCGTTGCTGCGTCTCCTTGTTGAGGAACATAAACCGCTTTCCCTGCTCATCGTAGTACTTCTCCCAGCCCAAGGGTAGCTCACCAGTAATTCGCTTGGACCGACCTGTTCTCGGGTGTGTCCATTGTGACGTTTTACCTTGTTGGCTAATAGTATAATTAAATTTTATTATCTTTCTTTTACGACTCCAATTGACTTTTGACTTTACTCACTTCACATAGCAAACAGTTCCGTCATCGGTGGCTCGCTCTTCCCAGCCAGGTGGCAGTTCATCCTCACTATCCGTATCGGGTAGGGACATCATTTTGTTTAGGAATTAATATTATTAAATGGTTTCTTTGGTTGGAAAATTCAACTTTTAGATAAAAACAAACTCCAAGGCTTGGAGTCCAAGCCAATTCCTTCTGAAGTCGATTAACGATAGGCCGCCGGCTAAGCTGTGTTGGAAAATGTTCAAAGAAAACAGCTGATCTGCTACGCGCGCAACATAACATAACCGGTGGGTTAACAGGCGCATATAACATTGGTTCGTTATATATTTGAATTTAAATTCCCTTGATTGATGTTTTTATGATAAAAATATTATATTTAGACATTAATGATAATACATATCATCCCACCTTAAGGTTAAGCGCTTCCAACTTGACGTTATGCAATAATTTAAACTGGCCGTGCCTTTGAATAATAAAATATTATGTCGACAGCAGCTTTAAAATCGCAAATATATATTTATATTACACTTGTTTTTGGAAAAATTTTATTACTTTAAACTAACAGGGCTTACAAGTTTAGGCAGCTTTGGAGATAAGTATATGTATTTAAATTTGACTGTTCATTTTATTCAGGTTTGTAAAAGCTTGAAAGATGCATATAGATCATAAAAACAGAAACGCCCCAACACGATGTCTAACTTGAGCTTAGTTCGGCATGTAAGTTGTTATTAGTAAAAATAGTAATTAAGTTAGTTAGTATTTGCAGGTTAATTTCATATTTAAAACCTTATCTTATTGATTTCAGATAGCACAACTCGAACTATTAAACTTTTTACCAATATAATGACACCATTTGAATAAGTTTTACTATAATATCGTTTAATTTATTATTTTTATCATTTAAAATGATATATATTGGCTTCCTAACTAAAAAGTCAACAAATTAAGGTACTAAGGCTTAAAAATCTAGAATCCTTGGGATTAGACGGCCGCTGGGGGCTGGTTTATAAGACCGTAGAATAGCACCAGTTTGGTGGGATCGTGGCGCAAGAGCACCATGAATGGAGTGTCTCCTCGAAAGACGACATCTGGGCCAGATTTCTTGAGGTACGTAACTGAGGCCGCCGCCGCCTCTGTTCCCTGCTCGTTGACGTTGAAGTCCACTTTGTGGACAATATCATCCACAACCAAATCAGAGCGTGCTCCTCCCGTTCCAGCTCTTCGCTGGGCCTCCAAATTCTGCAGACTGTTTCCGCCCAGCGAATTCGTTCTGGTCGCTTCGTTTGTGGCGATCAGTGAGAGATCATTCTGCACGGTGCTAAAGATGCCTCCCAGACCCATTCTCTGCATGACTGTCTTAAGGTTCACCGACTCGGTGAGATGCATCTTTGGGAAGGCAACTAGAGCTGCCCGCCTGTACATCCGGCTGATCATGTCCTCCACCTTATCCGCGGACAAACGCTTCTGCAGTGCCATCAGTTCACTAACCGACGACTTAAAGGGCTGAATGATGTACATGGTGCTCAGGTTTCCCCTGTAAGGCAATCCAATGATCTTGCAGCCTAGCTGGGCATCTTCATAGTAAGGATATGATCCTCCGGTGGCCATCATTTGGACCCTCACTACAGGTTCGGTTCCCTCTCCATTTGGATAAAAGTTATCCGGCCGCGTGGCAGACTCTATGAAGTCAGTTTCCCAGAAGCCCTTGAAATACAGAGCGTTGGCCAAAATCATCCTGGTACTCTGGGGAATGTCGCTGGAGATGATGTTCTCGATGTGGTTCATCGTGTGCTTTGCCACCCAGGAGTTGATGTTGTAACGTGCAGTAGCCGGACTCCCCTCGAAATCCAGAACCTCCAGATCAGAGCCGTAGACCTCGGTGACTACTCGCCTGTAATTGCAAAAAAAAAGTAGAGCTCATGAGTAATAAATCAATAAGACGTTACCTATTAAGCATGCAAACAACGTTGCATAAACTGGGACAAGATTATTGGACGCGGGGACGATGGGTTGAATTTGTAATATTTTTAACTGGGACTCAATAGTAACTTTAGTGAGCGAAATAAAACAATATTGGTTTACAAATTATGCAGTTTTTGATAAGTATATTGCGAGTAAATGGCAAATTTCGAAAGCTTTCCTAAATTAAATAATATTTCCAACTGTTTTATTTAGTATTGCAATATTAAATCCTTGAATCCTTATCTATGTATTTTATTATTAAATCACTATGGCATTATATGATAAGAAACTTAAGTCATTTTCACTGTCATATTCGGAAGTTTTCATACGTTTAAGCCTTATCTTGAGTAAAAATCTGTCATTTCATTCCAGTTCCGATTGATTCGCCTCGCTTTGAACTTCTTAACCTTTACAACCATATATTTTTATAATCTCTCAATATTTTTCAAACAAACGATCCCAGTGGGAAATTCTCAAGTTTGTTGTACTTATATATTTCTCAATGAATGATTGGCTATAGAAATATCATTAAGAATAGGAAATTATACGTTTGCGATGTTTAACAGCTATTCCCTACATGGAAAAAAATAATTTGGTATACTGCAATTTAAGTGCTTATCAAAAATCTGACAAAAACTAAACTCGATTTGACTATCATTTCATCTTTAACTTTTTATTAAGAGACTCTCCTTGGGTTTAAACTTTAAACTTTAAAGGGACAAAACTCCCAACAAAGCCTTGCAAAAACACCACCTTAAACAAATTTTAATATTGCTTAAAAAAGATGACATCATTTCTACCTCAACACAACCTTAAAAACACCTTGCTCTCTGTATATCAAACAAGGCTCGAAAGGATGGAGACTTTATCAACCCGACAGCCTTGATTTTTTCACCGTGTAACCACTCAAGGCGATTGCTAATCATCTGGCATTTCCCAACCTGAGCTCACTTTAGATTCAGTTTACAATTTACAATTATCCGCAGAAAAGCTCACCTGTAGTCGGGGTTGAGTGAGTAGCCGGTCTGTGTGAACAGTCCGTTGGCCATGTGCACCTCGTGGGCGCCCGGTCTTTGGGCACGTCGATTAGATCTCATCTGACTGTTGGCTCTCCAATTGGTCAAGGGTCGCTCTGGGGATATACTATCTCTTGTGGGTTTTTGCAGATCCTGCAGCATCAAACCAAACTGCTCGTGGAGCCGGGATGTATCCGATATATCAAAGACACTTGATAGCTCCTCATAGCTGCGACCCTTGGCTCCTAGCAGTAGCAATGCCAGTGAGTGGACAATGCTCAAGGGGGAGAAGATCACGGTCTTGGCATAGCCCAACTGTTGTCCCAAAACGTTAGCGAAGTTTAGTACCCTTTCCGCAATCTTATCGGATGTGGGAAGATCCACGTAGGTGGGATAATAGGCAGCTGGTACCGGCTGTTTCACGGAACTGCCAGCATTTTGGGCGGGAAATCCGTTTACAAGGCTGGGTGATTGCAGGGGCGCCGTAGGTGGAATTGCTTGGATATATTGCGGTTGCTCTGGCTGTGGCTGCTGCGGCAGATGCTGCTGCTGTTCTTGCTGCCTCTTCTGATCCCTTTGCTGCTTTAGGGAATTTATATAGGCCATCGTTTCCGGAGTCCTAACGTGATCCCGCCAAAGATCCGACTCACAGAACACCGCACCGATCATAAAAAGAGCCAAAAGCGAGCGCCACATTTTGTAATTTGTTTTAATCTCGAAAGAGCGCACACAACGAACTATATATATAGTATTTAATAGGTATATATATATGCGTAATTATATATAAAAATATTTTTTTTTCTAGTTCTAAACGCGATGTGGTTCTGCGGGTTGTTAAAGTCAGACTGAGCTAATGGCGCTCAGTGCGCATCTTTATAAAACTGGAATCGAAAACTCGTTATCAAGCAAACACACTCCTTCAAGCTCCGGTCTCCGGCGCTCTTGATCCCCAGCTGATCTTGGAGAGCTTTTCGCTGACTAGTCACTGGTTATACCCCAGGTTTGTTTACATGGCCGCCCCCTATGGGATCTGCACTTGTTATTGATCTTCGATGATCGGTACTTTCTGTATTGATGTACTGCCCCGCGCCTTCAATATTCTGCGAACTCTATAGCGGAAATCCAATCGATCTCTCTCTCTCTCTCTGCGTTCGTCAGTGTGTGTGTGACCCGTGACGTGCATATTAAAATTCTCACAGCCACTGTATATTTTTCTCACTCCCACCTAAGGTGAGTAAATATTTTAAATATTTATTAGCTTAGTTAGATGCGTGTTCTCGGTTTTGTCATTGGAAAGTTTGCCCACATTGACACTGTGATAAAGCTGTGGGAATTCCCTCAGCTAGGATAAGATGAGCACGATTCTGGTCCATAAGAACCACATATGTATGTGCATGCAAATGGGTTTTAAATGACGAAACAAATTTACCATCGCACTTACCCGTAGTAATTTAAAAATAAGCCTGACTTGCATAATAAGTTACTTGGGGAATTGTGACTAATTTGAACTTTGATCGATGCATTAGAATATTTCTAAACGCCGGTTGCAAAAACCCATTAGGTCAAACATAAACAAATAGATTTAAAGTAATTTGAGATGTTTTTAATTTTTGATTTAGATATTTTATACATTAGATTCTTCTAATGAACAAGTTGTCTATAAGTACAAACTTTTAAGGTTTCTGAATATTTGTATTATAAGATAATATTAATTCATAATATAAAAACCACTAAGAAAGTTTTATGTAAAACTTGAAACTTCCATTTCTCAAAAACAAATATTTTGCAAAAAAAAGTAAGGATCGTCGAAAATGTATCCGGAAATACGCTTCGAAAGTCTTTGATAACTTAAAAACAAAGAAAGATTAAATCACACGATTCGGAAAAAATGTACATATATAAAATTGAGCGTGACTATAATGTTGAAGTACAAAATAAAGGTGGATAACCCCTTATAAAATCATTAATATTTTCATTAATATTTGAAGATCACACTGCTTAATATCGAAAAGGGTTTGATTGGCCTGTTGAAACCATTTAAACCAATTAAAAATTTCATTATTGGTCATTAAAAGCCATTTCTACGTAATTTGAAAACTATAAAAATCGGATGATTATTCATCTAAATTAAAATCAAACCTTGTGGGAGGTTTCTATTTAAAAGGCAGGTCAGCTAATAAATTAGGGAACAATTGTCACGCTACTGTGGGCGTCAAATTCTTTATAAATTGAACTGACAAATCTAGATGTGAGTAATGTATAATAACAAAATAGCAACGAAACCTATTGTGTTCTACTAATAACTATTGCCTAACGAGTCATAGAAATATATGATCTAAAAGGATATTTCTGTTAGCGTAATAAAGTTGTAAAGTAAATACAGAGAAATAATATTGAAACCTAAAAAGCATAGCCCAAAAGATAAGTTAGGCTAATAGCCTTTAATGTTTTGTATATCCTAAAATGAATAAAATAAATATGTTTAAAGAAAATATTTTTGAAAAAAATATTATATATATATATATATAATATATATATTTCAAAAAAGTATAGTATGACCTGATACGACGAATAAAATAAGAACTACGCGCATTCAGCGCCAACTAGCGAAAGACTTTTTTGACAGCCTAATATGAATTTAAAAGTAGACAAAAGTCTGTCTCATTTTTCAGATATGTACGTTTCAAATTAAATTAAAATTTTTTTACTTATTTATGAAGAGCTACCAAGTACTTTAAAATGAAGAGATAGCGGTGATGTTGAGCAAGGCAACAGGAGCCTTTTGCTCGTAAATTTAAAATTATTCAACCTATATTAAAAAAAAAATGTGTCTCAGCTAAGTTTGATTGGAATCAATTGCTTTTAATACTGGCTTGAATATAATCTGTTGCTTATTAATTAGCATTGAAATTAAATTTGTTCATTTCTGTACCTACAAAACCTGAATTAAGCTCAGTCTGAATAACATTTGCACATTTAAATATAATTGTTGTTGAAGTGTTTTTGTTAAATCATTTTGTTAAACCAAAGATTTTAAATGTAAATATTTATATATATTTACAAAAAACAGTAAAACAGTTGTATATGTACTAAATATGTTCAATAAGTTTATTTTACTTGTGTTTTAATTTTCACTTTTAATGTCTTCTACACAATTTTTGATTTAATATTGTTACTCAACCCAATACGATGAGTCGATTTTATGGAAACCAATTTTTTCAAACATGCTTTTCGAAGCTGTGTTTTTGTTCACCACAGGGGCTGTAACTTGATCCCCCAAAGCGGAGATCTTCTTGGCCATGGATTTCACCAATAAACTGCCCAGGCCCAGACGTTTATGTGACTCCAAAACTTGCAACAGACCCAGGGACCCAATGGGCAATCTAAGAGGTAACGAAAAAACTTAAGTTCAGATCATTTACAAAATGTATATGGAAAAGTTACCTTAAACACCAGGCAACCAATTTTCCATTGTCATCGTAGGCTCCCAAATTCACATTAAACTTTATCAAGCTTCTCACGAACTTAATCGAGTTAGGACCACGATGTGGCCAGATTTCATTGATGGTTTCGGCATCTTCCAGGGCCAAGTTCAACAAAGTTATGCCAGAAGGAACCCTGCATTAAAATCAATCAATAAAATAACAAATAATTAACAGAAAAAAGATACTCACTCAGTGGTAAAAGTATCTATAAGATCTTTGCTGACAGTATACCAAAAGGCCTCCACTATTTTAATCTCTTTCGTGGTATAATACTTCTTGGTAATATGTTCTACAACAGGTTTCAATCGAGAACAGAAACCATAAAATACGTATTCATTCTCAATGGATTTCAAGCAGTCTAAAGCTTTGGTCGCACGATCTAAATTGTTGTTAAGAGTATTGAAGTAAAGGTGCTTGTAAGCAGTTCCCAAATCCACCTAAGCTTAGCAAAATTATTAACAGTTAACTTTACTACCCGCATTACTTACAGTTAAAACAAAGGTTCCATCACTCTGCCAATCACCGTTTAATGATAGGAATTGTACTTTAAGTTCAGGGTCTTTCTCGACCCACTGAATGAAATTATTTATGCACGAATAGCCTTGGGGATCGGTGTCTCTCTGGACATATAAATCTCGCAGCTCAGCCCAATCGCTGCGGGGAATCTCAACCAAAGAATCCTCCTCCGGCATGGCGACAACCTCTTCCAGCGAAAGCCGATTGAAAACTAATATTTAAACCATAACATGTCAAGAGAGGCAAGATGAACTCAAATGTTGAGTGATTCGAATTTAAAATACCCTTCACTCTGTTTTGATTGAGTTTTTCTTTAATAGCGAAATATATTTCACACCTCTACTCGCGGTGATGTCATTGCACAATGTAATCTTTGTTTCTATTCCTTAAAACCTTTCATAATTAATGTGGGTGACACAGATTTTAGCGATGTGTTGTAAGGGGCATTCCTAATCCCATCTTTCTAGCTGAAGAAATGGACGGAAAATATATACGATTATTTTATTGGGTTGGATGATTTCCCTTACAGATTTCCCTTAACTTACTTTTCATCGAACCCAATATACCCTTTTAATAATTAAATAATGAGTATATGTACTCTGAGTTTGAGAGAATAAATATTTAAGAGAGCGAGATAAGGAAACACATATTAACTGTATATTATTACAAGAAAAGTTGATGAAAAAAAGCGGACATGAGAAACCTCTTGATTTCTTGATTAATGTTCTAATCCACCTATTTTCATGATATTTTATAAAACCAAAAAATTTTTTTATTTTTTTATAAAACAGAAGGCATTACTGCCCAGTAGACTTTATTAATAGGAGTAAATCCTAATTTCTCAAACATTTTTTGGGACTTCTCATTTTCGAAGACAACTGTGGCCAGAACTTCTGAGCCCGAGGAACTAATTTCATGAGCCATGAACCGTACTGCCAAAGACCCAAGTCCTTTTCGACGATGTGAGGGCAAAACATGCAAGTTGCACAAGCTACCATGAGGAGATCTAAAAGCAAATACAAGATGCTGTAAAAGAAATTGGGAAAGTCAGATCCTTTTATATTACCTCAGGCACCAGGCTAAGGGTACGACTATAAGATACCCGTTACTGTTTTACAAAATTTTAAAATATTATTTTGCTAGTAGAAATTTACAAGGCGCCACCTATTGTCAGAGGAAGTTTGTTGAGTATGCCTATAGTGACGTCACTGCCCCTGTGAGGCCTTATAACCTTAATTTCTTTATAAATAGCGAAATAATTGGGAGCATCATTAAAACCTACATGCTTAATGCGAACTTTCTATCTCTTATAGTTACCGAGATATCAGCTTTTCTAGAAAATACGAAAACAATCTTGTGAGCCTTGTGGGCGTATGGGTGGGTGTGTCTGGATAGTAGAACCACTATAAGATGCGCTGGCATCTGAAGATTATACTTTCTGAATTTCAACTTTCTAGATTTCAGCAATTTTAGTTTTTTGCTATTTGTGGGCGTTATAGTGGGCGTGGCAGGATGCTGTAATAAACTTGCGCTGTCCCGGGACCTCAAGAATCTTCATGGTTAATCTCAACTTTGTATCTGTTATAGTTTCTGAGATCTCAGCGTTCATACGGACGGACGGACGGACGGACAGACGGACATGGCTCAATCGACTTCGCTATTGATCCTGATCAAGAATATATATACTTTATAGGGTCGCAAACGCTTCCTTCTATCTGTTACATACTTTTCAAGGAATCTTTTACTCTACGAGTAACGGGTATAAAAAAAGTGTGTCTCAGCTAAGTTTGATTGGAATCAATTGCTTTAAATACTGGATTGAATATAATCTGTTGCTTATTAATTAGCATTGAAATTAAATTTGTTCGTTTCTGTACCTACAAAACCTGAATTAAGCTCAGTCTGAATAACATTTGCCCATTTAAATATAATTGTTGTTGAAGTGTTTTTGTTAAATCATTTTGTTAAACCAAAGATTTTAAATGTAAATATTTATATATATTTACAAAAAACAGTAAGCAGTTATATATGTACTAAATATGTTCAATGAGTTTATTAAATATAATTTTACTTGTGTTTTAATTTTCACTTTTAATGTCTTCTACACAATTTTTGGTTTAATATTGTTACTCAACCCAATACGATGAGTCGATTTTATGGAAACCAATTTTTTCAAACATGCTTTTCGAAGCTGTGTTTTTGTTCACCACAGGGGCTGTAACTTGATCCCCCAAAGCGGAGATCTTCTTGGCCATGGATTTCACCAATAAACTGCCCAGGCCCAGACGTTTATGTGACTCCAAAACTTGCAACAGACCCAGGGACCCAATGGGCAATCTAAGAGGTAACGAAAAAACTTAAGTTCAGATCATTTACAAAATGTATATGGAAAAGTTACCTTAAACACCAGGCAACCAATTTTCCATTGTCATCGTAGGCTCCCAAATTCACATTAAACTTTATCAAGCTTCTCACGAACTTAATCGAGTTAGGACCACGATGTGGCCAGATTTCATTGATGGTTTCGGCATCTTCCAGGGCCAAGTTCAACAAAGTTATGCCAGAAGGAACCCTGCATTAAAATCAATCAATAAAATAACAAATAATTAACAGAAAAAAGATACTCACTCAGTGGTAAAAGTATCTATAAGATCCTTGCTGACAGTATACCAAAAGGTTTCCACTATTTTAATCTTTTTCGTGGTATAATACTTCTTGGTAATATGTTCTACGACAGGTTTTAATCGAGAACAGAAACCAAAAAATACGTATTCATTCTCAATGGATTTGAAGCATTCTAAAGCTTTGGTCGCACGATCTAAATTGTCGCTAAGAGTATTGAAGTAAAGGTGCTTGTAAGCAGTTCCCAAATCCACCTAAGCTTAGCAAAATTATTAACAGTTTACTTTACTACCCGCACTACTTACAGTTAAAACAAAGGTTCCATCACTCTGCCAATCACCGTTTAATGATAAGAATTTCACTTTAAGTTCAGGGTCTTTCTCGACCCATTGAATGAAATTATTTATGCACGGATAGCCTTGGGGATCGGTGTCTCTCTGGACATATAAATCTCGCAGCTCAGCCCAATCGCTGCGGGGAATCTCAACCAAAGAATCCTCCTCCGGCATGGCGACAACCTCTTCCAGCGAAAGCCGATTGAAGACTAATATTTAAACCATAACATTCCAAGAGAGGCAAGATGAACTCAAATGTTGAGTGATTCGAATTTAAAATACCCTTTACTCTGTTTTGATTGAGTTTTTCTTTAATAGCGACATATATTTCCCATCTTAAAACCTTTCATAATTAATGTGGGAGACACAGATTTTAGCGATGTGTTGTAAGGGGCATCCCTGATCCCATCTTTCTAGCTGGAAAAAATGACGGATCGAAAATAAATATGATTATTTTATTGGGTTGGAAGATTTCCCTTAACTTACTTTTCATCGAACTCATTATACCCTTTTAATAATTAAATAATGAGTATAACTCAATTTATGTACTCTGAGTTTAAGAGAATAAATATTTAAGAGAGCGATATAAGGAAACACATATTAACTGTATATTATTACAAAAAAATTGATGAAAAAAAAGCGGACATGAGAAACCTCTTGATTTCATGATTAATGTTCTAATCCACCTATTTTCATGATGTTTTATAAAACCAAAAGAGTTTTTTAATTATTTATAAAACAGAAGGCATTACTGCCCAGTAGACTTTATTAATAGGAGTAAATCCTAATTTCTCAAACATTTTTTGGGAATTCTCGTTTTCGAAGACAACTGTGGCCAGGACTTCTGAGCCCGAGGAACTAATATTATGAGCCATGAACCGTACTGCCAAAGACCCAAGTCCTTTTCGACGATGTGAGGGCAAAACATGCAAGTTGCACAAGCTACCATGAGGAGATCTAAAAAGCAAATACAAGATGCTGTAAAAGAAATTGGGAAAGTCAGATCCTTTTATATTACCTCAGGCACCAGGCTATAGGGCTCTCCTTGTTCATCAAAAACTCCAGCAGCTAAATTGTTTTCCATTAAGCCTTTAATTAAGGTTACGGAATCTGCAGAGCGATAAGCCGAGTGTTTATCAACCAAGTCAGCATATTTCGAACTGAGATAATGAACGTTAGCTGAGGGATTCAAACTAAAAGGAAGTCTCATGAAATTAACTTTGTTTTGTAGAATATTTATTCATCTTGCCTTGGTTCCAAACGTGAGATTTCCGAGCTTGGCAGATGATAAACAATAGTGCCTAAATGTTCTAGCTTGCACAATTTTTGACCCAAATTTAACCAATATTTCTCAACAACTGGCTTTAAACGTTCCCCATAGCCACAGATTAAATGGACAACTTTCAGATTCAATGAACACAACAAAGAGGTTAGATCTTCTAAGGAGCCCTTAATGGTATCAAAGAAAACATTCGCCTTGCTACCAAAGTTACGCTGGAAAACAGATCTTATATATATTTACAAAGTTATGTTAGTAATACCATATTTACGATTAGAATATAGCTGTCATGTGTAATCCAATCCTTATCGGTTGTATATATCTTTATAGACTCTACACTAGATGAGGGCTTGTAGTTTACAAAGTATTCAATTAGATCGAAACCGGTGAGGTTTGTTCTATCACTGGCATATAAGTCTCTTAAATCTGGCCACTGATCGCGAGCTATTTCTACTGAATTAAAACCCATTATTATTAATTGTTTGTTCAGACTGTGAAAAATGATAGTGTGCGGAGCAGATGTTCTTTATACGTGCAACAATCTTCAATGAGAAGTTATACTGATCTCATTTGGTTAACGCGCTCTCTTATTTTTCTTAATACTCTGACGTCACAAATATTTCTATGCTCTTGCTTAACCACCTTCTGAGCTAGCCAGCCTGAATAAACTTTCGATAGCATTTCTACTCATTTCTGCGTATATATCGAAAGATCGGAAAACAGCTGATGAAACTTTGTTTACGTTCTAAAATGTTTTGGTTTTTAAATATGATCTAAAAAAAGGGGGCTTAGCTAATAAAATCTAAAGAAAGTAAAATAATTAAATGATGAATCACAGGCAAACGGAAAGTACACAATTTGTGGTTTTTCAATGACATTCGTCAATGAATATTGTTTTATGAATACCATTAAAACATGACAAAACGGATCATTACTCAAAATAGTAGTATTTTTAAATTTATTACGACAACAAATGTTCTTAGTTATTAGTAATGCGTTTTTTCCAAATAACTGAGCATTACTCAAAAAATCTTATAAGAACTTACACTTTTAAAAACACTTAAGTCCGAAAAAAAAACAATTTAATCAGAACCTAATTAACATAAACTTTTTAAAATATTTGGGGCCATGAATATTATTTATTAAAAATAATTCTAAGTTTATTCATATAAGATGACAAAAATGCTTTGTAACTCTTCCGAAAACTGCATTCATTTATATTTTTAAATTTTGATATTTAAGTATAAACGTAAGCACGTCTCTATACGAATATAAATTAAAATATTTTCTGGTTTGGAAAGATAAAAAATATTTGTATTCCTAACAGTGTAGTTTTCCTAAGAACTGACCATTACGCAATAAACATTTCGCGTTGACAGACATCAAAAAGATTTAATACCAGGCACTCCCCTTTAGCACCTTCGATACCTGTACCAATTAGTTACCCAAGAGAGTCCTTAACAAGTGGCAATCAAAGTCAATAATGATTCACAACAAACCATTCTGAGTTGGATGCCATTAAAGCTGATCAATTTACAGACGCATGTCTGGTTTTTGGACAACCGAGGCCGTCGACTAGATGACACTGGGGTCACTAGAGGCATATGGTATGTAAAATGTGATCACTGCGGGAAGATGCCGTATCGGTTCGTTTGAATCAGAGAGCAAACCTAATCAGTATCATTCGAATGTTGGAGCGTTCTAGTCGGCTTCGATTCACCTCCGTCGTCGGCGATGACGTGATCCCTCTTCCAGCTGTTACAGTTTAAATTGTCTCGATTTTGCATTCCACGAGTTGGTAAACCCAAAAATGTCACGCCAGTTAATTGGGGACAGTGCCAGCGTTGGGTTCTAGTGAAACAACAGTGTATTGAAATTCAAACACCACTCCTAAAAATTCATCAGAGAATCAACAAAGTTAGGCTTATCATCATTGACAGGCGAACCGGTTTGCCCAACAGATAAAGCCAGACTACGCCCGCACTTAACATATAATAATACCTGAGTCTAGTTCGACTTGAAACATGGGTCAGAAATATTCGTGTTGCAGAAACTGCGACGATTGGCAATGGTGCAAAAGCAAAGGCAATGAGGAGACTAAGCTGCGTATGCGCAATGTCAATGCCAACTTTTTGGCAGGTGCCCCAAAAAACGACGAAACAGGCAAGTTTATATCTCCCGAAATGGGTATATCAAATTAGAATACCGTAACGAGGTTTTAATTATTCATTTTGCTTAGTATTTCCTAGAGATTTTATGTTAAATAAAACATCAAGTTAATACTCTATATAGACATTACCAAAATTCTCGTACTTCGTCTTTATATTTTCCTTTGTCCCAAATGAGAAAACAATAATTAGTTTCTGAAAATATAAAATTGCATAATTGTGTCAGCAACATTGTTACTTTTAACGATCCACGGACATGCCATTTCAAACAAATTATTTTTGTAGAGTAAAATTGTTCAAAAAAGAATCTTCGAAGAATCTATTGAAAGAAAACAGAAGATCCTATCATCTAGCAATAAATTCTACCCAAAAAGTGTCACCTTTTTAGCCTCGACCTCTTTGTTTTCCTTTTGATTCCCAATGTTCTTTTCAAATTAAATTTGTTTTATAGTATCAATTAGATTTGATCTCTGCGTTTCGCTCGCCGATCTTTAAAATTGATTTACTTTGAAGTGTATGGCACCGATTCGAACAATTATGCATTTTGTTCTATAGTTATTGCCTTTTATGAATGCAAATTGGTTTGCCGTGGGTGTTAAACACTCATAGTAGTGCTGCCCACAGAGTGTAGTTTGCCACTTGAATTGCTCATTTTATACCTGCAAATTTTGAAAATTAAATTAAAATAAACAAAAAGCAAGAAACACCTGCTGACTGACAGAGAGCTTACACAGCAGTTTTTATACCCAAAAATGTAATATTTATACAATAATTAATGATAAACAGCCAATGAAATGATTAATAAGAGTGAGCCTTAAATTGCCAATGCGAATTGATGAAGGGGGTTTCTTAGAGAATCATTCGGAAGAGCACTTGATGCTCACTTAATGACCATTCCGATCAAGATGTTGCCAATGAACGATGACGTAGTCGCTCGCCAAGAGCTTCTTCTTAACCACATCTTGTCTAGCCAAGTTGCCCTCCAGCCCAGCTCAGCTTCCCGTACATAATTAATGATAAACCCACCAGAACTGAAAAGCAGAGAAAGAGAGAGTCCGAGAGAATCGAAAAGAGAGAGCCAAACTATCGGGCCCTGGCAATTTGCGATCAGTTAAGTTCAAATCGTCGCGGTGTTCACATCGAAAGATCTTCGAGCGGATCCGATAAATAAAGATACGCTAAAGCGCAGCTTCCGTTAGTTTCATTCTTCTTTTGTGGCCATTACCGGTGCTAACCGTTACACATAAATTGTGGCTTACAGCGGGCATCTTTGTGTAACCAAATCGTATTAGCCGGAAGCTAAAATGAGTTATTGGTATCGAAATTATACGCCCAGTTGGCTGCAGCGCTGGCTGCCAAATTCTCAGCCGCGTAGAGTGAATCCTTTCCGTAGTACACGACCATCTGCAGATCTTGAAGGTAGTTCTAGGATATCAATCATCTAAAAGTTTAGAGTTACTAGAAATATTTGTAAATAACTAAAATGAGATTTTAATTGGTTTGGTAATTTGTGTTTTTTCGGTCTATGACTTCATTCTGTGCCGTTTTGTTTTCATTTCAAATTCTTGAGCTGGTTGTCTGACGGGTTCAAAAGGTTCCCCCAATGAAAACACAAGTGAATCAAAAATAAACAAAAAATGTGTCTAAACAACTTGTCACAAGTCTTAATGCAAATTATTTTGAATTAAATTATAATTTGTTTAGTATTAACACTAGATGACTTCAGACTGTTTGAACTTTTACTCGAGATGTTTGCAGATTTTTAAAAAGTACTCTTAAAAATATACAAACCAAATCAGTAATAAAAATCTATTTGTGTCACATTTTGTTTGGTGGAAACAATAGCCGATAATCATTGAAATTTTATAATATTTTAGATTTATTGTTGCTGTATGACTTCATTTTTATTTTGCTTATTTCTATTTCCGTTTTGGGAATTTGCGTTGTCGGTTATTTGACACGTTTGGGTGGTTTTGCTATTTGTTGTTTGGCAATATTTGCTAGCACATAGCATAGAAACGAAAACCCAACCTTTGCAATACTTAAATATTTGAATTGATCGATCTATTTATTTATGCATATTGCAATTGAAAATTTTCTAACTGAGAAGATTTTCTATTTTTGCTTTTGCTGAAAGATGAAAGCTATGCGGAAACGATGACCAGATCAGCCATGTGGAAAAATATGCCCCTATAAATCATAGAACATTCCTGATTGGCTTTATCATGGAAAGTGCTTACTCTTAAAAAAGCAATTACTAATTGTAGAAAATAAAAACTTTTCAAAGAGGCACCGAAGAAATCTATTTTTATGCTCAGCAATGGGACCCTAAGTAACCTAAGTTAATTGAATTTAATCATAAAGCGTCTTATTATTGAACTCCCCGAACTTGGTATGAAAAAGCTTAATTTTAATTTGAATTTCATTGCTTATTTGATAAGAAATAGCGTTCCTTTAAATTCGAACTAGGAATATACACTTTCCCTCTAACTTTTGTCTTTTATTTTTGGCACATTTGCTGACAGATTATTTTGTACATTTTTTTCTTTTGTTATTTTATTTAAATTTTTTTGCTGTTTCTGCTCTCAGCGTTGGCGTCACTTTGATTGTCCACTAGGAAAATTAATTGGCTTGGCATTGATTTTCTGGCCAGTATTTCATAAGTTTGTTATGTTTATGGCCAAAGGCGATTAGTCAATTTAATGCTGCAGCTTTTGGGGAACACAACTGGCAGCACATTTGCCTTATGATATCATCCTCTGCCAAAGACATGGAAAAAAAAGAGACGCAAAAATAGCTTTTGAAATTAAGAACCAATTGTTGACAGATTTTAGTTTGGGATGCGCACAAAAACTAATTATTACTCACGAAGTGGATATTAGATGGGAATTTATTAAGAGGCAGAAGATAATTAGATAATCAGTGATAAAGATTATTAATTAAGTTAAGTTAAGTTATGTTCAGTTGCCAGTTTCTAATTAAGGTCTCAAAAGAAATTGAGAAATTTTAGTGATACATCAAGACGAGGACTTTTAAGACTTTTTATTTAATCACAACTAAATAAAATATTTATTTTAATCTACAGATGCCGCCAGTTCAGCAATACTAGGTGTACTAAGAGTCGATCTGTGTCTGGAGGATAACCATGACGAGCACCATACAAGTCACTTCTATGCGGCTGCTGCCAAGGAAGCACTGATCGTTCGGCGAGGAGAACCCTTCAGGCTAAAGATCCACTTTAATCGGGACTACAGCCCCAGCAAGGATGCCATTAGCTTCATTTTCACGGTGGCGGATGATACCAAACCCAGTCCTGGACACGGAACACTGAATGCCTTGGTGCCACATGATGGCATCGATTATCTGGGAGACACTCTGGAGTGGGGAGCTGGCATTGAATCGCATGAAGGTCAAACACTCACAGTGCTGATCAAGCCTCCATCCACCTGTCCTGTGACGGAGTGGAAACTGGACATTGACACAAAGTTGCTCGGGAGATGGATCGAGGAGCTATCCCTTGCCCCTGCCCATCTATGTGCTCTTCAATCCCTGGTGTCCGGATGACCAAGTCTATTTGGAGGATCGTGACCAGCGCAAGGAGTACGTGATGCATGACACCACCCTTATTTGGCGGGGATCCTACAACAGACTGCGTCCATCTGTTTGGAAAATCGGACAATTTGAACGATATGTTCTTGAGTGCAGCCTGAAGGTCCTAGGAACTGTGGGCAGGATTCCACCAGCCTACAGAGGTGATCCCGTGAGAGTGGCTCGAGCCTTGTCCGCTCTGGTGAACTCGGTGGATGATGACGGTGTCCTACTGGGCAATTGGTCGGAAGATTTCTCAGGTGGCGTGGCACCCACCAAGTGGACAGGTTCTGTGGAGATCCTTCAGCAATTCTACAAAACCCAAAAGACAGTGAAGTATGCGCAGTGCTGGAACTTCAGTGGCGTTCTGGCAACCATTGCCAGGAGTCTGGGAATACCGGCTAGGATCATCACGTGTTACTCCTCCGCTCATGATACACAGGCCTCCCTGACCGTTGATGTTTTCATAGATTCGAATAACAAGAAGTTAGACGCAGAGACCACCGATTCGATTTGGAACTACCATGTATGGGACGAGCTTTGGATGCAGCGACCAGATCTGGGAGTCGGTCCGAACGGCACCTTCGACGGATGGCAGGTGGTCGATGCCACTCCACAGGAGGCTTCCGATAACATGTATCGAGTGGGTCCAGCTTCTGTTGCGGCTGTAAAACACGGCGAAATCCTCAGACCCTTCGATGGAGGCTTCGTCTTCGCGGAGGTGAATGCGGATAAGCTGTATTGGCGCTACAATGGACCCAGTCAGCCGTTAAAGCTGCTCAGAAAGGATACCCTGGCTATTGGACATCTGATCAGTACTAAAGCGGTGCTGAAATGGGAAAGAGAAGACATCACTGATACCTACAAACATGCCGAACGTTCCGAGGAAGAAAGAAGCACTATGCTCAAAGCTCTCAAGCAATCCCGTCAAGCATTTAGCCGATACTACCTCAACGACAACTTCAACGAGATAGAATTCGATATGGAGCTAAAGGATGACATCAAGATTGGGGAGAGCTTCAGTGTGGTTCTGAAGGTGACCAATAAAAGCGAGACAAACACCCACTTGGCCACAGGTCAAATCAGTTGCGATGCCGTCCTCTACACCGGCGTGGGTGCAGTGGAGGTCAAGGTCTTGGGCTTTGAACTGGAACTTCAGCCCAAGAGCAGTGACTACGTTCGCATGGAGGTGATCTTCGAGGAGTACTTTGACAAGCTCTCTTCGCAGGGTGCCTTCCAGATATCCGCAGCCGCCAAGGTTAAGGACACCGACTACGATTACTATGCCCAAGATGATTTCCGGGTGCGCAAGCCGGACATTAAGTTCCAGTTTGGAGAGGCTAGCATTGTGGCCCAGAAGGAGATGGATGTGATCCTGCGCTTAGAGAATCCCCTTCCCATTCCTCTGCATAAGGGCATCTTTACAGTGGAGGGACCGGGCATTGATCAGCCTCTAAAGTTCAAGGTAGGTTTCCACAGATATAGATGTAAAGGAAGATCTTTGAAGATCATTAACGGTTTAACTATTTAATGAAATTACTTTAATCATAAGAAAATCTTAATCTTAATAAAAACCTTTTTCTTTTCGTTTTTCAGATCGCTGAAATTCCAGTGAACGGCACTGCGGCTGCCACCTTCAAATACACTCCGCCTTATGCGGGCCGTGGCACAATGCTGGCCAAGTTCTCCTCCAAGGAACTGGATGATGTGGACGGCTATAGGCACTATGAAATTGAACCCCGACCGGAGGATCTGTTGCAGCCCAACGGAAGCCACAGGCGGAGCAACATCATCCGCAGACGCACTGATGTCATAGCCTAAACTAATTTAAGTTGCAGTGGTTTCCATTTGTATTTCGTAGGTTAAGTGATGTGTTGTAAATAATATGATTAATACAAATTAATTTTTTATATAAACAATTACTATTTTAATGAACAACAAAAGAAGATTCACCTCGAACCTGCTATTAATTCTTGTTATACCTATCGCCTATAACAGGGATGCTAAAACTATTCTTACGGCAGAGCATTTAGTAAAACAAATATAAGCAAGCGTGCACATATTTAGTGACACGCTTTAGTGTTGGTTTCAAGATGTGCACTGAGAAAAAGAAAAACTCTTTTTTTTTCCTAACAAATTCCCTCATTTTAACACTCACGTCGGTGGTCCACTGCGAAATAAACTCCAAAGCTCAAACAGAAGTTATAAGGAATGAATTTCAGTGCAATAAAGAAAGAAAAAAAGAAATTGAATTTCAGTTGAGGACGGAATGAGGCGGAAAGAGGAAAACGAAAAATTGTTAGTGGGTTAGCAAGGAGTTCGAGGAAGATCGAGGAAGAAACAAAAGCAAATTGTATTACAGTTGGCGACGGAATGAGGAGGAAAGAGGAAAACGAAAAATTGTAAGTTAAATAGTGCCGCGAGCGCTCAAAGCTTATGGACGAGCACGCCTATATGCAGCGAGCATTTACAAAAACAAATGAGCACTCGCCTATAACATAAAAATAACAGATGCCTAAAACATTGCTGAACAACATAGATGTTCAAAAACATGATTACATTTTTCAATTGAAATATCATCAAAAGTTTCCCCTTGCAAGAAAACTTTTTATCAAACAAACAAAAAATTTTTAAAAATTTTCTGGGGAATTCAAACTTGTCACATTTATTTCAGAAATTACTAATTTGAGTTAATCAATAATTACGCATTACAAGGTTTAGATAAAAATATTAAATATAAATGAACCAAAATTTTCCCCAAACGCTAGTTGTGTTTAGAGTTCTGTGGTGTTCGCTTCAAAAAACATCAATTATTTAATACGCAGTTTTAAAACCATCATGGCAGAATTGTTTAAGTGTTTAATAAATCGAATGAAATTAAGTGAAAATCCTTTCCTCAGCACTCGACCTTCATCGAATCTTGAAGGTATGCTTCTCCAAACCTATTTGAGAGATTGTAACTTAGACTCAACTTAAATTTCATTATAATTGGCTTGAGAATTGTGATTAAATAGTTTTATTATACTTGTTTAAAGTTTTAAATTTGTGTCCCAAACCTAATATCTTTTTGAATAGTTTAATTTAAACCAACAGAAATAATAATTTACATTTCTTATTTAATTCAAAAGATGACTCCAGTTCAGAGGTGCTGACCGTTCTGGAAGTAGATCTCTGCCTGAATGACAACCATGTTGATCACCACACAAGTTACTTCAATGCGGCGACTAAAAAGGAAGCCCTAATAGTTCGTAGAGGAGAGCCCTTCAGGCTAGAGCTACACTTCAACAGAGACTTCAGCCCCAGCAAGGATGGGATCAGTTTTATCTTCAGCGTGGCGGATGACACGAAACCGAGTCATGGTAACGGAACTCTAAATGCACTAGTTCCGCAAGGTGGCATCGATGATTTGGGAGAGCCTTTGGAATGGGGTGCTGGGATCAAATCAAACGAGGATCGAGTGCTTACTGTGCTGATTAAACCACCAGCCAACTGTCCCGTTACGGTGTGGACGTTAGAGATTGACACCAAGCTGTTGGGAAATGGATCGAGAACCTATGTCCTGCCACTGCCTATCTATGTACTCTTTAATCCCTGGTGTCAAGACGATCAAGTCTATCTGGGGGATCTTGACCAGCGCAAGGAGTACGTGATGAACGATACCACCCTCATTTGGAGCGGTTCCTACAAGAGCCTCCACCAATCGGCTTGGAAAGTCGGACAATTTGAACCCCATGTACTCGAGTGCAGCTTAGACATCCTGGGAACGGTGGGCAAGATACTGCCTGCCTTCAGAGGAGATCCCGTGAAAGTGGCTCGTGCCTTGTCCGCACTGGTAAATGAAATCGATGACGATGGTATTTTGGTCGGGAAACTGGTCCAAGGATTTCTCCGGGTGGCGTGGCACCCTTCAAGTGGACGGGTTCGACTGAGATCATTCAGGAATTTTACAAAACGAAAAAGCCTGTGAAGTATGCTCAGTGTTGGGTTTATGGCGGTGTTTTGGCAACTATTGCCCGGAGTCTGGGAATACCAGCTAGGATAATCACCTGTTACTCCGCTGCTCATGATACCCAAACCTCCTTGACTGTGGATGTTTTCGTGGATTCAGATAACAAGAAATTAACAGATAGGACGACGGACTCCATATGGAACTTTCATGTGTGGAACGAACTGTGGATGCAACGACCGGACTTGGGAGAGGGTCAGCATGGAACATTCGATGGTTGGCAAGTGGTGGATGCCACGCCTCAGGAGACTTCCGATAAAATGTATCGACTAGGTCCTGCACCCGTTTCGGCTGTTAAAAGTGCTTCGATTAAAACCCCCTACGATATTGGATTTGTCTTTGCTGAGGTGAATGCTGATATACTCTATTGGCGTTTTAATGGACCCAAGCATCCCATAAAGCTCCTCAGAAGAGATATCGAGTCCGTTGGACAAAAAATCAGCACAAAAGCTGTGCTGGAATGGAAAAGAGAAGACATCACAGATACCTACAAACACGCTGAGCGTTCCAAAGAAGAAAGATGCGCTATGTACAAGGCTCTCAAGCAAGCTGGACATGCCTTTAGCAGATATTATCTAAATGACGAATTCAATGATATAGAATTTGAAATGAATCTCAGTCATGACATCATGATTGGGGAGAACTTCAGTGTGGCGCTTAAGGTTACCAATAAAAGCGAGACAACCACCCACTTGGCCAAAGTTCAAATGAATTGCGATTCCATCTCCTACACCGGTAAAAACGGAGTGAGGGTCAAGTTCATGCCATTCGAACTAGAACTGCAGCCCAAAAGTAGTGAGTACCTTCGCATGGATATCAGCTTTAAGGAGTACTTCAAAAAGATGTCTTCAAAGACCACCTTCCGGATTGCGGCAGCCGCTCAGGTTAAGAACACTGAGTTTGAATACTACGCCCAGGACGATTTTCGAGTACACAAGCCATCCATTAAGATCAAGATGGGAGAGGCTAGCGTGGTAGCCAAAAAGGAGATGGATGTGACTATGAGTTTAGAGAATCCCCTGCCTATTGCCTTGCGCAAAGGTGTGTTCATCGTGGAAGGACCGGGGCTTGAAAAGCCCCTAAAGATTAAGGTGAGTTGACTAAACTCGGATGTTAAGGCTAAAGATCAAGTAATGACCAACATAATGTGTCTGCTCCTTATAGATTGACGATACCCCAGTGGGAGGCACCGCCGAGGTGACATTCAAATACACGCCACCCTATGTGGGGCATGGTACAATGGTTTCCAAGTTCACCTCCTCTGAGCTGGATGATGTGGATGGCTACGTGAACTATGAAATTTTTCCTCGTTCCTAGGATCTGCTGCAGACCTTTGGAGGCCACAGAGTAACCCATGTGATAGATTGTTTTAACCTCACTTTGCATAATGTATTTAATGTAGGGTATATTGCAATAATGTTAACAAGAAATATTTAATAGTGAATATTTTATGAAAGATGGATCGGTCAGTTACTCCATATATCATCGATGCCCAAGGCATAGCTTGGCTTGTTAGCCGTCTTTACGAAGAATATGCCTCGCGCCTCTCGGGGAACAGGATCACCCATTAAAATTTTGCCGCCTGTACAGTTCTTTCCCTTAAGTTCGTCCAATCCAGAGCATGGAATACCATAGAAACCTTTTGGGGAGTTAATGGATTCGGCGTAATATTCATAGGAGCGTCCATGACTGCAACCAGCTGAAAATTTCAAATAAATCTTATGGGTAATGTGTGTTTATATATTCATTCCCAACTTACTGAAGATCTGGGAAAGCTCTTTGCAGCCAGGCTGCGGTGGTCCTCCGCCGTTTGGATAGAAATCCACCATACCAATCGGTTTGCGGAATCCCAGATAACCTGCACAACTATGAATTACATCCACAAAGTTGGCATCCGTATCGTCTAGGTGATTCTCCGGACCAATGCAGTCCTCGAAGGCAGGACGAGCTGGGTCCAAGCCGGTGATGCGGTTAACTCTGTATTTTGTATATGACCCCGCATAACCCATAATGTGGGCACCCAACGAATGGCCAATTAGATGAATTCTATTCGGATCCGCATCCTTTTCCTCCACCAGGAGATCTATTAACTTGGCTACCGCCCTACCCACTTGCACCGTATATCGAGCCGGGGTCAGGTAGTAGATATTATCTGCCTGATCCTTCCAGTTGATGGCGAACACATTCACCTGACCACGTTCGATATAGGCTCCTCGAATCGATTGGATGGAGTTGCTCATAGTGCTGGACTTCCAGCCATGGACAAGAATCTTTGTGTCCAAGTCCGGATTGAACTTTTCCGCCATCTCCTGCCAAGTGTCTCGCTTGTGTCGTTGTGGAAACTCAAAGTTGTCTTCATCTATCCAGAAATCGGCACTGGAACTGGAGTCACTGTAACAGGTGGAAGAAAATTTAAAGTTAATTTTCAGGGAAAAAAAGATTGAAAGATATGTTTCCATGTCTTTTTTTAATGATGAAATCAATTTCAAACTGAAAAAGTTCAATATTTTTCACTCACCTTCCATATAGTTCAAATTTAATAAGCTGTGGTAAATTAATGCGGTTTTCGGGTGGAGGTTCCACCAGATAGGCCACCTCCGGCTTGCCCTGGCCATTGGGCATATAAATCCATGTCTTGTTGTAGTCCTCCTGGTTTAGTGCCACCTCACCACGAATGCCAACTAAAAGAGAAGGCGATGGATATCGTTAATAAAGTAACTATTATGGTTTTAAAACTCTCTTTACAGAGCAGGAGCACGGGTCGAACCACTTGGGCAAGGGCTGCAAAGCCGGTGATGAGCCACTGAATCACCACAAATGTGTTGGAGACCTCATTGCGACAGGGATTTATCACATTGCAGATGCAGGCAAGCGCATTTGAGGACATCTTGACCAGCTAAACGTCGATCTTCAACTGATCAGGCGCCGGACTTCAATGATAACCTAAGGCCCCAGATCGGAGCTCCCAGCTTCCAACTCCATGTTCATTAAGGTGGCTGACGCATTAGTAATCCTCGAAACCGGTTCCGACCCAGCAATTAATTCTTGGCCTGGAGCGCTTTAATTACTCAGCATCAATGCGATGTGTACGCACGAATCTCGGTCAGCGGAGAAGTCGATGGAGACAAAGCCAGATGCTCATATATCCGATTCCCCGTAACTCACCCATCCAATTAAGGGCCAAGCCACATAGCCAGCAAAGCGCCAACATCTTCGCGGCAAACGAGGCTTTAATGTGTCACGGGGCTCAAAGAAGCGGATTTTATAGCGGATGAGCCCTTAGGCATTGATAAGCTAGAACCGGGCCAGGTGTCAATCAAGACTGGAGTTTTGGACGGACTGCTCCACCAGTTGAAGCCTCGGTAGGGAGGTTCTTATCATTCGACTCAGTTGGAGGTTCAAGGCGCGGCGCTGTTAAATTGGGTTAAGCCTAGTTCTACGATGCATACTAATCTCAGGTGCATTGCCCTAATATTGCAAAGTGGAACAATCTATATATTTTAAAATATATTTAGAATAGTTTTCATATTGAAAAATTTATTTTTACTACTATATACCTATAAAATATATCATTACATCAATAAATGGTATAAAATATAAACTAAGATTTCGAAGAAATATTAAGATTCATACATATTACTTAAATTGAAATTTTAAACTGAAACTGGATAAATTCGAAATTGTATTATACAGCAGATTTACATTCAATATGACATGTAAAATTCATTTAAATAAATGTAGTTATACGAGATTCCAAAATATGAAATGCTCATGGTTATATACAGTTTTAATATGAAATAACTTTTGTTAAAATCTTATTAAAAACAAATACAACAATTCTTAATCTTAATTGTATAACAAATATACAAATGACATAAATTATTTTTTTACATGTAAATATCGTGTAAAATACAATCCATCAGTTTAAGTGTATAATAAAATTTGAACAGCATTATAACAGTTATTATGTTATTACATAATGTAAGTTCTTAAATATCATCAAAATTAAATATATCTTAATATTTTGATATATCTTGAGTTATCATTATTGTTTAATTTTAGTACGTACCCACTGGGTACTGATACTACGTATCAATGGATTCGCCGAATGGTTTAAACATTTGCTAAGTTAAACATAATTTGGTATAATTCTTATCAAAATTGGTATATTTTGAGATTTGTTTGGTACCGATTTGGTATAATTCGTTTATGCATTGCGGTCACATTGGTTGTGCGTCATTAATAGAAACGCCGCGAATATTTTGCCATTGAAATTTTCAACCTTTAATTTCGCAACGCGCAAAAAGAATACAAACAGCAGATATGTCGGGCACTTCACAGAAATACAGGAACTTTGTGGCTGAGCCAATGGGCGACAAGGCGGTGACGGAGTTGGCCGGAATAGGTGAAACCCTCGGCGGACGCTTGACGGAAGCTGGATTCGACAAGGTGCGTGCATAAATACGATGACGCCATGTGCCCAAATAAACAATTCCAAATACAAATAATCACTGTACATTTTAAATGTTTTACCGCAGGCCTATACCGTTTTGGGGCAGTATCTGGTTCTGAAGAAAGACGAGGAGCTGTTCAAGGACTGGATGAAGGAGGTGTGCCACGCGAGCTCTAAGCAGGCGTCCGATTGCTACAACTGCCTCAATGACTGGTGCGAGGAGTTCTTGTAAAGGAATCTAGTTCGAGAAATTGTGTATATTGATCAAAAAGAATCTGCAAAAGGAAAAGGCATTTCATTTATATTCGTAGTCCAACAAAGTGGCGCCATCCTAGATAAGCAATTGATGTATTCATGTTCGTAATGCTGTTAGTATGTAGTTAAGATATAATTTAAAGTCTAACCTGAATAAATGTACAGTCCTGGAAGGAGTCCTGAGGGTGGCCTTCGATTTCTATAGCGGTACAGTTGGTATAAATTTGTTTTTATTGGGTAAGGAGGATCAAAATGGCAGTTTAAGTTAATTGTTGGGTTGTAAAATATTTAACATCATTAATAATATTTAACATCAAAAAAATAACGACATATATTTAAAAAAAATCCTTGTGATTCAGTAGCTTTTATTATGTAAGTACATACACTATTACATTAATCAACGCTATTATTCGAATTTAATGCGCAAACTAAGGGATAAGACCTTGAACATGAATTTCTAACGAAGTCTGATTAATTGTCTTGTTAAAACGCTAACTTTGAGCTGATCTTCATTTATCGTCGAATTTGTATTGAGTTTTCACGTACACAAATTTCAAATTTTTGAAAGCACATCAATTAAAACGCCGCTTTCTCAAGTAGCAGTTAAAAAATCTAAAGAAAAAATATTTTTGCCAAGAAAAAGTAATTTAATATGTCGAGCACTTCCCAGAAATATAGGAACTTTGTGGCGGAACCGATGGGAGACAAGACGGTAACGGAACTGGCAGGAATCGGCGAAACCCTTGGAAGACGCTTGACGGAAGCTGGATTTGACAAGGTGCGGGTACATCCCATCACCAAACAATTGATTTCTGTAAACCATTTTAGGCTTTCAACGTTTTGGGACAGTACTTGGTGCTGAAGAAGGACGAGGAGCTGTTCAAGGATTGGATAAATGGAGTTTGCCACGCAAACACCAAGCAAGCGTCCGATTGCTACAACTGCCTGCGAGGAGTTCTTGTAAAGGAATCCAGTTAGATGATAACTACCACTATTATGCGATTTATTTTCCCTTTTAAAGAGAACACCCTTAATATTATGTAAAAAAAACAACTCCCTAGTTACGGTTCTAACTTCAACTAATTTTTTGTGCATCTGTTAATCAAGATATAGCATTCTGCTTTTCAAATTCTGACATTAATAACCTTTGGTTTCATGTATACTTATGGTTTTAATTCGCTACGAAGGCCATCAAGAGTTCTTTTCGTCCAAGCAATGATAATGTCCAGTTTGTGGTAGTTCAATTTATGTATAGCAGAAAAATGTGCGACGCTTTTGTTTAAAATTGCGCGCTACTCTTCATTCTTTTTTATTGGTTATCGAACTATTCTCTTCATTTGTTATTGTTTCTTATCGATAGTTATCAAATACACAAACCCCAGCCCTGTTTGAGATCATAAAAACCATATATCGAAAATAAAAAAACTATAAAATTGTTTTGAAAAATATTTTTAACTTGCTTTTATTTTAAGACCATTATGATCCCGATCTTCAATGGTTTTTGCCGTTAATTATTCGATAAATCACTCGGCAAACATAAAATAATCGATAGTTGCAGTAAAACCATCGATGTTGCCAAATATTTGTTACCATTAATAGTATCGAGTAAGCATCGATTTTTGTTCCAGCTCTAAGAACTACATTACGCGTGAATACCAATGAAAATCAAGAGAAAAATTGCAAAATATAGCCAAGCGGTGCAATAAAACGCAAAGTAAGCGGCGGATAAAGAGCAAATGTCGAAGACGGGGCATTAAATGCAAAAACAAAGCAAGCCAAATTCAACAAAGTGAAATTAACTCGGCTTTGGCGTATGCGTACCATTGTGCTAGTGTGTGTGTTTTTCTTTGTATATAGACTCGCAGAGAGAGACGGTCATATTCAACGGCTAGACGGGCCGGCAGGTGCGCGAGTGCGAGCGAGAAGAATGCTGTGCGGGCGCTGCAGCTCTGTGTTATTTCAGAGTTCCAGGCCAAACATTCTGATGTGCGGCCGAATCGAATCGACTTTTTGTGTGCATCCCAGCGTTTTTCGCCTTAATTAATTAGTAATTGCAAACGGGCGCAATTATGCACCAAATTATGGACTAATCAAATTACCAGCTTTGCGCTCTCTTATTCTTCCTCTTAAAAATTCGTTTGCTCCTCTCACACAATACGGTCAATCGCGCAAAAGGTAGCAACAACGTTTCCTTGGAAAAAGCTGTAAATAGTAAACAAAATTGTTAAGTAAACGAGCAAAAAGTTATTAATCGAGTTCGTTGGCAGGCGCTTTTCAGGAAGCGAAAAGAAAATACGCATTAGAAAAAAGTTTTGAAATTACAAAAAAGAAACAAGAACCCCACCGAAATCCCCGCCGTGTGCGTGTGTATGTGTGTGCCATTCAAATTTCCCTACGATTGGGTGAGTGCGTGTGTGTTGCCAGTTTAATTTGTTCGACCAATATTTGCTATTGAAAAGTGTGGAATATAACCGTAACACCAGGCACAATTATCTAAACTCAAAAATTATTTAAACTTAAATCTCCAGCGTTACATCAGCTGTTTCACGGCTTTTTCTGCTGTAATTTAGCTTTTACCGAGCAGCGTTGGCAACACTAGAGAGGAAAAGAGAGTAAAGAGTCGCGTGTGTCGTAAAGAGAGTTGCAGCAAGAGTGAGGGGGAGCGAATGAGTGCGGGACGGTAGTGGGGGCGGTTCCGGTGCGAGAGAGCGTAGTAGTAGTACATAATATAAACGGAGTGCGAGCGAGAGGGAGACAGCCAGCGAGAGTCCTGTGACTGCTCCCCCTCCCGCTCGCTCCCTTTTTCGGAAAATTCAATGACCTCATTTGTCTCATGTACGGAACTTTGCTTTTTTTCCAAACCAAAAATAAAAAATACGAAATAGGACCATCCGTAAGACCAGCGAACAAACAAGTTCGAGAGAGCCACGAATAGAGGACTTTGCACTGGGCACCTGAAGGCAGACAGCTGGCTAGCGAAGATTAGAAGGATCAGGAGAAGCGGGAACAGGATCAGGAGCGGCTATAACACCCGGCAGACAGCACATCCACTGAGAGCGACGTGAACCAATGGGCACCAACTCGGGAGCCACCGCTGGCATCAACAACAAGCCGGTAGGCGGTGCGGCAGGTGCCGGCGTCCTTGGCGGCGGCGGAGTGGGCGGCGCCAACTCCTCGATCGGCGGCGTCCTGTCCAACAGTTTGGGCGGAGGCGGCAGTGGCGGTCTGAGCATCAGCGGTTTGAACGCTGGTGGACAGAACGCCAATGTGGGCGGCCTAGTCGGCGGCGGCGGAATGGGCAACGTAGGCGGTGACGACGGCGGCAACGGGATGGTCGGCGGAGGACCAAACAACCAGCAGGCAACCACGCCCCAGTACACAATACCAGGCATCTTGCACTTTATACAACACGAGTGGTCGCGCTTCGAGCTAGAGCGATCACAATGGGACGTGGACAGGGCAGAATTGCAGGTGAGTCGTGTTGAACATTTTGGTTCGTTATTCCATAGTATATGTTGGTATATTCAATATTGATTAAGTAAGATTATAGACCTCCATCAAGGATTAATGGTAAAAAACTAAAATAAATTGTTAGGGATTTTATTTGAAGTAGGAATATGGAATGGCCAATTGGCCATATCCTCAAAAAAACAAAAAACACATCCCAAAATAATACTACAAACGAAACCCAAAGAGCAAAAGCAATTTGGCAAGCACGTTGTTCAAGGCAAGTGGAGGGTTAAAAGGTCCTTGTTTATCGACAGCGGGAACTCACTTTCCATTTCAATGATTTTTCGAGGCGCTAATGCATGAACATGCAAGGAAAACAGCAAAGAGGAGCGGCAAAAGGAGGTACCCCAGGGTTGGCTGTCTGCATGCAACCGAATCGAATTGAGCAATTGGCGTAATCGAATTTATGCTCTGTTTGTCGCAGACGGTAAGCGAATCCCCAAAACGCTATTAACCACGATAAAAGTATAGCCGTGGGGAGGATGATTTTATCTCATCAGCGAAGAGGATTCTTTCTGCCTTCATTGTCAGTGTCAATGTCGACCCACGCCCTATCGCTTTCACCTGTCAGCCGGGCCAGATAACGACCGGTATCGATAACGCAGCTCCTCTCCGCCTCCTATGAACATTCCGTTACGGTCTAAATGCAACGTGACATTCAAATCTCTCTCCCTGTTTTGCATCATGTGGAAAATGGCATGGCAAAAACAAGAACGAGTTAACAACGACGCACGTTTGTCGCAGCGATTTATGAACCTGTTCGCCTTGTTTGGCATTTTGGTAAAAATGAATCGGGTTCGGGTGGGCAGTGGCGACGCCATCTTAGCTGGGTCTGTTTCACCAGTCAGTGGAATCTGTTCCCTGCCATCATCTATTTATATTTCCATCCTCACCGCACATCGCTTTGTGTGTCACTGTCGACTGCTGCGAATGCAACGTCCTTGTCTCTCTGTATCACAGTTTCCCCGGTCTTCCCATGAATGCATCCACTTCCACTTCCTACTCGGCCGGCTTTTCCTGCTGTCGCGTTTGTCAGGCAATTAAATAGCACAGTGATCAGAACCTATTTATTATGGGCAAAAATGTAGTACTGGTTTCTCTACCAATCATACTTAATAATTTAAAGACTTAAACAAATATAGCTTTATATTATTATTTCAATTTATTTTGAAATTTCAAAGATATAGGACATGAACTGGGGTTCCTTTTTCTTCATAAATCAATAATAAATTATATTATAAACTCCCATTTAAACATATTACACTTCAAAGATACAAATAGTTCTATAATATTCTTCTTATCAAAAGATAGGATCCAATAATTGTTTTAAATATGTAACACTGTAAACGAGAATGACGTGGCAGCTGCCTGCTAATATATTTTCAATCATTTCGCCATCGCAATTGTGTGCAAATGCATTTACAGATTAGAGAAACCAAAGACGCTGGCACTTGTCATATTAATAATTCTATTTATACACCGCCCATGTGTACGATATAGGCATTTCCCGTGCCGTATTATGTAATGAATAATTCCAAATCCCGGCTCCTTTTGTTACCATGCGTTTCTGAGAAGTGTAAATCAAAATCTTCAGCTTCTCTGGGGCAATTAAGTTACAAATGTGCATTTGTCATGGCATTCGTAATTTCTAATTGCGGATACACGGCGAATAAAAATAAGTTGCATGTCGCGGAGCGATTTGTGAAGAGCCTGCTTTAAAGGCGTTGGCGTGTGTTGTTACCAACTTGGCCCTTTTGGCTCCATCGCCCATCTATTCCGAATATCCGCAATATTAGCGCTGCTTTTAATTAGCAAACTTAAGGAGCCAAACGAAATGCCATTGAGCGGTAATTTAAATGCACAACATGTTTTCATTAACAGCAGCAGACGTACAAAGGCTGTTTCTCCCTTTTCGTCTCTCTCCCAGCATTTCGTTACTATTAGCATGGGCAAATTGTTATTGCTGCTAGTTCTGGTTCTGTGCCCGCCTCATTCCACAGACATGCGTTCGTTAACTACACTTACTTCCATAATAATAGGAACGTTCTTGTTGAAGTTTTTGAGAATATTAAGCAAAGAAGAGAAAACATTTTGCAAATATTGAAAACGGGAGACCAAACTTTTTGCTCTAGAAATCAATGTCTTTGCGATTACCTCATTCGTGTGAAGTGTGATTATAACTTCTAAACAAACTTTTAAACAAATCTAGCATTTGCTTAGTATATCAGTAAACAGACACAAAACTATTAAAGTGACGTTAAATGTAGGAGCGTGGGTGCCGCCCACTTCCCCGTGGATTGTGCTTTTTTTGTGCAGGGGGCGTCATCATAGTTGTGGCAGGGAAAAGGAGGGGATGGGAACAAATGGGGAAGCAGCAAAAAGCAAAAGTTTCATTCCTTTACGCACCTTGCACCGCCGCAACTATGTCAGGTGCAGTGCCTGCCCCTCGACCCCGTCCTACCACCCTCCTTGATTTTCCTCCCAAATGCTCAGCGAATTGCGCAGTCATAACCGCACGCTGTTGCTACGCTTGCTGAATGAACACGAAATGGGTGGAACGAAGGGGCGGAGTGGAAAAAGTTGGGTACATTGCAGTTTTTACGCATTTAGTTTAATTGAACCAACAGCTAGCTTAGATATTCCCTTCCCCCACTTACCCCTAGCTGTTCCTCCAGCTAATTGTGCCAGTTGTTTGTTTTTTTTTTTTTTTTGTATTACTATTAATTGAATTTAATTGTTTTTCGTTGGCTTGACGCAGCGGAGCGTCAATTATGCTTCACAACAAACAAACAAACGCAATTGGATTGCAACGGCAGAAAAAAGGGGGACAAAGCCACATGGGAAAGCTTTTACTAGCAGTATTAATTAATTTTCTATAATTTCATAGTTTTAATGTTTCCACTTGGGATTTATTGCACACATTAGGTGAATCATTTTACTCTGGTCACTAGCATTTAAAAACTTTCCCTTTTAATACAAATTTTTAATAATAAAAGAGAAACATCCAATAATGAAATCCTTTCTATGTCTTACAGGCTCGCATCGCAATGCTGCTTGGAGAGCGCAAGTGCTTGGAAAGCCTTAAATCGGACCTGACGCGCCGCATCAAGATGCTGGAGTACGCGTTGCGCCAAGAGCGGGCCAAGTTCTACCGCTTAAAATACGGCACAGATCCGCCACAACTGAATGAGTTCAAGCCGTCGAACGAAGACGCTGCACTGGCCGGAGAGGTGGCCACTGATTCAGAGGTGCCCTACAGCAGTGTCTCGAACACTACGTGGCGTCAGGGACGTCAGATGCTGCGTCAGTATCTGGCGGAGATTGGCTACACAGACAACATTATCGACGTGCGCTCGAATCGTGTGCGTTCGATCCTCGGGCTGAACAACAATGCAGAACACGACGGCAGCGGTGGAGGTCTGGGTGGTGGACTTGGCGGTGGTACCGGCGGCGAGAATCTGAGTCCCAACATCAATGGAAACGAGAGCAACAAGCGTGCTTCGGAGACGGAAGGTAGGTGATTGTGTTACGACCCCCTGTTGGGAGATTTGAATAATTTGCTCACATCAGGCCGTCATACTCCCGCTAAAAAAGTGCAACAATCGATCGACGAAATAATTGTGGATACCGAGGCAGCTGTTATGGCGAACTTTGAATTCCTGGGCGCCACCGAAATGTCTGATGATGACGAGATATCCGATGATCTAGATATGATGGCTACCGACAATGACGACACGGACGTAAAGATGGCCAAGCGTGCCAAATCTGGCAAGGATATGCTCAGCGAGGGTAGGTCTAGTTCCTGATAACTTCCCACTTAGCCCGCAGCCTGCTACTTTTAGCCCTACTCCCGCATGGGCCCGCCTCGCATTATCGAATTTATGTTTGTCAAATCGTAGAAATAATTACGAAATCATTTCGATTTAGTTCCCAGCTCCTGTTTAACCCATGTAGAAATCCATTCCTAGTTTATGGCTGGCTTCTTGTCTTACACTTTTTGTTTTTGCTTCTGTTTCTTTGGCAACTCTATCTTCTACGCTCGTAGATCTTGAGGCCGATGTGGGAGAGCAGCTATTGAACGATATGAATCTCATGACCGAAGGTGCTTTTCAACAGATCTAACATGCTTTCGCCTAGACTAAAACTATGAACCACTCAACCCTCAAAGGAGTATAAGAAAAATAGAAAACCACAGAAACCCTATTTTTCATAAAAAAAATGTTTTAGTAATTTTAGTAATATTTCCCTTATTCCTTTAAAGTTAAAAAATAAACCTTTTATACACTCTGCATTAATAACAAATTGATCCTACAAATAGTTATAAAAATATCAGTATAATTTGTTTTAATACAACACAAGCAGTCCCTGTGGTTATTTAGTCAGATTCTCCTTGAGGCGTTGAAAACTATAATGTGATATGATTAATACTTACAGCATCTCTTAATCTTCCCACAGAGGTTGACGGCTCTTTGGGACTGGGCGAGCTGGCCCAACTGACGGTGAATAACGAATCTGATGGAGCCTACGATGCAAATTCTAAGGATGGAACTGGCGGCAGTGCTGGCGGTGCTGGTTACCGCAAGACCTGGAACGCCAAGTACACGCTTCGCTCACACTTCGACGGAGTGCGCTCACTTATTTTTCACCCCGAGGAGCCGGTGCTGATTACCGCCTCCGAAGATCACACATTAAAGCTATGGAATCTACAAAAAACAGTGCAGGCTAAAAAGTCTGCTAGCTTGGATGTGGAGCCGCTATATACTTTCCGGGCCCACACGGGTCCTGTTCTGTGTCTGGGCATGTCATCCAACGGCGAAACGTGTTACTCCGGTGGCCTGGACGGTAACATTGAGTGCTGGCAGTTGCCGTCGCCAAATATTGATCCGTACGATTGCTACGATCCAAACGTGCATTCCGGCACGCTCGAGGGGCATACGGACGCCGTGTGGGGCCTTACCACCATGCAGAGCAACATTGTATCATGCTCGGCGGACGGAACGGTTAAGCTGTGGTCGCCCTACAATAAGGAGCCGTTGCTGCGAACCTACTCCGCCTCGGAAGCAGAGGGTGCGCCCTCCTCCGTCGACTTTGTGCGCAACGAGGTAGACCACATCGTGGTGGCCTACAACAGTGCCCACTGTATCGTTTACGACACCGAGACTGGCAAACAGGTAGTGCGGCTGGAGGCGGCACAGGAGATGTCTGGCAACACGGGGAAGTTCATCAACAAGGTAGTGTCGCACCCAACGCTTCCCATCACGATCACCGCCCACGAGGATCGACACATCCGATTCTGGGACAACACCTCCGGCACGCTGGTACACTCGATGGTGGCGCATTTAGAGCCGGTCACCTCGCTGGCCGTCGATGCTCACGGTCTGTATTTGCTGTCCGGCTCGCATGACTGCTCGATACGGCTGTGGAACCTGGACAATAAGACGTGCGTGCAGGAAATCACGGCGCATCGTAAGAAGTTCGACGAGAGCATATTCGATGTGGCCTTCCATGCCACAAAACCGTACATCGCTAGTGCCGGGGCCGATGGCCTCGCCAAGGTGTTTGTCTAAGAGAGACCACCACCCACCTGGCCGCGTCGGATCGAACGAATTCAGAATTCGGAATCCAGAGTGCAGAGTGCAGATTACAGATGCAGAATCCACAGCCAGCAGCTCACAGCTAAGCGATTGCGTTCGAGTTAAATAATTATACATACATTATAAATATACTATACACTTAAAACTAATTATACTTCAACCGAGAACAACAACCAATTATGCATACGATTATAAGAGAGGGAAGAAGCCACAAACATAAAAAAACCGATTGCTATTGAAGTAAACAAAAAAAAATTCAAAATGAGAAACGGCATTTCGAGAAGAGCAACAGAGTCAAGTAACAGACTAGAGTCGCGTAATCTAGGAACGTAATTCTAAAGCAATGCATAATACAGCATATAACCACAAATAAGTGCAACACATAAACATTATGTATTTGTTAAAAATAACACTGTAGCAATGAAAGAGTTTGACCTTGCTGTGGATCCCCCTTTGATCGGGATCAACTCAAGATCGACCCTCTTTTCGGTTCTAGTTTTAAAAGCACTTGCACAGCGATTGTTCGATAACGTGTTTGCCTATAAATCAGTCTTAGACTTCCTGTACATTTTATATACATAAAACAAACACGCATATATATAAAAACAATTATATATATATATATATATTTCTATGCCCATGGAATAACTTGAAAATGGATCGTCTGGCTCAACATATTCATAGGCACTCTCGCTGTGCAAGTGCCACGACGCGTTTCCTTCCTCCTGCAGAGCAAATAAGTGGGTCCTGCAGGCGGAGGAAAGTGTGATGAAACATTTACGTAACGATGTAGACGATCAAATTCTGTAGACTAAGCAAGGCATATGCATATAACCAACCATATAACCCGACCCCATATTAGCGAAAAAGCGTCAAAAAAAATTGTAAATTAACATTAATTAGAGGACAGTCGAGGTGAGACTAGGATGAAGGCGGGTTTGTTTATGTCAAGTAGCGAGACGAAAACCAGCCACACAAAACTGGATGTGAGACAAAAAATCTTTATAATTAGTACGTGCAGAATGCTTCTATAATTTCTATTGTCATTACCAAGGGAGTACGCAATGCTTAAAGAACCACGACCATGTGAAGATGAGTTATAAATAATAATTGCAGGCAAGCTATAAACCGTATGCTAAGCTATTTATTTAATTTATGCGTAGTATTAAACGAATGAAACAAAATGTTGGCGCCAATCGCTGATCCAATGGATTTCGTAGTTGAATATAAATTAGATTCGCTAACCATGGATGCGTACTCGTAATTTTAATCAAGAAAAACCCACGTTGAATGATCAGATATAGGAATGTGACTTGAACGTGAAAGCCGAGCAACTCAATATTAGTTTTAGTATTACCAATTATTATTATTACGTGAAGCCTTTCACCGACACACTCTCCATACATACACACCTCTACGACACCCAAAATTTGATATTCGAAACCGATGAATCAAAATCAAAAACGATTGCGATCTGTGTAAGCCAAGCAAATCCTCTATTATTGCAATTAAATATTTTAATTTACGCCTTAGTTGTTATAATTACAATACAGAGCCCGAAACGACTTTTGGATCCTCAGAAGTGATCCCAAACCGATGAGCCGATGATAATGGTAATAATAATAGAAGTGGTTGACCAGCAAGCACCCACTCTCACAGTTATATAGCAGATTTATACATTTACATATACATAAATCTATTGATTTTTAATTTTAACTGTAAATTTTTGATTTTTTATTACCATGTATTTTTATTTTAAATAAAGTTTTACAAAAAGAAGCCGTGTGACTTGCCTTTCGATTCCCCAAGATTACCCCAAAACCAGACACCATTTTCATTGATGAGAACGTTGTAGACCAGCTGGCTCTCGTTTGCAACGGTGGCAAACATCAAGAACTTTTACTTTGAAAGTACAGAACAGAAACACCAAGAAGCCAATAAGCTGTTGCCTTTTCATTTTAGAAAAGTTCTCGCTGCTGGCAGCATTTTGATTTCCCAAATTTCCGAACTACACTGCACAACACGATAGCATTTTTGTTTAAAATCATTACAAATCCACTGCCGTAAAATTGCCGTTAAACACAAGCTGCACGCATGCGTTTCGTTCTAACAAGAAGATTGAGAATCCTAAGAGAAATTCTCCAATATTATGCAAAAAAACAAAGATTGTAATTTGTCTGCATGTAAGACGCGAACTTGAAAGTTGTAACAAATATACAAAATTGAGAATCCGATCTAGCATTGAACTAATACTTAAGCCGCAGCTGTGTAGTCGAGGAGAGCACGATAAGCATTACTTAAATAAGTCGAAAAACAAGTTCATTGTAGATTTGAGCATATAGGAATGGTCCCTGGTCCTAAAGGAACACCCAGCACATAAGTTTATACATACATATATATTTAAAGATAAAAAGCAAGAATGCATATTAACTGAACGATACTTTTATAAATTGATGAAGAAGTACATAATACTCGAAATAATACCATTCACACATTTCATGTTAAGATATAATAAAATGAATAAATAAAATATTTAAAACATAATAATGAATGGCTTTTAATCAATTCAGAAACCAAAAATATTCTTTAAAATTTACACATAAAACTGCAGACTGTTTCGCAATTTAAACTCTTGGGCTGTACTGGCAGTTCATCATGTCCTTTTTAAAATAGTATTTATTTTTCTTCGTGTCTGTTGTTTTATTATTTTCAATTGTAAAACAACAAATCGGCGGTTAATTTCTTTTTCAAATTGGGCGCTCATAGAACTGTTTTGAGTTAGGTGGAAAATACCAAATTATAGGTTCAGCCCAACATTTTGTATTCCATATTGGCATTAGGCTGGCAACCCTATAAAGAGCTAAAAAAGAGTCTGGTGAAAACAACAAAATCATGGATGCAACTTCAGCAATTACAGCTGATGTGGATAAAACACAGGTACGCGGATTATTGCAGAAGATAGCAGACACCTTTACAAAGTTGTTTCTTTAGATTCCGCCGTTGAATCATAAGCGCGTCCTTGCCTTTGTCAATCACTTTCTCGTCAGCACTTGCACCTTTCTAAATGAGTTTGCTCTGGGCTGTGAGACCAAGTTTGTGCAGATGGAGCGGCAATTACAAAAAACGGAGGCCGCCCTTTTAATCCTAGAGGCCAAGCTGGCGTCCATACCCACCGAGCCCCATTTGGTAGATGATAAGCCGAAAGTGTCAGCGCCTACCTCAGCACCCAGCGAATCTAACGCTTCAATACCGGCCACGGAACTTCCCACCACAGAGATCCAATCTGATACGGAAGACCCTCCTGAATGCATTGGAGTGCGTGCTTCTGAGGATGCGCGCTACAGAAAGTTCTTCAAAATGGTTCACGTGGGAGTACCCGCTCCGGCTGTTAAGCAAAAAATGCAATCCGAGGGGCTAGAGCCTCGTATTCTGGAGTAAGTTGATTGGTTAAACTCATTTGTCTCTATCTCAACCGTACTCTCTATTTCAGCAATCCCGATCTGATCTTGGCTGATGGAATACGTGAGTGAGCTGCTTGTAAAGGAAAAAACCCACCTTGTGATATAGCACTAGTTGCTACACTTTTCAATTAAATATTTTGTAAATCTTACGTCTACAAGTTTATTTTGTTTTATTTGCCACCATAAAGCAGCGTAAAAACAACTTAAAACCACTTCGTTAGCAAAATGTATCGGTTTAAAGAAGGAGCCTAGAACTGGATCATCTGTCCCTTGCGCTTCTTGTCACCGCCCAGCTCGAAGTGCTTGCAACGCTTCAGGGGAGTCTGCTTGCGGTACTTGCACTCAGTGCATTCCATACGCAGCACAATCTTTTTGGTGGTCTTGGCCTGTAATGGGATAAAAATTTCGATTAGCAAGAGCAATTTAGTTGTGGGTTAAATTAGTTGTTTGAAGTTGCAGGTGAGTCGATATGGGCGTAGATGCCACACAACGTTGCCTTCTCGGCCGCACCGTTGCAACAACACTTTTGATCTGGCACAGTTTTTTCCCACCAAAAAGCATAATGCTCATCGAGCGCAGCGATTTAGTTCTACGAAGCGCCATTTAAGATATTTTACTTAACCTACCAAGACTGTCACATCTTTAGAAATACTGTTAGTGTTTTCTAGGTAAGATTTTATATCATTGGAACTTATTAGAAGTAGGCCAATCCTGGTCGCTGTTTACTAGGATTTGAATGCAACCAAAGGTAAGTGGAGATGATTTTACATAGCAAGGCGAACTAAACAGCTTTGTAATACAAAATTGTTTGGCCGACGTTTAATTTTGTTTTAGACACATATTCTCTGATCTAAGACAGTCTGGTGGCAAGTTTACCGGTGTTTACCAGCCCTACGGGGAACTTACCTTCTTCCTGAAGATGGGCTTGGTCTGACCTCCGAAACCCTGCTGCTTCCTGTCGTAACGACGCCTACCCTGAGCACCCTTACGCTCCTTGGATTTCTTGTACTGCGTCACTTTGTGCAGCTTGTGGACCTTGCACTTCTTGCAGAAGGTGCGGCGTTGCTTGGGTACGTTCACCTGTGGGAGGAAGAAGGAAAACAATTTAATAAAGAAAATCACCCAGTGCAATACAGATTTCTTCCAGCCGAACAGCAACCCACTTGGAGCTCGGCGCGGCTATTAATATTCCGCTCCTTGAGCCAGCCGTGCTTCGATTCGCGCTTTCGTAGTGACCCCGCTCGATTTCAGCCATTTCTAACGTGGATGCTAGCCGATTTCAAAGAACAACACGAACGCTTACCATCTTGATTTCAGGAAAGCGAAAAAAGAAGGAACTTATCTAGAGGTGGAACAGTGCTGTCAAACCATATGTAGAACTATCGATATATCGAACTTCTTCAATATCGTGAGTTTGAGAAACTGAACGATCGATAGTAAAGCCCCTTTTACACTATGGTTGAATTTTAATCTTCCTAAATATTCTGTTTTGGTATTCTTAGACATGAAGTTATTAATAATGAATGAGAAAATTAGATTAGTCGGTTGTATAATTATTTTCCACCCAGAATTAGAATTCGAAAAGATCTCTATCCAATTGAATACGACTCCACTCTGAGGAAGACATAGCTATTAAAATTCTAGGGTGCAACCAAAATAAATTATGAATTTTCCTCTAGGTTGTATCCGATTCAATTCCTCCAATTTTGCTTATAACGCGCAATTTATAAATTTAACACTAAAAATAAAAAATAAAAAAAAAATTAATAAATATATTAATCAAGGATGTTTGCTCGAGTATCGATAAGCTTGAAACTAAACCATATTGCCCTAATAATCGATAGTCACAACAAGAACACGATGTTTAATAACTTCTATATAACTAACGATAGTCCTAGTTATGGTTTGACAGCTCAGTGCCATCTCAACCGAGATGGCGCGCTTTTGTTTTTGACATATAGTCGTCCAATTTTAATCTCTTCCACATATGTATGCCGTTACCGTGGCATCCAAATTTACATGTCCTAGGTGAAATTGTTCTATTCTATAAGTTATAAATTTATTATTGAATCATTACCATTGTTTTTTCTGTATATTCAAATTAGAAACTACTTAAATTAATTTTTATTAATTTTTTACGTGCACAGAGTCAATTCTCTTGCTGGAATCAGTATTCGGTTTTCAGTCTAGTTGGTTTAATTCTTATTGGTGTGCTGCCCGAATTGATTTCATCTAATTTAAAAAATACCAAAAAGTGAAAGTGGCGTTGCCACCTTTTGCAAATCAGATGTTTCCAGCAATAGTCCTCGAAATAATAGCTCCTGATATCGATGACAGTCGTCGGATTGTTTTTATAGTGCGGAAGTTCCGATAAATATCGCACTGCATCGAAATATTTTCAACCATTTTCTTGCAAAAATAATTGGAAATATAACGAATATCCAGTAGACAAAACGGTCTCGCTGGTGGCCCGGGCCCAGCGGCTAGTCGCGAGCAATGGCACACGCCAGCGGACTCTGGCTGGTGCTAATCTGAATAGCCAAAACGGCCCCCAGTGATAGATGCCAAAAATTTGCATAAAAAGTGAGCTATTAAAATGCAGAAAATGTACGCGTTGCTGGCAACCTTGACATTCTGGACGCTTGTACTGCGATCGGAGCAGGCACATCCAACGCCGTCGGTGCCGTGCGATCGCAGCCGGAAGGTGTTCACGGAGCCCTACGGTGAGATCTCCGACGGACCCTCCGGCTTCAATTATACACAGGATTCGCATTGCGAGTGGCTCATTAAGGCACGCAATGACAGTCAGTTTATCACGCTGACCTTCCATAGTATGGGCACCGAGTGCTCCTACGACTACATCTACGTCTACGACGGGGACTCCTTTAACTCGACCCTGTTGGGCAGCTTCAGCGGACGGACGCAGCCCCAGCGCCTGGTGGCCCGCAGCGGAAGCGTGAGTATAGTTTCCCGTTTAGATCCTTTCAAAATCCAGTCTAATGTAACCATATCAAAAAATTAAAAATGAGTTTTGGGTACTAAATGGCCTAGTGATTAGGATTATTAGGAGATCCATTTGACTTCAAAAGCAACTCTTGAACATAAATCAGGACATTTATAGATAAAATGGAACTATGCCAAACACTTTTTCTCGAAACATTCCTTTTCGATCCTCATGGTTTATATTTTCCTCAGATGCTCATCTTGATGTACAGTGACACAAACTACGTGCTGGATGGCTTTCGAGCTTCCTACTACATAACAAATTGTCTGAACAACTGCCACAATCATGGAAAGTGCGTGGGTCACCAGTGCGTTTGCCACGGCGAGTGGGTGGGTCCTGATTGCGAGGACGAGGCCTGTCCGCAGCGATGTGGTGAAAGCCAAGGACGTGGACGCTGTCAAAAGAGCATCTGCCACTGCTCGCGCGGTTTCAGTGGCCGGCTTTGCGATCTTAGCGATCATCCAGCGGGAAGCAGTTGGCGCTGGCTGGCCACCGACGCCGAAGGCATGACGCCCCGTGCTGCCCACACCGCAGTTTACATTGAGGATGAGGATGCTCTTTATGTGTTTGGCGGCTATGACCTGAACAATGTGATTAGCACGCTGCAGGTAATTTTAATACATTATATATTTCATGGGTTTTTGTTTTAATATTTGATTCAACACTGCACAGAAATTGGATTTTTGACAAAATGCACTTGAGTTATGCTAATATGGATGATTTTGTTACAGATTTATCGCTTCAGCACCAGCCAGTGGGAGGATGAATGGGGCATTGCGCTGCAGAGTCGTCGTCATTTCTATCATCCGCAAAAAATTGATCATACGTTGCTTAAGGCAGTACTTCAGCACAAGAACGAAGACGAGGCTAAGCTCTGGGGCCTCAACAGCGATGTAAGCTTTTTCCGAAACATTCTGTACACCCTGGCGGAATCCAATCTGCACCAGCGTCGCACTCGCTCCTCCTTGCCTCTTACCATTGTGAATGCCAACTCCACAGATGAAGAGTTAAACGAGTATCTGGAGGATATACTAGAAGAGGTTACAGATCACAAGCCTCATGGACGATACGGCCATGCGGCAGATCGTGTGCCCGGCGGCTTTGTTATCTATGGTGGCAAGCACGCGAATGGAAGTTTCTACAGTGATCTGTGGCAGTACAACAACACGGAAAGCGGTGGCAAGTGGAAGCAGATGGCCATTAGGTCTGAGGTGAAACCTCCGGCTCTGGCCAGGCATACACTAAACACAGCTGGAGCTTATCTCTATATATTCGGTGGTAGCCTAGAGACAGGTGAGTTCTCATCCAGCGTGTATCGTATTCCCCTTCCTCTTTCCGAGGACTCGCAATGGGAGCTGGTTCAACCGAGAGGAGGAAAGACATTGGACGTTCGTTTGGCAGCGCATTCAACGGTCTATTACAAAGCTACCAATTCACTAATCGTTTTTGGAGGAATCATGACAAGTTTGGCCCGCTTTTCAAAGCTTTCCGATCGGATTTACGCTTTTCAACTAGACCAAATGCACTGGACGGAGATTTTATATCCTCGAACCGCTTTAAGGGACACAAATATACCCAGAGAAAGAGCATTCCATACAGCAACAATTTCAGGCAACTACATGGTGGTCTTTGGAGGCTATACGCACCGTCACAATAAGGATGAAATTTGTTACGACAACCAAATGTATTGGTACCATCTCAGCTGTCATATTTGGATAAATCAAGTGGTTTCTGCCGAGGATAGTCTGTATCCGAAACCGCAGGGCGTATTTGCCCAAGCTGCGGCTTTGCGTCGGAATCACACTCTTTTGATTGTGGGGGGCTACCATGGAAATGTTAATGCAGACCTCTTTGCCTACGAACTTCCCCAGGTGCTAAGAGTGGAAAATACACTTTATAATCCGGAGATCTCCTGCAGATTACATGCCTCACACACCGCTTGTCTATCGAATCCAGAATGTGGCTGGTGTTCGGCAGATAGTAGCTGTTATGGCCGCACGATCGGCGCCAATTGCACAACCAATCTTCAGACCACTAGATGCCCAGGAATTTGCCCCTCACTCGGTGATTGCCACTCATGTTTAGTTCACGGTTCTCAGTGGGGAAAGTCATCAGGAAATAAAGCAGCTTTTTCGGTTGCCAGCAAACTAGGATTAAATGAATGTACATGGTGTGTCCAAAATGCAAAATGCCACCACCGTGATGACAACTACGGCATATGCGGAGATAGTTCAGGTTGGTGGGGTGATAAAGGTACCGAGATTCGTCGACCTTCGCTCTGCACCAGTACTGACCGGCGTCCAGGGCTTACATACATAAAGTACCATTTTCCGATTAACTATACGATGCCGGATTACGTGGGTATTGTTAACGCTACTATGGTGGATTTTGCCTCACCACCGTTTACCACATATTTTGAGCATAAGCTCGAGGGAGAGATGTTGGCCAGACTAGTGGGTTTCGTGCGGCCGCAACATCAGTGGAACAACTCGGCCATCCAAGTCTGTACCAGCTACTCTTCTGCCGTACTGCGCGCTGGTCTGGGACTTTATCTCGATGAGCTTGTCAACGTAACTACACAAAGCTCGAATCAGAGTTACTGCAGCAACGTCCAACTGCCAACCACAGAACAACCTTTCACCATAGATTTTCAGGTGCGTTCTCAATCCTAATCCTAATCCCTTTAATCCTAATTTACATTTTTTTAAACCCCTTTAGGCTCGCCGACGGATTGGAGGAAACGGAATTTACAACGCCTATCAAAAAACCAAGATGGAACTACAGCACCTTCATAACGGTCAGCTGAACGCCTTTACATTCGAGTACTTGGAGCCGTATTACTCTGGCAAATGCAATCAGTACTCTAACTGCCTCCATTGCCTAACGGATGCCTCATGTGCTTGGTGCCCCCTAACTAGCATTTGTCACCTGCGATCCGTTAATGAAACTGAAGTATGCAGGAAGGAGACTTTGGAAAACGTTCATTGGTCGTACCTGATTAGCCAGCCCAGTCAATGTTCGAACTGCACAAATTATGTAAGCTGCGAGGCCTGTGCTCAAAGTGGAGAATGCGAGTGGTGGACGGAGGACGCTCGTTGCGGCAGGATCGGCAAGTCTAACAGTAGTGTGAGGGCGGTGGAACAGTGTCCCAGGTCCTGCAGAGAACGAAATGGTTGTCAGGAGTGCCTCGGCGAGCGTGGACGATGCGTTTGGTGCGAGGCCAGCTCTCAGTGCTTCAGCTTTTCTGTCTACACGAGTGAGTACCAGTTTGGAATGTGCCGAGAATGGATGGACCAGGTAGTGAGTCGCCAGCCGCAAGACCATGCGGATCAAAAACTGCAGCAATCTCCGTATATTCAACAGCAGCAGTGCAAATCCTGCGAACAGCATCGAAACTGTTCATCTTGTCTGAGGACGTTGAGCTGTGGCTGGTGTTTCGATCGCGACAATCCCATAGAAGGGATCTGCATGCAGGGCGATTTCAGCTACAGCTCCGGAAATTGTTCTCTGGCTTTGAATAGTTCTTCACATCATGACGCGGAATGGGCTTACGCACAGTGTCCAGATGTCGACGAGTGTGGTCTAGGCCTACACGATTGTCACAAGGAGGCCAAGTGCACTAACACCCAGGGCAGCTACAATTGTCATTGCCGGAGAGGTTATATAGGGGACGGGAAATTCAGTTGTGTCAGGACATGTTACGAGTTGTGTCAAAACGGAAATTGCTCGGGTCCTCCGGATTACACTTGTCGTTGTGCTTTGGGCTGGACCGGACCCGATTGCGGTCTTAGTTGTGGATGCAATAACCACTCTACTTGCAGTGAGAGATTGGGGAAATGCGATCTTTGCCAAGATTGGTCAGAAGGTGAAAAGTGCGAACGATGTCGCCAGGGCAGCTACGGGAATGCCACTGCTCCTCATGGATGCCTACCTTGTGAGTGTAACGGACACGGCCACCAAGATCTAGGAGTCTGTAACGTCAGCAATGGAGAATGCTACTGCAAGGATAACACCCAGGGTCTCAATTGTGATTTGTGTGCTCCCGGCTATTACGGTGATCCCCGAGAAGGCGGAAAATGTTACTACCAATGTGAATCTAGGGGAATACTGACCAATATTGGCAACAGTGCCATTGGCTCGTATCAGTCTTATCGGTCGCCCTGGGGCGCAAGTCTGGAGGTGAAGGAATGCTTGTGGATATTACAACCAAAGACTCTACAAGCAGAGAAGTCGCTTCTTCAACTAGAGTTCCAGTGGCAGAACTTGGCCATGGATTGCGATGAGAATGCAGTGTACATATACGATAGTCTGCCAGATCTGACAGGTGCCACTCAGCAAAATCAGCTTCTGGCCGTGGTATGTGCGCCCTACAGTTCAGCCAGAATTATTGAGGCACGTTCCAGTCACGTCACAGTTCACTATAAACAGGGCAGTGAAAGGCGACACTTTGGTTTCAATGCACTTTACTCCGTTATGAATTGCGTGGCCGGAAGTTGTCACCATCCTCACATCTGTGACGCCCAGCAACGATGCGTTTGTCCGGCAGGATATGTAGGCGCCAAATGCGAGATTGAGATATGTCCGAGCAACTGCAACGCCAAGAGGATGCAGGGATTCTGCGACACCGAGTATGGCAGGTGCATCTGCAGTAATGCCAATTATGCGGGGGCAGATTGTGGCACATTAGTTCAGCGTAACCACCTGGTCATGACGGAGCTATTTAATACGCAATTGCTAAGTGAAAGTCTAGAGCATCTGAGAAAGACCATACCCCGCTTTGGACATTCAGTGAATGCAGATCGTAGAGGATCTCTTTGGATGTTTGGTGGCTATTCACCTAACCACGGACCCCTCAACGACTTTCGGCAATTCGACACGAAAAATAGCACCTGGCTGCAGGTTACTGTGGAGTCTTCCACCCCAGAGGATCGCATGCCCCTCGGGCGATATTTCCACGCATCTGAGATCTACGTTAAAAAGCAAATTATCTATATCTATGGAGGAATCGGTTCAAACTCTCAGCTCCTAAATGACTTTTGGATGTTTTCGATACAGAACCAACGATGGAGCCAGATAAAGGTGGAGGTGGAACCTAGTGGAGCGGAATATCAGGTAAGTTTCTAAAAAAAATATAATTCTTAATTAAATAAACATCGTATTAAACAATTATAATTATTTTGTGTTTATAAATATTTACAGGTTGATGTACCGCCGCCTCTAGCCGGTCATACGCTTACCCATTTGCGATATCAGGAGCACGAGTCATTGATTCTGATTGGTGGACTTACTCTGAATAAATCTCGACCTCTCGAACTGTGGGAACTCAACCTGGACACTGGTCGGTGGCAACAGCTGGCGGCTGTGGGTGCCAAAATGCCAGTTCTTTATGGTCACACTTCTGTCTATCATCCGGAGACAAACAGTGTTTATCTGTTCGGAGGATATTCTACAGAGCCACAGAGCAATCTTTATGCATTGGACTTACAAAAACTGAGCTGGACGGAACTTCCCAGTTTCAGGGAACTAAACTCACCAGCCTCGTTGTTACCCAGGGCTCGCTATTTCCATTCAGCCGTAAGCACCGAACACTACATGATTCTTTATGGTGGACGGACGCAGCCTTTTAATGGAACAGATGTTCTTATTGCCTATGTGTACGCCTGTAATCAATGGGTGCGACTGACAGAGGATGTGGAGCTTATAGGTCGTGTTCCGGCCTCAAGTTATGCTGAGGATATGGCCATTGATCCGGATACGGGTGTGATTTTTGTCATTGGCGGATGGGATGGCAGTTCCACGCACAGTCATGTTACAAAAATAACTTTGCCCGATGATATTTGTCAGCTTTGGAGTAGTGGAAAGCCTCAATGCCGACACTACATGGGCTGCAGCTACTGTACGATTCAAAACACTTATAGCTACAGCAGCCACTGCTTCAGTCATGGACGAACTCCATGTGCCAATCACAATGGCACGTTAGTGGTAAACAATGGAGCTGCATGTGATGACGATTGGATGGCGAGCAGGAATTGCTCGAGTTTCGCCACCTGCGGCGCCTGTCTGGCAGCTTGGCCAACCCATCAAGAAGTAGCTCCAGTCTGTCAGTGGTGTGATGAGTGCGGCATTCGTGGAAGATGCGTTCCTGCCGGAGTTGATTGCGGCTGGAGGAGTGCCTGGTGCAATAAGGAACTCAGTGTGGGAGTTTTGGGTCTGTGTCCCCTCCCTCAGTGTTATCAGTTAAGCTGTGAGAGCTGTATGCTTCAGCCGCAATGCAACTGGGCGAGGAATGAACTTGGTACTGTGGAGTGCATAGCCAGAGAATTGGTAGAAAAGAATCAATACAGAGTTGTCGAAAGCTGTCCCCCGCCGTGCCACACCCACGAGAACTGCAGCTTGTGTCTAAGTCAAACGGCAAATCAGGATCACCAGGACTGCAAGTGGTCCACCATGCTAAATTTGTGCCTGACGCCCAGTTCCCAGCCGTTACTTTGTGCTGGTGGCGTTTGTGGATTGGTGCTAGAATCCAGTGAGGTGGAACGCTGCCCAGAACCATGTCACGTGTACACACAATGCTCTAGCTGCCTGGAGCACGCCCACTGTGGTTGGTGTGCCCGCGAAGGATTCAATGGCGACGGCATCTGCACGGAGGGAGCTTTGGAACACAAGCAGGAACACCCATCGGGTTCCACTTGCGATTTAATATACTCCAGCTGGCGTAATGACTCACTCTTAACGCCAGCTGATGTCGTCTCCTGGCACTATGTGCAGTGCCCGGCAGAGAATGAGTGCATCAATGGCCATCACAACTGCGATGCTGTGTCGGAACAGTGCATCGACCTGGACACAACAGTTGGATACAAATGCGTCTGTGCCCAGGGATATCGCGAGGAACAGGGTGCCTGTATGCCTGTGTGCAGCCAGGGATGTGTTCGGGGCAATTGTGTAAGTCCAGATCAGTGTCAGTGCGACTTTGGCTACGTGGGCGCCAATTGTAGTATCCAATGTTTGTGCAATGGTCATTCCAACTGCGAATCCAGCAGTCGTCTGGACATTTGCTTGAAGTGCCATAACAATACAATGGGAGAGCAATGCGAGAAGTGTCAGCCGCTTTTTGTTGGCAACCCACGGGAAGGTCATGCTTGCCAGCCATGCCTTGACTATTGTCACGGCCACAGTGACGTCTGTGTGGCCTATGATGCAGATCCGGCGGTATTCAATATGACCCGTTCTGAGCTAGAAAGGATACTACCCGAAGGTCCAGCGTACAATGCCACCTGCTTGCGTTGCGGTAATCACACGGCTGGAGACCGCTGTGATAGCTGTTTGAATGGCTACTTCCGTGGTAGCGAGGACCTGCACAAGGAGTGCCGGCCGTGTCAGTGCCATGGACATGGAAACATTTGCGATCCCGTCACCGGAGAGAAATGCAACTGCGCCAACAACACGGAAAGTGATGCCACCTGTACCGCTGGTGGCGGGAAGAACTCGGCGCAGCTCTGCTGGATGGTTCAATGCTCTAAGTGTCGTGATTCCTATGCCGGCAACCCCACAGATGGACACCAGTGCTACAAGCAAATAACTGTCGAGTCGCGGATGTGCTTCGATGCAAAGCCTATTGGTAAGTGCTTTTAGTAATTTTTCAGATTAAATAAACATTGCTAAGCCAAATTATTATAAGAAATAACTTGGAACATGAGAGAATAGTTCTATTAATTTGTCATTTTTAAGTCTTAATGATTTTTATAATTTTTTTTTTTTTTGTCTCATTTTTCCGCAGAGGAATGCAAATCGAAGCCAGCTGCTTTGAAGCCCGGCCAGACTGTGTTCTTTGTCATCCAGCCACGCTTTATGAATGTGGATATACGGATTATTATCGATGTGACACAAGGCGAGTTAGACGTGTTTATGTCGCCACAAGACGACTCCTTTATAGTTGAGACCAATGAGACTACCGGCTACCACGAAATCTTCCTTGACAACCGATATAATTGGGGCCCGAAAATGAAGCGGGAGCATCCCCTAAATGTAGCTTTACCAAGACACGATAACGTAACGATCCAGAAACTGTTTTCTCCTGAGCGTCGCATTGGTGGCGGTGGCCTAGGAGGAGGTGGAGGAGAGAGAATAGGAGCCAATGCATACTATGTGCCCCAGTTACAAGACTGCAAGAGCCATGGGGGTCACAACTTCATAGTTAAGGATCAGCACGCCAAAGATTTGAGTACACATGTCACGCTTAATCATTGCAACACATTGTTGCGTCTATTTGGGCTAAAGAATCGTTTGGTGCTAACCCTGCCCCAACATGCTCACAATTTGAGTGCCACACGGTTCTTTATTGCTTTGCGAGCAAGCTCTGGACCTGAACCCAGTTATGGTTCCGTTGTATTCCGCCAGGACCAATTGCATATTGATCTATTTGTGTTCTTCTCAGTGTTCTTCTCCTGCTTTTTCCTCTTCCTCGCTGTCTGCGTGATTGTGTGGAAGGTGAAACAGGCGGCGGACCTGAGGCGAGCTAGAAGACAGCATGTGGTGGAGATGTTGCACCTGGCCAAGCGCCCGTTCGCTCAGATCTTCTTGGCCTCAGGCAGTCTAGATATGGACAGTCCACAGCCAACCTCCTCCTCCTCTTCGGCCCGTGCCATGCGACAGCGTGCTCGCCAAGCGCTTCTACTTCAGGAACAATCTGCTGGCGACTCTCAACCAGTGATGCACCATACCAGTCGCCGCCAAAGCTCTCGTATCATGATGGTAGCCATCGAGCCTACATGTGACAATTTGGCAGCTGTAGGAACGGTTTTCATTAGCCTACCAGGTCGCTCGCGAGCTCCATTGAGCATCGCCCTTGGTTCCACTCTCATTTCTTATTCACGGCAATATCCTTTAAATCCCCGTCACTTTATGCGCGCTCAAAGAGGTCAGAATGTGGCGCATCACCCGGCTTAAATTGGAATCTCTATTCGCACGAACAAACTAGTTGTTAGTCAATGTCTAAAAGCCGAACTTAGTTAAATATCCGTGCATGTATGTATGAAGTACATAAAGACATTCGTTTAGATATCCGTGTATGTATATGAATAGTTTAGGTAATTTTTGTACATAACGTTTAGATAACGCAAATAATTATTACTATGTGTACATAAATATGCAACAAAAAGTGTGGTAGATGATAACTTGTGCACGCACAAATCGTCTATATTTAAAGTTTATACTTATCAAAAGATAAACATACAGGAAATGGATAAATATTAGATATTAAGTATATCATAATGGAATTGGGTCTTGCATCTGCATTCACATAATTTAAACACAGAACAAATTTTCGGACTGATTTATATGAAATTTAATTTGGCTAATATATAATTAAATCATAATTTTTATACAATTAAACATAACAAACAGAAACTTCAAATTACGCATATAGCAGAACAAAATTAAAAAATACATTTAAGAATGTCAATTTTTTCGGGATACAGAATGTCGCACATGAATGAACATTTAAAAGCCATATGAAAAACAAAGAAATCAAGATATACGTATTAATATAGTATACTGAAAGTGTCATAGCAATTAGATGTCGATAATTCCGAAACTAAGTGGATGTCATTTGTCTGTCGCTCAAATAGGTTCTTTTTACAATATGTACGATATAATTTTTTATTCTCGCGTACCTAGTATATATTTGTATTGTATAAAGTATTATGATATTCCTTCCCTGTTGGTGACTAGCATTTGCTCAATTAGTTCTTTAGCTCTCTACTGCGCACACTTACGCACCGGTGTACCTACTATTTTAAGAACAAAAAACTATTTTTACGTACAATCCAGTTTTTCACTTACACTTGTTATGTTTACACAAAACAAAAAGCTCACAGCAGACAAACATAAATGCGGCGCTGGAAAGTTGGAATGATATCCAATTTGAATATTATCCAGCAAAACATCTAACTATCCAAAATCCTACAGAATCTTTCCTAACACATTACACTATTCTCAGTAACCAAAAGGTTGTAAGAAGTTCTCACTATATCGATTTAGTTTAGAATTCCCTCCTAATATGTGGTACTATTTTTGTATATTTTGAGTTTACGAAATTAGCAAAATTTTTAGAACTGATGTATATTTAGAAACTAATCGAATCGTCCCATTCTGCAATATATTTATATTTATACATTTATTATATTTTTGTTTATTTGTAACCTGTTTTTTGCAATAAAGATGAAACTATGGTATATGAACAAATTATTTTGACTTTAATTATTAACTCCAAGAGAAACATATGGAAGTACTTAAATTCATTGTGCAAACGAATAATTTTTATTGATTAAATATTTTGATGTGATAAATATATATATTTATGCTGTATGTTTACATATAAGCAAGTCGTTGCCTCGAATTCTATGGATTCGAATCATCGATTGCATTTTAACTAGAGCTTGTGGTTGAAGGCAGGGCTACAAGAATTTCTTCGATAAAGCTGTCCGGCTGTTCAATGAGATGCAGAAGACCTAAAAAATACAAAATATAAAATTAAATATTTAAATTAAAAAACACTGTTACAAACAAAACACTTACCAGCCACATCGCAGAACTCTCCGAAAGAAGCGCACGGCAGGAACTCATCTGTTAGTGTCTGCAGGATGCTGTCTGTGGACTTCAGCAAAGCCTCATCATTCTTTCGCAGGTAGTCGAACAGCGATATAGGCCAATCCTCCTCCTTTGGGGTGGTTACCGTCTTGAATAGGTTGTTGTAGATCAAGTCTACCAGTGCCCACATCATTAGGAAAGGCTTGTATACAGAGTAATCCTTAGTCTGCCGATCCGCAGGTGCTAGCAAGGCCTTGCACAGCACCGACGGCGAGATGTGTCGGGCCTGGGCCACGGCTACCATCCTCTTCAGATGCGCCAACTTATGCTTATTCCACAGCTCGCGACTATGAAGCGAGAGCGAAATGGTTGCCATGTATAGAGGGCCGTCTACCTCGTATCCGCATTCCAACCATTTTTCATTGGGTGCTGCCTGCAAATATGTAAGCAAAGTCTTACTGTCCCTGGCCGCAGATCGTGAAGAAAGCAGCAGATAGACAGAGTAAAAGAGCAGGTAGGGAACAAAGTGCATGTTAGACTGCGGACCTCCTCCGCCAGCATCGTCATGGAAGCTGCGTTCCCAGGCAAATCGCAACAACAGAAGCTTCAAATCATGTACGCTGCTTGTATAGGAGATGTCACAGCGCTGGGTGCTTTCCTGCATGTAACTGCTGTGCCGGGTCATGCAAGCGGAGAAAGCTGCCTCTCCAACGGCAGGACCCCAAAGAGGCAGCAATCCATTACACCTGGTGTTAGCATTCTGCAAGCTAGCCCTCTCCCATTCATCTCTGCCTCGAGTCAATCGAATGGCTGATGTGTGGCAGTCAACGTGCACCACGTTGAAGTGAGTAACCGTGGTGTAGCCAATTGTCTTCCTTGACTTAAGCTCAAACTCCTCGACATTGCAGCGCTTAGTGAACGTGTAGATACCCAGCACCTTATCCGGCTGGCAGGCATAACCCTCGCGACAGATGAAGCATGTCAGGCCCGTTTCGTCACGCAGTTTTTCGATTTTCTGCAGAATAGATCCTTTGGCAGTCACCTGGCCCTTTTCGTTCGTGCGCATTCCCAAGGCGTCAAGCTGCTTTTCCCGCGTGGCCATAGCCAGCCGCTTCTTTTCTGCTCTTGTGAAATCACGCACTTGCTGTACTCTCGCTGCTGTGGCTGAGTCTGTAGAAAGGGCTTCAAGAAGGTTTTCGGCTAAGCTGCCCACATGTTCATCGCTAGATACTTGCTCCAAGCGATGTATAATGGGTATAATGTCCTTGCTAATAGCCACCTGCGTTGCCTCATGATGATTTGAGAGACCGGTGAGGAAGCGTAGTATATACTTTAAGCTTGGTCGCGAGATGAACTCTTTCAGCTCATCGGAGTCCGTTCGCAGGAGAGTGGGTTTGACACAAGGCGCATGCTCTGTGATGTATGCTAGCGATCGCTCTACGATGCCCAGACTAACTATGTAGTCCTTAAGAGTGCCACCAATGCAGTTATGCTCGATTTGGTTAGTCAGCACACAGAAAAGTTCCAATTTAAACTCTTCTTCCGGCGTTCGCTCGTTGTCAAAGCGTTTAAAGCTCAGAGTGTCCTAAAAAAAAAACATTAATTGGTTTTAAATTTTGTCAAATAAATTAGGCACACCTACCTTAAAATGTTCGCACAATAGAGCCATTTTCACCTCATTGCCATAAACCAAAGCGGCAAGCACACGAATGAGATGGCGCAGCACCGAGGGATTGTTTCTAACGTTCGGACAGTCTGTGCATGATATTAAGGCACTCACATACTCCGGCCCACCGAATGTTAGCGAGAATTGTAAGAACGAATCTAACGTATCGCTGGCTGCCTTTGAGAGTAACGTTTCCATGATCTCCAATAATTGCTCGGTGACGGATGACTGGATTGAATCGTTTTCCGATTGGAGACACATTTGTAGCACCTTGAGCAATGTGTTAATGGCTCCAATTTCAGGCTGGCAGAGAACTTCTTGGCAACGGCGCACTTTTACGCAAATAAGGAAAAGTTTCAAAAGCACCTGGATCAGCTCTCGATTGCGCGATATGCGTTGCAGACTACCAATCCTCTCCAGCATTACTCGCAGCCCATTGCAGTCAGCCAAAACGTTAGCCATTCGATAGAGCTGTTCAGTGTCCACCTGCTCCTGACTCTTGTTATTTAGGGTTTCCACAAATTCCTCGGTAGCATCTCCTAGAAGACCGCGCATGCGATAAACAATCCTCATGGCATCTCGATCGCCACCTTCAGCTAACCAGACTTTTTTGTATACATCTTTGACGGGCAGATCCAGACTAATGATTTTGTTATTTACTAGCAGTTCCATGCCGTTATCGTCTTCCAATAAGGCGATTAGTTCGCAATCCGTACAGATTTTATTTTTGACATCTCGCATTAGTGGACCCAATCCCATTTCACTTGAGGGATACGGATTGCCCAGCATGCGGCCTTGCAGGAAGTCCTCTTGCTGGGGATCCTTTTCCAAAGTCATATAGAACTCACTTTCGTCGTGCTCCTCAGGATGTATAATGGAGTACAACCGCTCAAAGATAAACACAGGAGTTTTTATATCATTCATGCGCGTCTTCTCTACGGTGTCGATAAGGATTTCCATGAAGGCTCGCGTCTCTTCTTCGGTACCGCTGGTCATATCCTCTAGCATCTCAAGCAGCTTCTCCTGGGCGTCGTCTATTAGTCGTGTTCGCTGCACTACCAAGCTTCTTAAGGCAAGATAACTTTCCAAAACAGGACCTAGCATGCGAGTTTTATAGGTCCTGCGGATGTTGGGACACTCAAGCAGTAGCCACAATAATTCCACATACTGTCGCAGAGCATATCCCAGTGATAAATCAGAGGAGAGAGAGTGCTCTTCCATACGATGCACCTTGCTTATTTCAATAGCCAGAAGCTGAGAGATTTGGCCAAGTACTCCTTTCAGCACCAAATACTGCAGCCAGGGTTGCTCCGTAGCCATGCTCTTGTACAGCATTAAATATTCCGCACTGGCCTCGCCAGCTTCGCCTACATGCTTTAAGAACGATGTAAGCATGTTTAAGGACTGTTGCTTTCTTTCGTTCGTTCTGCTCAAGCTGCTCAGTAGTGAACACGCCAGCTGGCGACCAAATCTGGAGTTTGCATTAAAAAGCAACGGCTGGATCCACTTAGCATTAAAAACGAGAGGCTTTATCACTCGTTGTTTGTCCAGCACATGCTCACGCCAGCGTTTTCCATACTTTTCGACTAGGAAGGCGGCCCGCACCTCTCGTCTGGTCTTTGGCGGGGCTTCTGGTGCTGCTGAACCACCAGTACCCGCTGCTGGAGGTGTCTGCTCCTTGGCGTTCTTTTGCTTTACCTGGCTATTGCTAGGCATCCGACTGCTCCAAGCGGCATACTCATGATTGCGATCTGAGTTAAGCCATGCTCTGTAGTCCACGGTATTGCCCTCAAGGAGCTTCATACTGCACAGATCTGTGGTTGCCACTTTCTGGTTTGGCTTGCTGCTCGGCAGCACCGGGCAGATGAGATTCTGCATAATGCGTAGGCAGGGATGCAGTACCGATGTTACCGGACCACGAGGCAATCTGTGGAGATCAACAATTAACAGATGAATCATGATTTTTAGAAAGCTTAAAACAATTAAACTAACCTGCAATTGCTAATGAACAACTCAAAGATAACTTTAAGCTTGTACTCCCAGCATACGTCGTCTTGGCCCAAGAAGCACTTCCAACAGTGTCATTTCCTGATGCACAGCTGCTTCCAAACTAATCAAGGGGATCGATCCCATTAGCGCATTCTTTACCCTCGTAGTGACCAGTTGTAGTAGGTGCATGCATGCCTCGGAATTATCCTTAGTCAACACAACCAGAAGGTTGCGCACCTCCTCCTGAATCTGGGGTGTGCCTCGCCGAAGGTTGTGCTCGGCTAGTTCACTCACTAGTCCCTGGCTATATAGTCCAACGCGACAATCGTAGTTGTAAGCCATGGCCCTGAGAAGAGTAAGACACTGCTCGGTGGACGCCAGGGCACATCCGTAGCATCGATTTGTTGTAGGATTCTCGGCACCAGTTGACGAGCCGGGATTGATAGGTGGCTGATCCTGCTGTTGACGATCGTAAGCCACCAGTTCGCTAGAAAGTTGATTAATTTCAATTAGTATGTCAGTGTAATCTTGAGTCGCATTTGTGCAACCATAGATATAAGTGTACCAACCTGCGACAAGCCTTCACTTTCTGGACGATCTTGCTTAGTTCCTCAAAACTGGTCCGTGATTCTACGCAGTATTTCTGGGCCAGCAGCTGTATGATTTTGTTTACCTGCGAAGTGCTATGTACACTGGCCATGTTGTCCTCAACCATGCGGTCGCTGCTCCGGTGTTCAGCTACCTTCTGTATAAGTAGCTCCAGCATTTGCTTGTTGGTTAGCAATTGACGGTAAATTCTATCCGCTCGTTCCAAGGAACTGTGTATCAGTGTAACGGTCTTCACTCGATCCTCTGCTGATTCAATAGGATCAACAGCGCAGCACACACGAGCGTACATGCTAAAATCGAATTTAGCGTACTTGCAGAAGCCACATGAGTGGCACAGGAACGGGTCCTTCTCATCGTAGTTGATAGCCCGACATTTATGACATTGGAACACATTTTCGCCGCAATTTCCACATACTCCCGGGTATGCCGGTACTGCTGCACTGCATCTTGGGACATTGCAGATTCTCACTTGATCCACTTACAGTTTCAAAGAAATCTGCGAACTCGATCATCAAATTACAAGCCGTGATCGGCAGTGGAAAATCGATTTTCAATTCGGTTTGTGCGGACTGCAGGGACACTGAACGCGCTTTGTGCCACAGTGCTGGGCGATTCTTGAGCTCCACCACCGCCTGGACACTGCGGTTATTATAGTAAACATTTATGGTCCTTACCATCTTTGTTCGCTTCAAGTCAGCAATTCTTACTATCAACTTGGAAATAGTATGGCATTGCACCAGTTTGTAGATCATAGTGGTCGTTGTGTACTTTGAATCTGACTTAACTGATGGCAATTTGATGTTGGCCATCGGCACCTCTGGATTGTTGCACACCAAGCAAGGCTCCGATTCGAGATAGTAGCCGTTTACTTGAAGAATAGACTCAAGGGTTGTGTATATTGGAGCATTCGGATGCTTGCATAGCAGTTCATTCTGCTGTCTGAGAACGTCAACAGCCCGGGAAACAAACTCTGGCAGTCGCTCAGTGATACTTCTGGTGCTTAGTGTCAGATATCCCAAGAGGTCTACAAACTGCGCTGTCCTCCTACCATAAGTGGGTACCAAGGGCCATAGGTTCCAGAATATGTTTAGCAGTTTCTCCCGCTGTCGTTCGTTAGCATGCTCAAAAAGTCCGGTCATAAAAGAGTGGGCCTGCCATCTCAGCTGGCTTATGTTATTCTCCAACAGGAAGATCCTCACAAACCGGATGATCAGCGCATCACATGCGTATCTAAAGATCTGATGAACAAATGTCCCGCACTGGGCAGGATCGAACTTGGAGTAATAAGCATCTGTGTCCTCGCTCTTCTCCCGATCGGTCCGAAGTTTTCCAGATGACGACGAGGTCGATGGTTGCGGCTGTGCCTGCTTAGATCCATTAGGAGAGGGCAAGTTACAAACAGCCGCCTGCAGCAATTGAATAATAATGGGGGACACCCCATCATCTAACTGGTAGCAGGCAATTTCCATCAGCATGGCCAACGCATCTTCATGAACGACGCAGAACTTCTGCCAGTTGCCGGTACGCATCTGGCTTATCTCCTGGCAAGTACGTAGATGCTCTGTCAGCTCCACCAGAGCATCATAAGTAAGCAAAGGAGGATTGGCATTGTAGGGAGCCCCAGTCTACATCAAAAAAATAAATTCATTTATTTTTAACAGACTATTAAGACTATTTTTGAACTCACCTTGCTGCTGACTATGTTACACACCCGTTTGACAACCCGGAAATGAGCATCCAGGGAATGACCGTCGCGGTACATGCGGAACTTTTCCTTACTGCCGCAGATGTACATGAGCAGCTTTCTCACTTGCCGACGAAGCAAAGTGTTTAGGTTAAGCATCATGTACTCACAAAGTGTAAAGGTCATGGCTTCGCAGAAGCCACTATCATAGTTGTCTGGATGGGCGCTACTTAAGCGAAGAATTTGGTACGGCAATCGTACAATAATCTCAGTTAGCAGACCATCATACGATTCAAATATATCCGGGTAGTTTTTCAGATAGTTATGTGGAATTAATATGGATATATCAGGTTTAGGTCCATGTTTAATGGGTTTCAGTAGCTGAACTCCTGGACCTGAAGCTCCACCGCTCGGTTGAGCTGCCTGCGAGGCTGCCACTCCACCACCCGCTGCGTAGGGATCACCTAGCACGTTCTTCCAGTGAACCAGGAGCGTGTTCAATGCTTCCAAAGCATAAACAAATGCTCCACTCTTGCTGAGAACATTGGCTGTGGTACTGGCCACAAAGGAGCTGTTGTCCTTGAATTGATGCGGTGGCGATGTGGTTCCAGTCTGCTTTGACTTTGTCTTACCCATCATGACTCCAAACAGTGAGAGCAATGCCAGACGCACCTCATTGCCAGGACACTTTGTTTCCATCTTGAATATACATTTTGACATTTCAATTTATTTAATTTACTCAAGAAAAATCTTCTACTTACCCTTGAGGCAGCTCCCCGTTTGCCAATTTCCACATACTCCACGAGAGCAGTGAGTAGATCTTGAAGTACCTGCTGATCTCTCTCATTGTTGCCATTAAGATCGGTGGTGAGCATGAGAATTACCTGGATTAGTGGTATTGCCTGAAGGCCATTGCATAGATCAAATGTGCCCAGGTGTTGAATAATACTCTCTAGCACAGCAATTCTATTAAAAAACAAAATAGTTAAAAGTGAATAAGTAAAATTTAAAGAGCAACTTGTATTATCACACATACCGTAGATCATGTAGCTTGCTGAGCTTCTCGTCCTCGTTGATTTCGTTATCCTCGCTGCTGCTCATGGCACTCAAGCCAGCAACACCGCCGGAACCACCTATGCCACTTGGACCAGGTTGCTCTTGATCATCCTTTGTGGAACCCTGTCGAGGAGGCGAAGCATTCGCATGATCGCCAAAATTACTGCTTCTGGCAGATGTTCCACCGATACTCTCCACACCGCTGCCTCCACTCTCTGATCCACCACTACCAGCGGGCTCTGCTGGTGAAGTCCGCAATGTTGATCCATCGGTTGCCACATTTGAAGCTTCATCGTCATCAGAACCACCTGCGGAGACACTGGCCGTTGTGTTCACTGCCGCTGCCATGGCTGCAGCCTGACGGATGCCCTGAAGATTGGCCAATCCTTGCTGAAGTGACTGCAAGGCATTTGCATCTCCTCCATGCTGTTGGAGACTTAATGCGATAGCAATATCCATAATGGTTTCATCATCCGCATCTTCGGGAAGACCCAGTAAGCGAGGGAAACTGCCACCCATGAAGGCTTCGAGGTTGAGCATCTGTTGCTGGCCCACACCTCCTGCCCCCACTACTCCACCTTCTGCTTCCGGATTCGGATCGGGTATTCCACCACTTCCGGCTGCAGCATCTACAGCAACAGCAGCTGCTTCCTCAATAATGTCATTAGCAGCTGAAGCAGCCACTGCTTGGAGCGCTTGCATGGCGGCGTTGGATGGCGTAGGTGTAGAGCTAGCCGGTGGTGTGACTATGGCTACCTTTCTGCGTTTCACTCTCGGACTCAGCAACAAGATCAATGCCTCCTTTGCGCTGTGGCTAATAACGCTAGCATCATGCTTGAGCAAATCGATGAAGTACTTGGTCATCCGTCCGACCTGGCCGGGGTCAGCTAAAGCAAATCCGTACATAATCTCGACGAGGCAATGAACAATGGTCTCTGCCTGGCACAAGCCTCGTTTCACAATATTAATGGGCTCATCCAATGCCGGGGTGACCTTGTGCAACTCCAAGACAAATCCCATGAGGGTTGGCACAATATCATAGTTGTTCTCAGCGCAGATTTTTGCTAGAGATTGTGGACGGGCGTTGGCGATGCCACGAACCAGGAGAATAAGGCGGTAGAAGGCCTCAGGATCGATCTCCTGTAGAGATTCCAGTTTTTCGAGCTTTGGCTGCAAAGCCTGGAGTTCTCCATGAACGAACTGAAGTAGTACTCCATCTTTGTAGTTGTGATAAGATGCCCTGGTTCCGTAAAGAGTGGCCAAAACATATCGGGCCTGGGTCTGGACAGGATTGGGCGTGGGCAACAACAAGAGGGCACTCGCTGTTTTTACTGCCTTTTGCCGGATGGGGGAAGGCACACTAGATCCCAACAAGTGAAGCGCACAGTCCATGACCTCCAAAAGGTTATTAACCATTCGATCCAGCTGGGTAATACAGTTAAATCCCTCTCCAAAGTTGGCGCTACTTGCCTGTGAAGAAGATACTGCTGGCACACTTGATCCTGGAGCAGCGGCATCCTCGCTTTCGTCGGGCCAGCCTACCAACTCTTTAGACTTGCCATAGACCTCAATGCAATCCAGTAGAGTCACATTTTCCGGGTCTTGAGACTTGGCAAATATGACCTTTAACAGCTTGTCTGACTGCAGCATTTCCTCCCGGATCAGAGGAATGTCGAACCAGCGAGCCCTTCGCACCGGTGTAGCAATTGTGCGTCCCAGGATGGTGACTGATACCGGAGCACGCTGAACATCCTGAGTTCCAAGTAAGACCCTTATTCCTACGATAACCACATTGGGATCATTGTTGATCACCTCAAGAGTAAAGCCACTCGCACGGGTGCTGGCCACAAACATTCCCGTTGAGAATAGACGCATCTTTAGTTTTTGTTTGTTGTAAATCTGGAGCAGATCATTGCCTCCGAATTCCACATCAGCCAGCATGTTGCAGTGCTCAAAAAAGTCAATTGGGAACACAGGATGACCTCCTGCCTCGAGTTGTTTCTGTTGTTGGCTTGCCTTTCTGTTGTTCAGCTTTCCAGACGCTGCATTAGCCTTGGATTTTGGTGTTGAACTAATTCCTCCCTTAGCCATCAAAGTGGATGTATAAAGCTGGTTACCAAATGGCTGAACTTGTGGGTGAGAGCCAGAAGCTCGTGTGTTCTGGTTGAGCGGAGAAGATCCTAAGGCTTCCGTCCTCGCAAAGCAGCAAAAGCGTGGTTTTCTCCACTCCGGCCACTGCATGACGGATGCCAACAACGTCCATTATTCGCGACTTAGCCGACTGTGCCTTGATCTCTTGCAGGTAAATCCGCTCGGGAGTTATCATCAATATAATAGGGTTGTTTGATGTCTGCATGCTGGCATATATCAATCCTGGATGTCCTGTAACCTCGGTCCATTGAACCAGTGGCTGTAGTGGTCCCTTCGAGGCAGACTTGCTGGCCGAATTGGTGTCCAGATGGTAAATTCCCCTCACTCCATCGTTTACATTGGTGAGTGGTGAAAAGAAACTCCTACCAGAGGAGTAACTGTAAAAGAGTAGTTGCAGGGTATGGGAATAATAGATGGACACTCCACCGCCACCAACTTGGCCACTAATATCCTTGATATGTTGGTGAGTCAGCTCCAAGGTATTGGTCACATAGAAATCGCCGTGGACCGCTAAACTTTGTTGATCCAACTGCTGGGTATAAATGTATCCACTGCTAGCAAAGCTTAGCATGTAATAGTTACCATCCTGGTACATAAAGGTACAATCCCTAATCTTGCCCACGGCCACTAAGTAATAGTACTTCGGACTATAGGTATCCACTGCCAAATCATAGATCTTAACATAATCGGAGGTGACAATTGCCAAAAGAGTTTGTGAGCCAGGCAACCACACAGCTTTCTTTATGTAATTTCCGTTTTCCAGTTGAGGACTCACCACAATGTGCTCGTTGGTACTGCCACTGCTTGAAAAGGTTAACACATGACACTCCTTCAAGCCACAAACTGCCAGGCAATCTTCATTGCAGGGGTTTGCAGCCAGGGACAAAACCGTACAAGCAATGGGCGCTGAACTCAGCTGTGTTAGAGTTAACTTTCGCTTAGAGGCATCTGCCTGTTTAAGCAGTGCCGACAGTTGAAGAATAGTTACCTTTCCCTTCTCATGGGAGACAGCCAACTGCTGGCGACGCCCGTGGGGCGATGACAAGCAACAGAATGCAACACGTCGGACTACTCCAGAAGAGATTAAGTGCTTTATAGTCTGACCCTGGTCGCCAGAGTAGTTCATCCGCACATTCTCAAAGGCCCCCTCTTGTGAGCCCAATGTGGCGAACATAAGTTGATCTGTAACTTGGAAGCTTTGCTCAAGTTGGTGGAGTCGCTCCAAGGCCGTTTTCGCCCTCTTGTGGCAGCCCACAATGGAGTATAGCGTACAGTTTTCTTTTATCGATGGAAGCAACACGTCAAAGTACTCCAGAATGCATTTTACTACCAGCAACCATTGATCCTGGTGTTGCAAAGTCTCTCGATAAGGTTCTAAAAGCTTGCTAAGCACTGCAATTCGTTCGCTAGTCAAGGAATCCTTCCGGGAAGGCATTGGTTGATTAACTGGTGGGCTGCTCCTCTTTTTTCCGGCTAGTAAGCTCATGTGAGACGGTAGGTAGCTACCCATTCCGGCAGAATCTCTCACCTCACTGGTACCAAGTCGCCTGCTCAATGCCTGACAGGATCCATCCTCCTTGGCTCCGCAATCACAGAAGAAATTTCCATATTTGGCGTAACTTACATCGTGACCCTTGTGGCAAACCCTTGCGCACACGGAGCACACGCCAACTGTGTTGATCATGTTACAAGTATGGCAGTGGTACCAGTGTTGGTTCATGAACTCCTTTTGGGTTTGCGAGAAGGTACATAGCTTGTTATTCAGCGTATCCTCATCAGAGTCTTCCAGCAATGAGTCCTGCTCCCCCTCTTCGGCCAGCTCGTCATAAAGATCGTCAATATCGGTCTGCAATTCATCATCCCATGGCGGTACGTGTTGTCGACTGCCTCGATAACCGATACTTTGCAGCAGTTCGCTAAGATAGCGCAGCTGAGCGCTAACGTTTTCCGCATGCTTGAGATGCTTTTCCGGTAATTGAAGCTTAGCCAGTTCCAGCCAAAGTATCGTGGTATTAAACAAGGCGACATGACCCCGTGCGGGGCTGGCGTCAGCCAGTGTAATCATTATCTGGAGTACATCCGCAAAATCGCAGCCATCTTGGGGTGGGGAAATTAAAGTTTGTCCCAACTGCAGCAATGCTTGGAACAGTGGGGGAGCTATTTGCGATGCCTTGCTCTGATCATTGACCAAGGATTTCACGAAGCTTAAAAGAAGCGCTCCATTTCGTTCGCTTCCAGTGTGATCACAGGCCTGAGAGGATTCTTCCGAGGGATTTGGTTGAGCAGCTTGCCACAGGCTCAGGATACGAGAGGTACTTGCCGCAGCTCCTCCTGTTCCAGCACCGCTTTCTCCGCCACCTGCTGCAGTTCCGCAGTCGTAGTCAATATCCATGGCATCCAACTGGTCAGAGATACTTGGCATAGCTGAAACGGTGGCCATGTTCGTTGGAGTCTGAGCATTGCTGCTGGAGCTGCTCGATGGCTGTAAAATGCTTGTCAGCATCCGGCAGGTGGTATCTAATGCTTCGGAGGTGCTTACATCCGTACTAACATTTGGCCCGTAAATGATGTGGGCCAACCAGAGCTTTAAACGAGCTACATCAACTGTGGCCAGCTCCGAGAAGCATTCAACTAGATCCTCATGCGGAAACTCTGAATCCGCTTGCATGGATTGCTGGAACAGGCGTTCAACGAATTGCAGCATCTTACGCGCATAGCTGACGGGCAGACTAGTGCCGGTAAAAGAGAGTAAAAGTGTCGTAAGACTCCCATGTTCCATGAAAAACTGCTGCATGGCTCGCACCGCTATAGGTTTTTCTAGCATCTTGATCATAGTTTTGAGCACGGCAAATAGCATAGACTCGTTAAACATAGCACGATCCTGTTCCAAGGGAGCTACCCCGCTAGACCCACCAGCATGTGGCTGGCGAAGCTCAGCTGCAAAATCTTTGAGCATGCGATAGCAATATCCAATCATATGCTCATAGAGCAGAAGCTTCTCTACCTCCGGTGTAATACCAAAGAGAATCACGCGTAGACACTGTTCACTTTGTCCTTGCAAGTAATCAGTTCGCATATCCAGCATTGAGGCGGTTAACAAAAGCTTGAGCTGAGCCATCATCTCTGTGTTGCGGGGGCAATGAGGAAGCAGGAGTTCAAACAACTGTAGGATTGATTTCAAACAGTGCTTCACAGTGTGCAAGGTTGAGTAATTGGCTCCTCGAGTCAGCTCTAAAATATGAGCATCAATCACGTTCAACGTATACGGTTCTACTGGATGTTGCCTGCCATCAAATGCGGAATCATTTACCATTATGCATTTTGGCCACTCGTTTGCTATCAATTGTTTGTCCTCATTAGGTAGAAGTTTGAGAAATGCTACATGCAGCTCCAACATAATAGCTGGTTTGTCGCTAGCAATGGGCACAATAAGATTCAATGATTGTTCCGGAGTCGAGCTTGACAACTGCTTCAGCATTTGGCTCCGCACAATAACCGAAAGCAGGCGGTAAGAGCCCATTAGCTTTATAATAAGCTCGTTCCGAAGATCACTAGGAAGCTTTCCCTCCTCTTCATTTTTTGATTTTTGCTCATCCATTGACTTATTTGAGGGCAGCTTATCATCCTCTTCATCTTTTGATTTTTCTTCATCGACTGACTTGTTTGAAGAATACAGTTCGGGATCGTTTGTTGTACCAGATGTGGAGGATGACCAGTTTGAAGTATCTTCGTCCTCCTTGCGGGGCCACTTATAGCCCTCCCTATTGGCCCAAGCAACCGCCTGCATATGGGCCACCAAAGAATCGAAAAGGATGAGATCGGACAGGCGGGGGGTTCCTATAGAAATATAATATTTAAGCAATGAAATCAAAACAACATTTATATAGTCTTACCGTTTCCATTCATCTGACAATTGAACGCTTCTACTCCAAGAATGGTTTGCTTAAGACTGTATTTCATATCGGCCGCTACATCGCCCACATGATTCCATAACGTCTCAGCGTATTGGGTATACATTCCCTGCTTGATTAAACTATTAACCACCAGGTAGTGAGAATGGGCCAGGGGAGAGCGTATACTCCAAATGAGTGAATGCAGGTTGGGTGCTCGTTCAACCTGAAGAGCTTCTACGTGTGAGGTAGAGGGTGGCAGACCCAAAACCAGCTTCCAGGCGATGCTAAAGCAATATTGTATGGCGCACAGGTTGTGCATGCTTGCTTCCTTCTCCTTTTCTTTGGAATATGCAGACATGTCGGTGATTGAGAGAATGTCAGTCAGGGCATCCACCAATAACGGATATTTCAGCTTGTCCGGCGTGCAGAGTATGAAGTTCCAAGCCAAGCCATCCAACTTGAATTCCTGTGCCCAATAAGGTTTCTCGGGATCGCCCATTACGAGAGAATAAAAAGTTGGGCGAATTGCTGCAATATAATAAATCCTTTTTAGTATTAAGTTTTGGGTCAAGAAATTTTTACTAACCTGATCCATATTCGCCGGCCGACTTGCGGAACTTTTCTTCAATATCTTGGCGGCAATAGGTACGGCCGTTTAGAAGATCTATGGTCTTTTCCGGCATGCTGCTAACGCTGAACAGATTCCAGCGTACCTGGTCCAGTAATTCTGGAGGCGCATTGTACAAGTGTTTCATGAGATACTCCAAAAATAGAAGCAAACGGGACAACAGCATCATTTGGCTGTTTCTTACGGGTCGATCCCCACTAATTCCACGGCAAACTTCCGCACAACGAATTACTCCGCCTGCCGTTAGAAGCAGTATTGACTTCTTCTGCATCAGATTCAGTGAGTGGAATAAGAAAAGCAGCAGCTGTGCGTGCTCAATGTTCAAGTCTTCGTAGTCAGAATCACTGGCGGCTGACCAAGAGCAGACTCCCTCAACCAGAGTGTTTATAAGGCGATGCCACACAGAAAGGCAGGCGGCCTCCTTCTCTTGAGTGGGCTTTAGCAATAGAATTTGCACGAGAACTGACAAGGTACTCGGATAGACCTGTAGGGGCCAAGTGTTTGTGTCGGTTGACCACGGCGATATAGACAAATGCTGCAACAGATTGGACTGTAATTGCTCTGAGAGAAGCGATGTGGATATCAAATTGTGAATATAACGACCGGCTGCTCCTGAAAAGCGAATCATCGAGGTCTGCCACTTGGTTGCAGCAGCTGCGGGGCCACTTGTTCCTGCATTTGCAGCTGGGGCATTTCCCGAAGCCTGTACGCTTTCGTTTCGCATGACATCCCTATCAAAATCCTTGATAATGTTAGCCATTAACAGCATTTGCTGATCACTCACTCCAGCCTTTACATAGCGCTGCATGTATGCGTGCCGATTAGCTAGAAATTGGTCCAAGAAACAGAATATGTCCGCCGCCAAATCTAGATATTCATGTGGCTCATCCAACTTGGGGACGAGAGCGCTCTTTTGCTCTCCACGCTCTTGTGTGGATGTGTTTGCATTATCGTCATGCGTTTCTGGGGAAAGAGTTTCTTTAAACCAGTGTCCCAGGTAACTCTCGCTATCGTCCTCCTCGGAGTTATCTGAACAGGAGAGAGAATCGTTAAAGTAGGTAGTAGAGTCCGAGTAGCTAATGGGTTCGCATTCTGTGCGATCCTTGGCAGAGGCGCGTCTTAAGGTACAAGCCTTGCGATAAGCTACCGTGGCCAGAAAAGTGAAGAGTTGGTGGAGTGTAGCGGTGTTGAGCACTCGTACAATCCTCTCTAGGGAACTGTAGTTCTGCAAAATGTCGAATTGCGCGGGCTCCGGCAGTTCCGTGGATTCGGTACTTTGTCCACAAGCGGATTCAATCTTCAGATCTTCAATTAACTCCGATAGAAGTTTAATGCTGTGGTTAGCAATGGCCGCGTTAAGTTCCCCAAAACCTTGTTGGACTTTGAATAGGTTGACTCTGGCTATAGGTGTGGTAGGAGCGGTTCCAGCCTCATTTCCAGACTTGGCCGCTTTGGTTGACGATTTAGATGCAGTCTCCGAGCTTGTTCCGCCGCTTCCGGATGCACCCATTGCTCCTTGGATGCCGCTAATAAGCAGCCAGCTGCCATAGCAGAGATGGTTTTGATATACATGAATTCTGGCCGATGCCTTAAACATATCGCCAATATTAGAGTAAATCTCTAGAGCCTTGTTAACTATGCTGCAGGCCTGCTCCTCAAAGTCGTCGTAGTCTTTGTTCGTTTGCCCAGCACTAGAACCTCCTCCTCCGCTGCCTTGACTAGTAGATGCAGTCTGCTGCTTCTGGGATCCGGGCTGGCTCATTCCTAGCACACTAGTGGCTATTGAAGTTAGCACAGCATTGTACAGCGCAGCAATGCCGCACACTGACAGGCGTTCAATCCGACTAGGAGTCAGTGGCTGTAGCACAATCAATGCATGTGCTTGACTCAAAATGGTGAGATCAGTGAGCATGTGATTCATGCTCGATTTCACAGTAGTGGCCTCTACTTGCGTCAAAGGCAGATAGAGCGACTTGCCACCGTTAATGGTCTCCAAATATTTGGACCGGTAGCGGTTTAATATGGGCAAGCCAACACACACATCAAGCAGGGTATCAACTCCATTCTGCTCCTGGAAGTACTCCACATTGGCCGCAATAAGTTGGTCCTGCAAGAAAGAAACATTTAATAATGCGCTTCAATCATTGCTAAACATTAATTTAAGATGTTAATAACTTATGTCTTATTCAGTCCTTGTTCGGTTTTAACCCACTTTAACTTTGATGAGGGTATTACATTCTGTGCAGTTTGAGAGTTAAGATAAAATTCAACAAAAACTTTCAAAAGAGAAATTTTTTAAATATTTACATGATTGAAACAATGTTCTTTCTACCCTATGTTGCGTATAATATTTTATGTTTTACATTTAATGCATTTTTTTCATTATTTCACAATTTTTTGACATCACTGGTTGTGCTATTTGTAAAGAAATTACTTTGAGTAACAACAAAAAATCGTGGGAAAACAAATGGAACAAGGCTGATCTTTAGATGTTTTACGCTCACAGTGCAGAAGGTAAACTCTTGGCTAAGGGGAACCCATGTCATCTTCCCGGCCTCCAGAGGATCTATCAGTTGCTGCAGGATAACCGAGGACAAGTCTGACCGGGATCGTTTAATCTCTGACTTGGGCGACTCCTTGTCATTGCTGGCACCGCTTCCGGATGAACTGCTGCTGGGTAGTATGCTCTTGGTGGTTGACTCTGGATGCTTACAACTCTTGAGAACATTGGCTACTGCATTATAGTCAAACATGTTTGTTGACGTAGTAGAGGGATTTTCGCGGCCCTCACAAAGCATCTTAAGGGCGCCCAAAAGCCACTTTGTCTCGTACACGGACACCCTAGGCAGCCTGTAGATGATGAACCGTATGAGCACGGCGGTGGCATCATGCAGCTGACAAATCTGGGTCTGGCAAACTGCAAAACCCAAAGATTATACATGTATAGTGTACTAATACTATGAGTGAAGCACTCAGTTCTTGGCCAAACATTTCTTTGTTGTGGTTTCTTTGGCGAAAAATCATTAGGGTGCACTTACTTGTCTCGATTTGCATAAGTTTGTCAGCCGCCAGGGCCGCAAAGGCCGTGTAAAACTGCGTGAAATTGCTTTCCTCCTCGAAAAAATCATGTTCACTATACGAATTCCGAAATAGAGCGATGTTAGTTCTTGAAAATTAAGAATTTTCAAAGCTTTTGCTTGTTTCGTCACTGGGGCGGCCATATTTAATTTTGCAAGTCACTTTTTGCACTTGCAGAAGTCCCCAAATATTTTTCACTGCGCCATTCCCCAGGAGAAAAATTCTTGGTCGGCTTTACTTACCATCTTGTGATGGCTTTAAGCAGATTAACTACTTCGTTCTTGTTGAGAGCTCCAGTGCGGTTCAGTAGAAGAGCTTTTACTACGGAATTCCAATCCGTTCCACCGCTGTGCGCCGACATTATTGTTTTAATTGTCGTCAATTTGCTCGAAAGTACTCGGCCTACTTAGCAGTGTGGCCGGATTGAATTTGCGCGTAAATACCATAAACGCAGGGCTGCAAAGCTTTCTATTAAGACACATATTCCCCAATTCTTTATTGGTTAATACGTTAATGTGCTTAACCGATGGGTATCTACTGATTACAAATTGTTTAAAATAATTGGAAGTCAATATCTTATGCCTAATATCAATATGTCTAGGGCTGCCAACGATTTTTATTATAATTATTATAGGTTTGCTTTACTAAAATTTCATACAAAATTCCGAAGATTTTTGAACACTTTATTAAAGTTTATTAAATTCCAATTTTTTAAATTATTCATTGCGTATAAGTTAAATGAAAAATGACTAACTTTACTTTTATCTACATTAATAATTGTTTTAACAATAAGCTTAATAGTAATAAGTACATAAATGAAAGACTTTTTTTTGAGTGCTTCAAAAAATACCTTACTGCATTTCATGTTGTGAATAAAAATACCAAACCGGCATGTAACATTTTTCTTTGTTCTTTCAATAGAGCAACACTGGACACCTCACTTTCAGGATTTGTTTACAATTTTTAGCAATGCAGTTTCACTTTAAAATTGCAGATGCTGAAAGGGACAGGGACAATGTGGCGGCTCCGAGCAATGTTGGTGTTAATCCGCACACCGCACTGCAGCCGCAACAACCTGCTGCACTCGTGGAGCCCAAGGATGCACAGCACGAGATCAGACTGCAGTTAGTGACGACATACCCAGAACTTGTAGTGAAATAATTAAAAATACATCAATAAATTGTTAACTTGCAGAAATATCGTTGCGACTTTCTCGGTAAACTGTGAACTGGACCTCAAGGCGATCAATTCGCGCACCAGGAACTCGGAGTACTCGCCCAAGCGCTTTAGGGGCGTCATAATGCGGATGCACTCGCCCAGGTGCACTGCCCTCATCTTCCGAACGGGCAAGATAATCTGCACCGGGGCTCGGAATGAGATTGAGGCCGACATTGGATCCCGGAAGTTTGCTCGCATCCTGCAAAAGCTGGGATTTCCTGTAAAGTTCATGGAGTACAAGCTGCAAAACATAGTAGCCACCGTCGACTTACGATTCCCCATCCGCCTAGAGAACCTTAACCAGGTGCACGGACAATTCAGCTCCTATGAACCGGAGATGTTCCCCGGACTCATTTACCGCATGGTCAAGCCACGGATTGTTCTCCTGATCTTCGTTAACGGGAAGGTTGTGTTCACGGGCGCCAAGTCGCGCAAGGACATCATGGACTGCCTGGAGGCTATTTCACCTATTTTACTAAGCTTTCGGAAGACGTAGTTAAATTATGGCATCTATATTTACATAAGTAATCTATATACTTAAGTTAGTAACGTTTTCCAAATCAACCATTTTTTTATATGTGCACCTTTTTTAAAAAATATATATAACAGAAAGTATTTAGGAGCAGCAAAGCTAGAAATTATTTAATACTTCCTTTTTTTATATTAACGAATCATTCATATTTGAAATAAAGTAATTAACAAAAAGTGAAATGTTTTAAACTGATTAATTTAAGCTACCAATGTCTTATAAAAGCTTGTTTATCTTATGTTAACTAGAAATGTAGTATCGGAACAAGAAACGCTTTTATTGTCGAGCTGAGTTAAATCAGTTATATTTTTAAGTTAAACTTTTGGTTATAGCATGTATAAATAAAATTAAATTAAAAAAAGTTAATTTTGTTATTTTTAAAACAGCATCTTTAATCAGCTCTTTGGACTACTTTCAGTGTTTTTTGAGCATGCTTAACAAATAAAACACAATTTGTAAAACATTATTTTTATTTATTTTCAGAGTTCGTTTATTACAAAAGAAAACACAAGACAATGCATGGAGATTCGATTCTTAAAGTAAGAAAGGGGACTTTTCAATGTGGTATTATTCAGCTTCTTAGACATGGATATGTGAGATTTTTTTATAGAATTTAAAAACTATTTGTAATTCATTTGGAGGGAATACGTATAAAACTTACAAACTATGCAGATTCATTAATTGCATAAATTAATTGGACGGTTTATTCAACGTTTTTCGCTTAGTTTCGTTTAAAAATAATTCAAGATTAATACAAATTAGATAATTTCTCATTTGATATGCATTCAAACATTTTGTCAAGATACATTTCCTAACGATTTCTAAAATCTATTAAAGGCATTTTGTGAAAGACACATTGATTGATTTTTCATTCCGCACTTGGAGCCCGCTCTATGATAAGGCATAGTACGGTTCGTTACAACTTACAAGATACATTAGGTGGCTACATGTGGTCTGCTTTATGTTTAGCAGAATATTCTTTGTTCAGCAATAAAAATAAAAATTAAATTATGATTAACTGCTGCTTTGTACATTCGATTCTACAGCGGGTCTATGGAGTACTACAGAGAAAAAAACTAAAAATAAAACCAAAATGTTGACCAGCATTTTTGGACGGAATGCAATTTCGTTGGCAAACAAAAAAATCTAAAACTCAAAACAAAAAACTAATAAATGAACAAAAACACTATAAATCTTAGCAAAGTGATTCGTAGGTGACTTTGTGGATATCTTTCTTTCTTTTTCTATGTGAGCAGCTGCATCATATTTAAGACCAGGTGCGTACGACTCCGCAGCAGGTATATAAAAACGCTAAAGAAGAGCAGGGACATGGACATGGATGCGCGCCAGCCCATGTTGTAGATGGAACAGTATGGACACTGAGAGCTACCGCACACCTCGCAGATGTTCAGCAGATATGTCGGCAGAGCATCAAATATCGATTCGTTAAAGCGTTCTATAATCAGAAAAAGAGAAATAATGGATTGTCAAACATTGGAAATTTTTAGACTCGACTTACCCGGTGCATAATAGTCATAGATCCGCACCGGCAGATAGCGCGACATATTGGCCACTGGATACCAGCGTTCTATGGTGAAGTTTACACAGATGTCCTCATGATCAAGCTGTTTGAAAGCAACAAAATTCACCATTAATTTTGAGTTTAAATTTATTTATGAAAATCAAACTTACATAATCGAAGTAAAAGACAATCTTTGCGTTCCATATAGCGAGCTCTTCTTAAATTCCTAACACGATTGCTGAGCACATAGCTGTCAAGCTTTTGCTGCTGAATCCAGTAGCCAGTGGGAATGGCCACATCCAAAACAGCCATGCCCGAGCGTTGCGACTCGTTTTGGTTTATCCAGCTAAAAAAGATATAAATAAACGTTTAAATATGAATTATAATTTAAAAACTTTATAATACTTACTTTTGACAGGCCACGTAGGAGATGTGCGACTGATTCCTGCCATGGAAGACTGCCTTGGTGTGAAGTCCAAATGCTGGCACTGGGGGCTTGGTCTGGAATTTCTCGATGTCCACATTGTACTGCACATGCATTTGCAAGATGGCATAACCTGCACCCTTGGCTTGCACCTTAATGGTACCCCAAGCATCTGGAATCTGAAATAGGTATTCATTATTTATAAAATTCTTTTAAAACTTTGAAAATATATAGAAATTTACCTCAATACTCTGTAGTTTCGCCAGATTTGTATCATCAATGTAAAAGGTTTGCGTTTTTCCGCCCTGAGATGAGGCCTCGATTTCCACTGTTAGCGCGGATACCTCGCGCAGCCTCGACCGCACTGTATATTCCACAAGGGCCTTGAGTGCTGCACTGGTATCTTGAGTGGACGCCCATCCGCCATCGTTTAAGCGCTGAGAGTTAAGCCATCGCACAATGGGATCCACGAAGAACTCGCGACGTGCCACGTAAACCAATAACGCGTAGGCGGTGGTCTCTATGTTTAAAGAATCATATTCGTAAGGCAGGCGGGGCAGTGAAAACCACTTTTGATTTTCCAATTTGCGTGGAGGTTGCGGGATTTCCTGGTTACCCCAGTACATAAAGTCGCCTATCGTTCTGGCCTGGCGCCGTAAAATGGAGAACACTTCCTCGGCAATCGGAGAGTTGCAAAGCTGAAGAGCATAGGCGGTAATGGCCACATCAAATGGTTGCGCCTCGTGTTTCAGGAAATTCATATTTCTCTCTATATAGGCCAAAGCTCGCTGAGTTGCCAAAGCAACTCTGGAGCCCAGGGTTCCAGAAATATCCTTTACCGTGGCCAGAGTGATGAGCACATGAGATGTCAGCGTGATGTTCTTGTCATAGTTGGTGCGATTTATCTTCCTGTCCGGGAGCCAAGTGACCTCATAGAAAGATCCCTGTGGCGTTTGGTGCTGCAGAAGCCAACGCATGTTCTTTTCAATAATGGTGGCATCGATCCATATAAAGTTTTCCCATTCGTAGAAGCTGGCCTCCTGGAATACCCTCAGGCAGTAGCTGGTCAACCAAACAGACGAGTCTGAGTTATTCCAGTCGGAGCGGAAAAGTGAGAAGCTGCCATCGGGCCGCATGAAACTCAACTGCCGTTGGTAGCCAATATTCATGTGGTAGAAGGCATTCTTCTCCATCGTTTTGTTGCGCTGATTAATCAATCGCATGTACATAATCGTGTAGAGGTTGGCGGCGAAACTGAAGGCATTCTGCTCGCCCGACTCCATGGGCAAATAGAGTAGAGAGCTGGCATTCACAGGCATGGTGGGGAAAATCGGGCCCACCACATCTCCCACAACGGATATCCTAGCCTTGTTCGAGCCGTACACAAAGTAACGATCCACTTGGTAGGGGATTTCTGGCGTCTGGGTCACATTTACATGCATGTACTCCAAGACATAGGCACGATTCGAAAGATCAAGGAGCAACGATTGATGACGATACTGTGGCAGACCATCCGACTCCACATGCAATGTTCTCTTGATGGTATCTGTACCCAGCAGAGTAGCTACGCGCAGGGTCACTTCAATATTGCCCAGACGCTGAGGCACCACCGGAACATAAACCACAGTGGATCCTTGGGCCTCCAAGTATATGAAGAATTGATGCTCACCGAAGCTGGTTCTAGGATTGTAAGACCTCACAATGCCGTCCTCTTCCACATGCACAAACTTGTAGTCCTTACTATCATGCAGCACCACAATAGCCTCGATAGGAGTGGTCATGTAGTTAAACACAGTGACACGGATGCCAACCTGTTCTCCCTGCCTGCAAGCCTCTGGCATTTCTACGTTGATAAAGAAAGGTTGAACTCCCACGTATTCCAAAGCCTTGTTGATCATTCCGAAGCCCTTGGATGGGCTCACACTAAAAGCACTGACCATCCAGTAAGCAGGAACATCTGGCACCTCTACGTTAAAAATGAATCGACCATGTGGTCCAATGTTCACATCCTTCCAGAGCCATACATTCTCGTAATGACGCAGCACTCGATTGAATCGATATTTTCTGTAGTCTAAGAGCTCGGTGTCATTCCTGGGATGACAATTGATCTCATCCGTTCCATCGTCACAATCAAACAAGCCATCACACTGCTTCTCCAGACGATAGCAACGTCCACTTAAGCATTCTCCGAAACCCAAAGTACGATTACACGTGTCCTGCCTTCTGGGCACATAGCCATCCGTAAAAACAATCAATCCGCTGTACTCAAAAGTGCGATTTGCATCGATGCCGAAGGACGAGGCGGGGAAGTACACCAACTCATCGGGATTGCCCTCGTGGGAGTACCAAATGTGCTTGTAAGTTCCGTTGGTCTGTTCATCGAAGCTAGACATTTTTGTTATGATTTTAGCGTAGGTAAGTTCATTGCCCGCCTGCATCGTATAGAAGGCACTGTCTATGCCAGATAATCCGACATAGGAACCAGGCTCTCCAAAGATGGCCACCTCCACTTTCTCTCCAGTTCTTGCCTTGCGGTTGTTAATGTATACGGTGAAGTTATTCCGGGATATACCATTTACTGGGAACGTTAGGGAATCTGCCACAACTTGTCCCTGTTGGTTAATCTTCCATACCACCATAGTGGCTACAGGTGCCATTTCGGAACTCAGGACCACAGCTATTGTTTTGATACCCTCCGTGATGGTCTCGCGGTCATTCACCAGAATAACACCCTTTGACATGATGAGATAGTTGAACTCCTCGAGGTAGAAATTCGTACGAATGTGGAAGATAATGTACTCTCCAACTACGGGCTTCTCAGTGCTGGTGGTTACCTTGATGTGCTGATTTCTGGGAGAATAATGGGACACCAACAGAAGCTCCGTTTGAATGCGTTCCCCTCGGGGGTCTATAAAGTTCGCCTGCAATCGCATATTTTGTATGCCGTTCAAGAAATCCCTCGATTGTGGTCGTTCATCTAGGTTCAGATCATTCCTAATGTCAATCTTCACCTCCCAGATGCCATCGCTCTGCTGTGACATCTGCAAGCGCTGGGCTGGCCAATCTCTCCTACCACCATTGCGACTTTCTACGAAGCCAGTGACTTCCATTAATCCCTGGCGCAATAAGTTTGGATCAATTGGCGAACCGTCATGATACTCTACTGCCAGATAAGTGGTGAATGGCATGGCGGGCTTGAAAACCTGAGGTGACTCGCCGAGGAAGACCACTTTCAAACTGGAGTTATACACCCTGGCCACGGAGTAACCACTGATGATCTCATCATAGAACCTCTCACCAACTGTGGCTGTGATCAGCACTTCCGAGTTGGCCAAGTTGGGCACCAGAAGCTCCAGCTCCCTTAAGGGCCACTTAAAGTCAAAAGTACCATTAAAGTAGCGCAGGAACGGCAAGGTCTTTCGATAAGTTCCAGTCCAAGCCTCGTAGGTTTCCTGGTATTCTGGTTTTTTCACCCAGAAAGGCCACTCTTCGTCGAACTGGTAATGCCGCTCAACCACATATTGATTCCTGTAGAGAACATCCTGGGAGAGATCTGCTCCATCCTGGGGCAGCTGCCCAGGTATGTTATACGGCACTTGGGGATTCTGATTTGGATTATTGTAGCGCCACCGTTCATTGTAAAGATTAGTCTGCTCTAAAGGCGACCGACCCAGGCGAAACTTCTCATTCAGCACTTGGTTGCTGAAGTACCCAATCGGTCGGATCGTAGCCTTGATTGTAAGATTACCTCTTACAGGTAAACCACTGGTAAAGTTGGCCATCACCCTTCCGTAGATATACGGATCAGTGGTAAAGAAGTACGCTGGCATGGTGACATTTACTTCGAAGCGCGTCTGGTAATATTCCTCCACCGTGAAGTGACTCTCTTCCTGCTGACCCTGGGCAATCACACGGATGGTCCACTCACCAAAGGTGGGTTGATCCGACAGCTTGTACTCCAGTGAAACAGAACCCAGGTTAGATTGTCTGCATATACAAAAGAAAGGGTTTAGTCAATCAATGTTTTCAACAGTATAATTTTCTAAGAAGCATTGAAAGAAGAACTTTTTGTTCAGGAATCATTTTAAGTTAACTTACCGTGAGAGCCACCGCTTCAAAATGTGCCTATTTGGGTCCAGCATGTACACATCCACGGGATTGTCGAATCCCTTGAGTTCGGTAGTGATCGGAATTGTCCTAAACCTTACAGTCTCTCCTTGCATGTAAAGCGGCTTATCTGTCTGCACGAAGATCGTCATGGATCGCTGTGAGAAGTCCAGTCTCGTTTCGTTCAGGAATGCTAGCCCACCAAAAACATTCTGATAGAAACCTTCTACTCTTAGCTTATAGCTTCCAGTCACACTGGTGGGTGGGATCCTCATGAGTAACGTCTCTGGCACGCCCTCCTTGACATCCTTGGAGTCCCCGCTGATTTGGACACCATCACATGCAATGCTAGCGTGAACTGTTATCGGGTATTGGGCTTGAAGAATGGACACGGACACCTGATAAATTAGACCAGGTCTGACCATTCGGGAGGCCACAATAAAGTAAGTAGGCTCCCTTGAATGAAGTGATTCCAAAAAGGTGGCTTTGATGTTATACGAAGACTTTCCTCTTGTCAAACTAGGCTCTTCGTTGTTCGGAAAGCCCTCTTTACCGTACTCATTCTGTCCAGCAAGATTATTGTAGCTTCCCGAATCGGTCCTGAACGGCGGGCGATCGTTGGGATTGATTTGGCCATTATTGTACTGATTCGTTTGCGGATTGTTGCCATACTGATCCGTTTGGGGATTGTTGCCGTATTGATTTATCTGAGGATTGTTGCCATACTGATTCGTTTGAGGATTGTTGCCCCACTGCTGGTTGGGCAGGAGCGGTTGTTGTGGATTCTGCTGATTCTGATTGGGATTGTAGTAGGTGTCGCTCTGACTGACCGTCGGGTGCAGTGCATCCAAAACGGCCGCTACCACGAGCAGGGCGCGCAGCGAGTGCCACATCTTTGCTGAGGAGAAGTCAGAAGTGAATGAATTAGAATCGCAGAATATAGTTGCATCTCCCGTGTACTATAAATAGAGGGCTCTGATTTGGGTGTTCTGCCTGTTGTTTGATGCCTGTCCAATAGGGTGCATCAATATTTCAACGCAAATAATGGGTGCCCAGATATAATCTTCGATCCAAAAGAATATTATCAATTTTCTTCAATGTTAGACGAGAGAAATAGGTTAAACTTTCTTTACGTGGTTTTTGATATTTATTTATTAACTTCTGCTAAACAATTAAGGGAAAACATATTGAGGAACTGATCAAAGATATTCCACAAATATTTCCATATAAGCCTGACACACCCTACTGCACAAATCATGGGCCGCAACTCGTGTTCGAGGATTGTATTTGGTCGGTTGATTTCCGCGTGCTGCGAACAAGTCGTTAATGAGGGCGCCGAAGTTGGTATTAATAGACTTTAGAGTCGATCTGACAGGAGCAATGAACGTATCTCCACGGAGATCATGTGAAGGGGCAGAAGCGGCACTATTAAAACTATGTCAAACATTAAGTAAAATGTCATTCAAGTGGGTGCGCAATTAGTCTTAGATGGAAAGATGTGTGCCACGCAGGGATTTGGGGCATTCAAGTTTCCCGACCGATGCGTTTTTAATGCGTCCGTAATTTATGGTTGATTTGGAAGAGGATTATGAAATCCCTGCTTCACAAAAAACCACTTTGATTTCGAATATAATTATACAGCCAATGAAATGTTTATGATTATTTCAGTATAAAGATTCACAAATAGGTTAATGTTATAAATATGAAGCCCTTAATGGAGTCTCGTAAATATTATTTGCAATTAAAAAATAAGCTCGCCTTTTTATTCCGTTATTTTTTTAATATTTTGTCAAATTGTCGGTGGTGGAATGTTTGCAACATTAAAATATGCGCATAATTTCTGGACCTTTGGCTTATCAGCACACGATCAGCCGGGTGGCAGGGAATACATCATTCGAGCAAGGACCTCTAGAATCTCCCTACTCAGGTACTAACTCCTTAAGCTAGGTAAAAAGTCAACACTTTGTGGCAAACATAAAAAAAGGGATACCAAGTCAGGAGGAGAACAATGAGGCACCGACTTCCATACCATACCATACAAAGAAAAGGTGAAATGAAACTGTAAAGCAGAGGGAGTGTGTCTGCATTTGAAATGCATTTACCGGTGAGGCAAAGAAAGGAAAGGCATAGAAGGGAAGGGAAGGGATAGCCAACATACTGGAACTGAGCGAAACACGCAAATAAAACGGCTGCTACCTGACCATAGATATAGGTGTCTATATGTGCCTCGGGCGAGATATTCTGTGCACTGAAGCAGCAGAAGTTACTGGCCTATAGGGGTCTCTACTCTCGACAGTGAAAACAAATACCGAACTCGTAATAATTTCAACAGTGCGACTTGTAATCCACCCTTCGCACACACCTACACAGAGAGAAAAGTATATCTCTTTAGGTATATTAAATTATTTTGCTACACAAAATATAAAACTAAAGTAGAGAAAATTATTAATTTTCTATTTATATTTTTTAAATATTTTGAATATGTGGATTATGTTACATTCTACTTTTCAACAAGGGATGGAATTCCATTTGTTTTTCTTTCTGTGCACGCGGGCACACCACCACAAACGTTGTAAGTAAAGTGGGCATTAATTAGCCGAGAAGACCCATTCAAAATAAGTTGAGAGGGCAAAAGAGCAATTGAAACGGCAAGCAGGACATTTTGGGCGGTCAAAGGAGCAACTGTTGGCGAAATTCGAGAGCTTAGGGGCAAAGAAAAAACTCAACCAGACGCCGGAATCAAATTGGGCAGCAGGTGGCTAAAACGCCAGCTTCATATTTCGTTAAAACAGGAGAAAAACTACTCACAAGAAACTCCTTACTAATATGTAATTCCTCTTTAATTGTAAAACAAGTAGGGAAAAGTTGAATCAAATATTTAAGCCACTACATAAATTTTCGGTCAACGCCCATGTGCCAACAACAACACAATAACACTGGCTTAGACATTTCTGAGACAGGCAAACACACAAATTGGGCGGGTCGCCTAGTGGAGCATCATCTAAAACGCTCCTTTACTTACCTCGTTTTCGAAATTAATCTGCTCAAGCTGCTCAACACACTATACACATTGTATTAATCAACAGAAAGGTAAATAAAACTAACTCGGGAACTCAAAGATTCGAAAAACTTAAACAACACAAAACCAACAGTGATCCACACCCGCTTTGATGACTGATGCAGTGTGACCGTTTTAAAAGCGCAAAAAAATATATACTGTTTTGGGAAATACCAGAACGCAGGTGTGACCGGATTTCTTGTGTTTAAAAATAGGAATTCGATTCGGTTTTTGATTTCAAACTTCCATCTGTATCTTTGCAATTGTAGCTTTAGCAAAAAAAACTTGAAAATACCATCGGCTCTTGCTAACTGCTGAACCTCATTTTGCATTATTAAATTTTAAAAAATTAATACATAAAGTTTTAGTTAATAATTCTCAAAGGTAATTAATGCAGGAAACAATCTCAAGTAAATGATTCCTTTTGGCTACATGTCACAATTTTATTTATTTTTCTGACAATTTTTAAAATTTCATAATAATTAAAAAAAATTACTGAGATGGTAATGTGACTGCAAAAGAAACTTGTATATTTTTTATTGAGAAATATGTAGTATTTCACGAACAGCTTTGTCCTGGGTGAGACAGAGACAAATCTACTTTCAATAACCAAAAATAGGGATGGCAAAGCTTCCATCTTTCCTTCCAGTGGTGTAAAATGGCCGAGGGCTGCTTTTCTAGTATTAATCGTGAAGTATTTCTGCGGCCAAGAACTGCATGCTTTGGTCATACAGCCGCCTCAGTTGTATGTGTGTGTGTGTATTGTATGCATGTGATGTAAGGTCATTCGCGTGAAAATATCAGCGAGGAAAAAATCGAATTTTTGTGTTTTGTGTGCTAGGTAACTGCAAAAAAGAGTGCAAAGTCGATCGGTTTAAAGCCCAGCCCGTGTGCCAGCGGTGAAAGTGTGCGCCTGCTCGTGCATAGTACATGTGAAAAGTCGTCAAGAAGTCAAAGGTGCTGGGTTGCCCAACGCAAAAATTATGACGAAAAGCACACCAGTACAAGTACCCTCTCTCTCACACACACACACACTCGCACGCAGCAAAAGCAGAGGAGCTGGGAGAGCTAGAACCTAGAGTTGTCAACGTTGTGCGAGGAATTTCGTCATTGAGCGGTGTACATGTGTACGAATGTGTGAGTGTGTGTGGTGCGTGCCTCGCTCGCTGTGTGTGTGTGCGAGAGTGCGTGCGTGTGTATTGGTAGTTTGTTCTCTTCTTTGGTAGTAAAACACAAAAGAAAAATCATCGGGGAAAAATGTGAAAAATGTACATAATTCGTAACCCAGTCTGCGGCAACTGCTCGCCAGCCAGTGCCCGAAAATCGTGCTGAGATAAAACACCGCGCACCGATTGAAAAACTATTACATAAATAGTGCAAAGTGTAAATGTTATTGAAGGCAAAAAAGCGGAGCAGCGTAGGGAAAAGCGCCGCGCACGCTGTCGTCATCGCTGCTAAAAAAGAAAGAAAGCGAAAAAGAGAATGATAAACCCATCCCCTCCCTTGCCAATAAAGAAAGAAAAAAAACCGAATAACTAAAACCTCAACGCGTTACTATTACTATGCCGAAAAGTGTTTAAAGAATATACATACATACATATAGTGTGTGTGTGGGTGTTTGCCCTGCTCTTTTGTTCATTCTCCAGTGTGATGTATGTATGATGTACACTATTCCATTGCCAAGAACTTTTGTTAATACTGTAAATAAACTAATAACATTTAATGCGTGCGAGTGTGTGGGTGTGGGGAGTACGGCCCTGCGCCTGTGTGAGTGACCTCGTATGCGTGTGTCGCGTGCTACGATGGTGTTGGTATATCTGCCAGTGAGTGTGTGCGAGTGTATGAGTGCGGCGGCAAGGAGTGTCATGCGTATATTTTTCCTCCCACAAACGCCCCCTTTCGACCCCATTCCCCTTGCCCCTTTTCCAACACTGACCCACTGGCAAAGCCTATCCAACCAACCAACTAACAACAACAAAAACAATAAGCAGGCGGCAGCAGCTCCTTTGCTCCAACGAGTTTTATCTTGTTTTGCCGTTTTAATCATATGCGGGCGCAGAGAAAGGAGAAAAGCAGCGAGAAAGATAGAGAGAGGGACATAGTGGCAGAGAAGAGGAGAGGAGACAATCACGTCATCCAGCCTGCCATGACACACCAACATCAACATCGATACAGTGATGGCTCTCAACTAATGAACAATGGCTCAAAATAGCTCAACTCATCCTTAATTGCGGTTTCCCCGGTGCTTTTTTCCAACTAAAATTCCGTTGCATACTCCACGGATCACAACCACAGTGGGTTACAAGTAGATAATGCCTAGGACTCTATAACATTGGTTTTCAAATATTAAAGTCAATTTTTTTTGTGTAGTATTTTGTTAAAAACAAAGGAGGAATAATTGACCAAAGTTAACCCTTTTACATAAAATTTCAAGTTAGTTTTGATTCAGTATTGATATACATTTAAAACTTTTAGAAGCAAATTATATCAATCAATACTACTTAAACAATTCTTATATTATAGTATATTTTATATGTATTCTTTTTAGAGAAGATTGTTACGAAATTTCAAATTATTTAAGTTTTTTTGACAAAAAGTTCGAGCTACATATTCTTTTCTTTAATTCCCATTTAATCAAAAATAATATACCAGATGTTCTTTATAGCTTTATACAATCGATTTCAAAGCCTGTCTTTACTGTACCCCACCATCAATGACAACACCACCGACACACACACTCATTTGAATGAACTTTATTGGCCAAATAAAGAAGAAGAAGCTGAGTTTTCAACCGAGCGCGTGAATTCGATTGCGATGATGATGGAGCTCAGTCATATTTTTCTAAGCCTTTTAATTAAGGCAATTAAATTGGCACCTTACCCTGCCGAATGTTATTTAATTTATTTTTTGTTCGGGCATCCCTCAGGTTCGATTTTTGGCCTCAGCTCAGAACAGCATCGTCTGTGTGAGTGTGCCGCTTGAAAATGAGTTTGAGCGTGTGTGTGTGTGTGTGTGTGTGTTGAGGGAGGGGGTCTTAAGTTTGAGTGAGTGTGCGAGAGAGCAAATAAACTGAGTCATGGCTGACGATGACGTTATGCTGCTGCTCTATTATATTCCGCTGCCTAGCTTGCGGTTAGGGCAATTTGTCTCCAAAGTGTTTATGCTCAAAGTTTGCCAATAAAACGCAAAAGAAGGAACAAAACTTTGGCACAAATGCCCGCACACAACTACCATGGCATTTAGCATTCGATTGACCTCGAGGCCAGCAGCAAATCGATAGCATTGTTTTTTGTTTCTCCTCCGAATCGATAACATGCCGCACACAGCAACCCATGCGCCCTCCGCCCCTTCCAAAACGCGGCTTTCGAAACTAGTTTGTGTAGGATGCTCTTACTCCATCATAAATTTAATTTGAAACTACAAGAAAATAGTGAAATATATAGCCAAATTTATGAGATGAAATCAATTTTGTATATTTAGTTGTCTCATTGGATAGTGAAATGGCCTATTATATAGCCATAAATTTTATTTAAGTTTCATTTAATGTGATACTTCATTATTAAAGAAGGGGCTCCTTCCTTGACAAACTTGTCTTGACTGTTGTCTTCAAACTAATTTGATTAGAATATTTCTAAATAGAGGCTTAAATGTGAGAAATTGTTTTATAAATCAACTGAAAAATATAATAGAAATTTCTTAAATGCTACAAAGGAAAAACGAAAGAGATAATTTGTTTCCTTAATCAATCACATTATCTCAATAAAGTTTTTCATTTCAGCCTGTCAAACATGAGTAATAAGTGCCTAGGCATTCATGTGTTATCAATTTGCAATAGCTTAGGAAAATTTATAAACTGTGAAATCACGCATTGTCGTCATAGAAAGTGTCTTCTAGAATGATATTTCATTTACTATCATCTAGGAAATACAGGTAGTTAAATGAACTGATAGATAAGTGAACTTAATTAATAGAAAATATGTAGGTATATTAGTTACTAATGCTTTAATTTAAGCTAAATCTGGAATGATTACAAATGTTTCGGGATGAATGTCGCAAACAGCTCATCGAATACTATATACCCTTAATCGCTACGCTCAGCGGGTAATGCAATCAGCTGATTTCATATTTGTTCTCACAGATTTGTAAAAATAAATACGGCTGACCAATAATAAATGCGACGAGACGACCCACCGTCCGCCCGCCTGTTGGTTCCGCTTCCTCTGATACCCCGGATCCATCAGCAATGCCGAATTAGCAAAGTTCCCTGCCCGAAAAGTTGGATATATACATATGTATAAATGTATATGTATTCATGTGCGAACCGCACAGAACCGACCGAAACCAGTGGGAGCGACAGTGGGAGCGGGACGGCAATGGACCAGAGCGGTCAGTTTGGACGGTCTGGGTCTTTGGGACTCTGTGACTGGGCCGCGGACATCTGACGTCGTTGTCGACCATGCTTCGCTATAATATAATATTATATAATGAGGCTAGGGTGTTGTTGGTCATGGCGTTGGTGATGGTACGAACGGGAGATCCGTATTTGTTCAAAGTACTGCATTGGGGCTTTATCTTAATGCGATATAATGAGAGTCTGATTCGTGACACGTTACGGAAACATCTACTACTGGCGTAGTCCATCTGCCGTTGCCTGGCCTCACGTCGTCTGGCGGTAAACAAAAAGCGACCCCGGCTATGATTTAGCGCTGTCGGTTTGTCTGTTTTATTGCCAGAATTTTTGGAAATTTATTTTCTTTAGCTGTTTTCCTGCATCTTAAAATTGTTTAAAACAATGTTTACTCGTTTTTATGGTAATTCTTGTGGGCGGATAGCAGTACATCGGATAGTTCAATATTTTAAGAGTTTCTCAAGCAATAATATTTGGAAGAAAACATATTTCGTGAGGGATTTTATCATAAAAAGTTTAGACAGATTTTTGAACCCATAATAACTGGCTTAGATACCTCCCTAATCTATAAGGTTTATGATCTTAAAATGTGTCAGCACTGGCGAGTAGCAAGCAGAAACTTCTCCACTTCTTATCTTATCCGCTGCTCAGTCAGGGATTGTCCTACCGCATTGATAAGGCTGGAAATAGTTGTTCTGGCTACGTATCCGCAATACGAAAAAAATAATAGATCTCAAGGCAGCGTCTGTTATCAGCGGTTATGCGGACATCATGCAGTGAGGCAAATGGAATGTTATTTTTCTTCGATCATCACCTAATTGGTCGTAATTACTCTCAGAGAGTGTCATTTGACGATCTTACTACAATCTTTGCTCGATTGCAGTATCATTTTTTCTTGATTCTGTACGTAAATTGTTTTTCTAGAGTGGATCACATTTTTCTACAGAAGATTGCTATTGCTATTATTGCTTTTAAATGTAAAGAAACGTTCCTTTAGGTTCATGTACATATATATTTTCACCACTTTGTGAAAAATTCCTAATCAACCTGTTCTAGATAAAAACAATTAAGATAAGTTAAGGAATGAAACGGCGGTACCAATACTCTCCAGAGCAGAGGATCCACTTAAAAGGAATCATGATATTTTATAATTAAATCGTTTTTCGTGGTGTGCTACATTCTAGTTTTGGATTAAAGCCAAATTGTTAGTTACTTTGAAAGCTTACGATTACCTAAGACTTTCTCGGAATTTTTATAAGCAGTCGTATATGACCTGGTCAAGATAACGACAGAACTATTAAGATAGGCCGTCAACTTAATTAGAAGTGCCAAGTTCTGTAAAAGTTCTCAAAAAGATGCCTTCAACTATATAGTTCTGTATAACTTTCGATATTTATTTAAGATTTGGAATTAAGATATATTGTGGCATACTTTTGGACAGAATTTTTAAAGATATTTATAAATATTTGGATTTTTCATTAAGGTTTAAGGTTTACTTCGATTCTAAGCATACTTTTTGAAAGTTTTTTAAGTTGTTTCATATCACTATAGGATTTCCTTTTTAAAGGGCATTAAAGTTGCGAGATATTCTTTTTTTTTTGTATTCTTCACACATTTTGTGAAGCATTCATAATCGGCCTGGTCAAGATAACAGCGGAACTGTGAAGATAAGCTGACGAGTGTATATCATCAAACCAAAACCAAATCACTGCGACGTCGCTGCCGGCAGAGGCAGCGGCGAAGGTGGCGGCTACTCTCGTCCGATGGTCATGTGTGCGGTTTCAGTCTGCCCGCTGAATTCGCCGCGTTCGCTCCGTTCGCTCTGTTCTGTTCGCCTCGTTTTGGCCCGTTTGCCAAATTTTGTTCGCTTTCTTGTGTTCCCGTTGTGTAACAACAATAACAACTACAACCAAGTACGACCACTACCTTGCCGGATTAGCAACAACAACAACAACAAATGGCCATTGGCTAAAAAGCAGCTAGAAATTGTTGCGTTCCTTGTGTAAAACATAATTATTTGCTCTCAGTCTCAAGAATCCCACTCTCTCTCTCATTCTCTCTGTGTGTGTGTGTCTCTTTCTCTAACAATCTATCTCTTTTGCTCTTGCAATGACTGCGTCTAGCCTGAAAAAATAGTATTTTAGTCGTCAACGTGCCATAATTTCTTTTTTTCTGTTTTGCCAGCAAAAAAATAGAATTTTTGGACTGGGACAAGTTTGAGGCGCGTATGTGTGTGTGTGTGTGACTGTGTGAAAGCTTTTTCGAATGTGCGTGAAAATACAGAAAATGAGAAAGTTAACGTTAAATTAGCAGGCTGAAGCGCCCACCCACCCTTGCACCCCCCTAAAAGTGAACAGCACGTGTTTAGCAGCAGTCAAAAAAATTAACAAAAAAAAAAGAATAATTAAAATAAATATAAATTTAGTTGAATGTTAAATGTTGTTCGTTCGGTTTTCGTTTTGATTTTGGTTTTTCGGTTTTGTTGCATCCTTGATTCTGCTCCTCTTCTGCTCCTCCTCATAATTTACCTTCCTAATTTGAAAATTGATGTATTTTGAAAAGTTCTCGCTGTCTCCTGCTTTCTCTTTCTGTTGCTGACTTTTCATATTTTATTTCTGTTGTGAGAAAAAGCATAAAATTAAAACCGAACGAAAGACACAACAAAAAGAAGGAAAAGTTTGCCTTCAAATGCGAAATGCAAAACGAGAAAATTCTATAACACACGTTTTTTTGTTGTGATTTTTGCGCTAAAATAGCTTCATGAATTAAGAACAAAATAGAAAAGCTGGAAGAGCCAAAAAATAAAAAGCTGGTCTAATTACTAAATAGATAATTCGCATTCAAGCAAAAACACCAAAACGAGAAAAAATAAGATCCAAAAACAAAACAAACCAAGCAACCGACAAACAACAACATCAACAGCATCAACTAATATCAAATTAAATAACTAAGCCTAATAACGTATACATTTAAAGATCTATTTATAAATTAATATTTACCATAATGATTTAGTAAGTTAAGCTTAAAGTACAAAACAAAAAAAAGAGAAAAGCAAAGGAAGAAGAAATACCACAACCAATAAACAACAACAACAACAACCACAACCACTATAACCAACCAACAACCACAAATAATTAATCAATCATTAAACGGAGTAAATTCACAAATCTGTAATAAATGCAAATGACAAGGAAATAACGAAAACGACAACAACACCAAGTCACCAACAACAGCAGCAGCAGCAGCAGCAGCCACAACAACACACATCGGCAACATAATTAATAACAACCAACAACAACAACGGATCAATACCAAAGATGGAGGCAAAATTCTTGGCTAGCGCTCTTTCATTCCTCTCGATATTTTTAGCGATTTATGCTCAATCACTTGGTGAGTACAACCCACAACCCCTTCAAAACAGCCCCGCCCCCTCCCTTACCAGCTCCCTTACCCCTACAATAAGCATAATGATAAACAAAGAAGGCCCTTTTAACCTATAAGTTGCCCACACCCCACAACAATACCCCTCTCTCTCTCCATCTCTCTCTCTATGTATCTCTCTCACCACCACCATCACCACTACCAATACATACATACCTAGCCGAGGATAAAGGAATAAAAAAATATACGTACATGCTTACGTACATAACGTAGAACGTATGGGTAAACTGCAGCTGTGATAGCAGAAATTGCAAAACAGAACACAACCGAACCGAACAAAGAAGCAAAACAAAGAGGGGGGCAAAAAAACGCGAAGGGGGGAATAAATAAAAACAGCAGATTGTTTGTGGTTTACTATAACACCCACTAACCTTATGCCACGCCCCCAAAATTGGCCCATGCCGCCTTAAACAAAACTACACTCTACTACTCGTATGAGTATATGGGGCGAGGGCTTCCCACCCGAGTTTACCACCTCTTCTTAAATCACCTTATAGCGAAGGCAAACAATATTAATAAGCGGTGACACGAATCGATGGCGAAGTTATCGAACATTTCTGAAAAACTGTTTCGGAAAACTGTTTTTAAAGTCCTGAGATTTTGAAGAATATTTATAAAACATAGCTAATTAGGAAAGGTTATACTTTTTTCAAGAATTTTGATTGGGAAATCTTTAAGAATTATGAAATAAAACTGACCCAGCCATTGGCTAGAAATTAAGTTTTCTTAAAAATAATTTAACTCCATAGGGTAGCTATTTTTCCCTTCTAAAAGCCAATTTCAGTAAATCCAAAACTTCAAAAGGAACCATTCGAAATTTTAAAAGCCATTTTTATAATAGAGTACTATTAGAAAATCCATTATCCTATCAATATCTATTACAGCGTGCTTTTCGAAGAGGAAACTTTTATTTCGCCCACGTTCTCAGCGGAGAAAGAGAACCGCAAAATGGACAATCGCATTTCTTCTTTGCCCGGCTTTATGTATTCTCTTTTCATATTGCAAGAGCCGCCCACCCATTTAGCCAACAACCCAACCACCCAACCATTTTCCAACTTTGGACAAGGTCTCTTCTGCATTCTACTGTTTTGGCCTTTGGTTAAAAGCGGACTTCGATATTTTCGTGTTGCCTTTATAGTTCATATTGTTGGTTGCTTTGGGTTGAGTCTGTCGGTCGGTCGGTCGGCTGGTTGGTTGGACTTGGGATTGGATTGCTGTGCTGCCGCCATATCGACATTGTTGCCGTTTCTTCGTACGTTTTTCCCCGTGCGCGCGACCGCATTCATTTGATTTTCAATTTTCCACACAATTGCTAAAAGAGAAAACAGAGCAGAGCGAAATGTCGAGAAAAGCTGTGGAGAACGAAGAGTATCAAGTTCATTTTCAAATAGGTTCTAGTGCGGGAAATCTTTAAGAATTTTTTGTTGTTGTCTTGTTTTAGCTTTTTCTGAGGCTATGTATGTTACATGCGGTCCAATAATTACGGCCTGTCTCTGGTTTTTCCCGCTTGTTTATGTTAACTTCAGGCGAGCCGTAGCGAGAAGCAAACTGAAAACAAAACGATTTACCAAATTACCGAATAACCGATACGTACGTACCCGATACGAACCGGTCGGAGATGGTGGCCTGCATTTTGTTTACATTTTGGAACGAAGCAACCTCCGATCCCCCAGCTATACCTTTGGGCATTATCAATGTGTGTGTTTTCCATACATATTTATTATTCTATGCATACTATCCATTTACCTATTCTACTTTATTCCATACATCTATCTATCTATCTATCCGTCCGGCGGAATGTCCGTCTGGCTCACTACCAAAACCTACGTATGTTCATGAATTTTGATTTTTTTTTTTTGCTTTTTGGCCGTTCAGTTTGGCTGGTTTTTGTTTTGTTTCGTACATTATTTAGCCCCATGCAGCTATTTTCACATTCAAGGTGTATTAATTGAGTTTTCTTTTTCCTTTTTTTTTTTCGCTGTTCATATGCTGGCATTTATTCATAGTTGATTGGGGGTATTCGGGCCATAAGAACAGAGAGAGGAGCCGAGCCGTTTAAAAGGCAGACCAGGGCAGAGCGTAAATAATTTAAGGTTATTTTCATGTCTTTATTAGGTTCTGTGATTGATTTATTCAATTATTTAAACATGAGCACAGATTGCAAAGCTAATTATGGATGTCAGAAGAATATATAGTCCTAAGTGAACCAAAAAGTAAAAGCCTATTTTTAGGTAATGCCAATTTGGTTAATTGTACATTTACTGGTTTTACTTTTTGCATATTCCCCTCAGTGTAGCATATTTTCAATGATATTTCAGAATGTTTACGTAAATAAGCATTGGAAATAAAAGAAAACGAACGTTTTCCAGGCACGCATTTGGATGGAGGAAAACCCGGATGGTATGGAAACAGAAGAAAAACGCTACCTCCTCTGGGGAGATCTTGTGGGGGTGGCGGGGGCAAACAGTTGTACATATGTTTGCACTACATGAATCACTTTGCGTTTTGTTTTGGTGGGCTAAGAAAGGGAGGAAGGCGGACCAAAAACCAGAAAGCCAATATAAAGAAGCATTCCTTTGTCTCCCCGCTGAATTTCCCTCAGACCACCACTTCAAAGCAATTTTTAGCTAGTGGCGGAAAAACCACGTGTTGTCCAGGTGTTTATGCTGCGGACGAATGTGCGAAGAGCCAAAAAATATAGCCGCTTCTGCCGCATTTTGGCCCGAGGCTTAACAATATTCCCTAGGTCTTGTCACATACCTCTCGTATGTACTTTTCCTTCATTTTTTTTGGGGGTTTTTTTTTGATGGAATATCCGAGCAGGTGGAATGCCTTGGCAAAAGCTTTCATTTCGGCTGTTGACTGCGCACATTTGGCTAACCAGTTTCATTTTGCCATGTTTATTTAATGACATTTTCATTACATTAATAAATGTCAAATATTTAAATTTCGGCTCACCCAGCAAAAGGAAGCTAAGGCAAACAAGGAGCGTAAAACGAAACCGAGGCACAGTGGGTTGAAGGTGGCCAAAAAGTGGGTAAAATGTTATAGAACTTTTTGGGGGCTCTAATTAATTATCCCCTTAACTTTATTTAAAACTCTCTTTTAGGATTTTAATATAAGTAAAAAGTGTTTTTAAAATGCAAAATTGATTTCTTTTTATGATTTTTTGAGGGGACATTGATATAAATTATGAACGTTTTGGAACTAAAAAAGATTTGTAATTTATATAGTTTGAAAAACCACGAAGATCATTAACCTTTTTGAAGAAGAAAAATTCAAAATTTGTATTTTTCAATGTTAGAAATTTTACGTTTTGTGATGTGAAAACTGTGAATATTAAATTTGACTTTCTTATTTGTAAGTTTAATTAACTAATTAGAATTCTTGGAAATGTTTTTATCTTATAAAGTAAATTTCCTTGCCATAACTATAACCTAATTTGTCCATATCCAGCTCTATATCTCCTTGGACAGACACACATTTTGGGGCATAAATCATACCCCTTGATAAGAATCTCAAGAGGATTTGGCTTTAACTCCTTGAACTGCTAACAATAATTCAAGGCGCCGCCTGTGCTTGCCTTTGCCATTGCCTCTGCTGCATTTGCTATAAAAATACATTACAAAAGGCACAGATTGTCTTGGGGTATCTGCATTTTGCATTGAATCCGAGATGATTTGTGTGATATGAAAGGAAGGAGAGATGTGGGCGGTGGCGGCAGGGATAGAGGCTGGGGGTCTATGGGTGTGTTTTGCCTCTTTTGCGAAAACATTATTTTTATTAAGACAATAAACATGAAATGTAATTTCCCTTTCAATGTCACTGCTTCAGTTTAGTTCAGTTCAGTTTGGTTTGGTTTGGTTTGCTCTGAGATTGGGTGGGTTTGAGGATGTGGTTGTGTTGCTGGTCTTTTGAGGACCACCCCAACACCCCCACAGAGAGAAAGGCGTCATGGTGAAAGAAAGGCTTGGCTGGCAGTTTCTGTTTTCTATAGTGTGTGTGGCATAGTGCTAGTGCTTCAGTGTGGGCGTGGCATTGGCTTGCACTTCCCCCTTTCAGTTCTGATTGCACATTGTCTGGAATTCAGCGATTGCAGTGAAAAACTCTATGGCTCTGTCTCTTTTCAACTTTCCACAGTGGCTGTGGCACATTCTGCTTGTTCTTTTTCTTTCATTTCTCCTGCTGCTGCTGCTGCTGTTGCTGCTGCCTGTTCTTCTGACTCTTGTTCTTGTTGTTCTTCAATATAGAGGTTGCCTTGTGTTTCCGGTCGGTGCCAGATAATGGTTGCTTAAACAGGGCACGTCCATAAATATATATATGTTTTTATATAGTGTGCATTGTATGTATGATTTTTACACGGCGAAAAACCAAGCTTAAAGAGGGAATGTTGATCAATAAATAGCTATAAAATTCAGTGAGTGATCAGTGAGGATTTCCCCCTTTTTACTCACTTAATAGATACTGAATAGATTGATTACTTTTTGGCATATACAATTTTCTTATCAATAAACTGATTTGAGTTAGGGTTTTATTGAATTCCATTTGTCATAGTAGAAATATTAAGAAAAGCAAAGCTTCTGTTTCATAACACTAAGAATCACATGCCTTAATTAGTACGAAACGTGAAATTCTTATTAATTTAAACTTAAGGCCAGCAAATTTGTGTTTATGAACCATGGAGCATGATCTAAATATAAGAAAAACCCAAAGTAAAAATTTTATACAATTAGCACTCCTTCAAGCTTAGAAAATATTTGTTAAATAACATGCTAACAGCTAATAGATAGTTGTTTTAAAACTTAAATATGCTTGAAATTACATTATGATACTCAAGAAGTATCTCACAGTATCTCATCAGCGAGACGAGCGAAACTGTTGCCAATTTAATTAAGGTCTAGTGACGCAAGATGAGAATTAAATTCGCATTTTTATGACGCACAATAGCG